GGAACGATCTTGTCCATGAAGATTGCCTCCCGTGCCCGTCTCTCCGAGTGTCATCTTCAACATGCATTTCCTGTTCGGACTTATGCTGGCGGCAACCGCCCAAGCACACTGTAAAGATTCATACCGCCTAGAAACTGTGGAAAAGCTCACTTTGCGCAGACCGCTTCTCCAAGCTTGTCATAAACGGCACGCCTGAAGCCGAAGAATGGACCGCCGTCCGCCAGACAAAGAACTATCAAGACAACCACGGCGTGACAAGCGTTAGCAGCGCCGACATGCGCTGCTATCAGAACAAAGCTGGTACTGCCACCGCGACTATCGCAGCAGGCGAGACGCTCGGTTTCGTCGCCAATGCGATGGTGTCTCACTTTGGACCTGTGCAATTCTATCTCGCGAAAGTTCCCGACAGTGCGAACATCAACACGTGGGAGGCATCCGGAAACGTATGGTTCAAAGTCGGTTCCATCAGCGCTGTGCAGGGAAGTGGACCCCTGACCAGCGATGAAAAGACGTGGCCAGCGTACAGTACGTCATGCCGAATCAAGTCCCGGGCTATACACATGTCACTAATGACTCGCACGCAGAGAAGACCGTGGTTGATTTTCAAATTCCGAAGAACGTCCCAAGCGGGAAGTATCTTGTCCGCGTGGAGAGCATAGCGTTGCACCAAGCGCAGGCAGTCGGCGGCGCCCAAATGTACCTCAGTTGTGCACAAGTAGAGGTCACCAACGGCGGATCGGGTTCGCCTGGGCCGCTTGTCGCGTTTCCGGGCGCGTATAGTGCGAACGACCCTGGTCTACTGTGGTCCTACTACCCGGTTGCAACAAGCTACAAGGCGCCTGGGCCAGCTATTTGGACTGGGTGAGCGCATTTGTCGACCTGAAACGTTCATATCGTTAGTAGCGCTTTATACTTAGAGTTGGAAGTATTTTTATTGCCGAGCGACCCGGTTCGTCTTTGTCCCATTCTGCATTCCTCGCGCGCTTAAGGTTAGAGTCGTGTGCCGAGACTGCACCCATCCTCGTGTGACGCCGCGCGGCGAACTGTGGAATGCAAGCGCTGTAATGCCGAAAACGGTAACTTGAATGGTCAATGAAAGTACTTCTGTAGAAAAGTATGAGACTGTCTCAGGATCTTCGCGGTATTGACTTCACTGTTCATTCTTGCTCCGAAAAGATGTTTCTGAAATTACCCGCTGTGCTCGCGTGTCTGGTTCTACCGGTCTTCCAAACGCTCGTATCTGCCGACTCACCCAACCGCCAAGCCGTTCGCGCTTGCGGTATGATACTGCGAGATCTACCAGAAGATCTCGCCAGTTCGTTCTGTTCGTCCTACGCTTGGATAACAGACGTAACATCGACATGCACGGAGACAAAAACCAAAAGCATCACAATTCCCGGTGGTAAATCTTGCTCTGCGGCAGGCACTGCGCATGCAAGTGGCTCGTATGTCCAGAGGTCGTTCTGCTTGTGCGTTAGCTAACACATGGACAGAAAACCTGCTAGCCCAAGCTCTGCACTCGAGCCGCAACCAGGATCAGTTTGGACCGCACCGACTTCTACTCGGTCCAGTGTATTTCCAACCAGTACAGAGACCAGCTCAACCTGCAATGCTGTATGCACCGTCACTGCCAGCGGCGCTGTGGTATCCTTTATAACCGAGACAGCTGTGATGTAAGTCACCCCTAATCCAAGAACACTTTCAGGCAGCTGACCCATTGAAGTACTTCAACAGTCCAAGTGCCGAAGAGGCAGAAGCGTATACCAGCCGCGTTCTGCCCTGAAGTCGGTGTGCCATGCGTGATGGCTGGCATGGATTCGGGGGCCATCAGTGAAGGCTGTCTCAGTTTTGTGACGCCGCATGTGGCGCATACCAAAACGAAGACCGTGAAGACTACTTCGACTATCACTGCCGGAGCGACGTGCGAGCCAGAGCATCAGTAAAGTGGTCGAGCGCATTCTGTATTTAGAGTAGTCGAGCTCGGTATCGTAATCAAAGACAGCTTTCAAACAATCTTAGTATACGTGAGTCTGATTGTGCAACAGTCCCCGAGCCAGATCATGAAATGTATATGGACGCAGAAGAGTTCCAAACGCCAGGCATTCAGAAGTCACGCTAACCAAAATGTGGGGTCGCGTACCTTCCAGCGTCATTTGATTGGATAGAATAGCCGCTCTCATTTTACACCTCAAGATCGACTCCAATCTCTGCGCTTCGGTCTTCGCGATTCCATCTTGTCGCTGCACTCAGCATTGGTGCTGATGTGCACCGATCTAATGCTCTGCCTACATGATTCTCACACATCTGTCCCGACATCTACTCTCACACTGGCAGTGAACTTGCGAGAGCACATTCGTACATGATCTGACATGCAAGATGTCGCGTGCCTACTTCGGCAGGCGTTTCATATTCTTCCAAAGGATGCTAATGATGGACAATCTGCATCTTGCGACAGAATAATGACTTTTTGGGGCTGAGACTCGAGCAAGCTACATACCATAGGTAGTTTTGGACTGAAAGAAAAAACGCACGTTGATTCGCCAGCTTAACCGAACGCACGTGACATACCTCTAAAGGGAGAGAGCCCTAATAACCGTGCCTCTGCGCTCATCTTGCTAAAGTATATTATATATCTTCACGGTCGCGCTCATGTGAAACCTGTACCCTTTTCACATCTGTTGGGCTTCTGCATGTACAGACAATCATGCCATCCGATTTCTCGGTAGTCATCTGCCATGGCTACTTTCACACTCCAGAACCCTACCAACCTCTCATCGAAGCCTTCAAGTCTCACCAAATCGATGCATATTGCCCACAGCTTGCGACTTCAGACCTGTCCAAACTCAATGTGGGCGATATGATGCGTCCGAATTTCGAACTTGGGCCATCAGCAAGCGGATATCCTACGGGAGACGACGATGTGAATATCCTTCTAGATCTATTGAGGCGACTAGTTCAGAAGGAAGGCAAGAGCATTCTGCTTGTCGCTCATTCGGCAGGTGGCTGGTCTGCGACGCAAGCCGCGATTCCGGAGTTGCAAGCGAAGGCAAGATCGGCGGAGGGACTGAGTGGAGGTATCATTGGAATTTTCTACTATGGAGCTTTCATAATCCCCGTGGGAGAGTCTATCAACAGTTTCTTCCAGCCAAAAGATACACCGCCCGTTGTGCCGGCGTGGATGAAATATCACGTAAGATTTCCACTTCCACGCGACTCATGCTAGCGCTGACCTGTTGCGTGTCTTAGGCTCATGGCCCCCAAGGGCTAGGTACATTAGTATCGCCAGAGAAACACATGTTCAATGACCTCGCTCCTGAAGAAGCCGCGAGGTGGGCAGAGACTCTCACTGCGTCCCCGAACGGCATCACAAAGCTCACCAACGATGCATACTCAGCGCTGCCCTGTGCTTATCTTGTATTGGAAGGGGATCAGACGCTTGCAAAAGAGTATCAAGAGGGGATGCTCATGCTCCAAGCGAGCAAGACGGGGGACTTCAAGGGGTATCGGTGTCCGGCGGGGCATAGCGCCCATTTGAGCTGGACCAACGGACTGGTTGAGAACGTGCAGGCATTTGTAGGACAGCTCTAAGACTCTTCTCAAGGTACCACGTGCAAGAGCCTTAGCTCCACTAGCATCTCTTCAGTGTCTATATTAGTCTACTTATTTGCTCAAAAGGCGTGTTCTTTCGCAAAGCATTCGATAGTCTCATGATCTTCTGATATTTTCCACGAGCTTTAGTGAATTGTATCTTAAAGTCCCTCGCAACCAACCGAAGGCTATAATTGCAGCAAATACCTTAATGCATGGCCTTTTTAGATGTATTGCTAGAAAGCGGTGAATCACAGGTGAAGCGGGTGCTGAGCGCAGGAAATACATCGTGGTCGATGGGTTGCCAAACGGTTCCAAGAGGAAAGTCGGAGTGCTAGACCTTGGGACAGACCAGAAGAATTATGGGCATCGAATGCCAGGAGACCTAATGAGAAGGCTGGAGAAGCAAGTGAGTATCATAACCTGTTACACCTGCACAGCATTCTTCTCTGTGCAAAAAGTTTTACATGACCTCGGGGTGGTCAGACCCATGCTAACATCGACGAACAAGCCACTTTTACTTATCATTATTACTCGGTTATCTGGAAGATTGTCAAAGCGGAGGAATTGATGCAGTGAGAGTTGCATCGCCATCGCTGTGTGACAAATGGCAGAGGCGCATGTCTACCTAGGTACCTAGGTATCCTCGACAGCTGCATAGCAGCCAAAAGCGATCTGTAATTGGCTCCGAGGCACCGGGTCCATACCCCAGAGTGGACCTGGAACGACCGATCCGCATTCGTTATATCGGCCGACCACAATGGGCGGTTCTCAAAGCCCCGTGGGGACCCCACATTGATGTTCTCATCAACGCCTCTTACGTCGGCCGAAGTTACCGTACGCGAGTCAGGCTTGACACGCGCAACCAATCGCGAACTTCTCTGGGACATTGACGCGATACTCGCGATGCCGTTTACGCTGCGTCTCTCCGAACGCCATCCGCATACAGTCTACCATCAAGGTTCGGCATGCTGTATGCTTGACCGCTGCCGCCACCCCTCACGGAAAATGACAACCCAGCTGTACTAGGGCAGGATTTTCAGCGAAGAGACGTCCCTCGTCCAGTTGCCGAGGCCAAACAATGATCGAATATAAGTCCGCGCGACTGTGCGCGTTGATGTTTGGTCCCAGCTTCTGCGCTCGCGTCGTGGAAATGTGGAATCTCATCGTGGGTCTGCTTTACCTGACAACAATTGTGTCACCATCGACGGTTAGGAATTCACCTACGGCTCGTGTAAAGAATGGTACTCTAGAAGGAGTCTACGCGAAGACATATAACCAGGAATACTTTCTAGGAATACCTTATGCTCAGCCGCCCGTTAATGATCTCCGGTTTCGGCAAGCCAGGTCGCTGAACACAAGCTGGAGCGACGTGAGAGAGGCGAAGGAATTCTCAAAGCTTTGTGTCGGCTATGGTGTATGTTTTGTCCCCTACATTCTGTACAGTTACTATGGCTAAGATTCCAGCTTGACCAAACCTTCTACGAAACGTCTGAAGATTGCCTTTGCCTGAACGTCGTACGACCGGCTGGGTACAAGGGCAAAAAGCTTCCTGTGGGCTTTTGGATTCATGGTGGTGGCTTCCAGAATGGCGGGGGGCCAGACCAGCGATATAATGCTTCTTTTATTGTCGACCAGTCTGTCGCGATAGGGAAACCTATCATAGCTGTGTCCATCAACTACCGACTCAGTCTGTGGGGTTTTGCTAGCTCGAATGAGCTTGCCCAAGATGGATCGCTGAACATCGGTCTTAGAGACCAGCGACTTGCCCTGCATTGGGTTCAAGAGAATATCGGGGCCTTTGGAGGTGATCCAAAGAAGGTAACGATTTGGGGAGAGTCTGCTGGGGCCGCTAGCGTTGGCATCCAAGTAAGCTGGCTGAATGTTGGGCAAGTGAGAAGTTCACTGACAAAGACAGCTTACCGCTTATGGTGGTCGCGACGACCATATCTACCGCGCCGCAATCATGCAATCCGGCGGTCCAATTCTCTATGGCGCTCAAGGCGGTGCAAACAAGACCCAAGCGGCTTTCGACCAGATCGTCTCTCAAGTTGGATGCGCCTCGTCTACTGACCGCCTCGAGTGCCTGCGAGCGGTTCCATTCAGCTCACTGAATGCGACCATGAACGGGAACCTCTCATCAACAGCTGGGTTTGGAGTAGTGACAGACGGTGACTTCGTTCAAGATTACGGCAGTGCACAACTCGGCCGCGGGCAGTTTACTAAAGTACCCATCATAATTGGCGCCAATAGCGATGAGGGCGCCTCTTTCGGCACGTATGGAATCAATACAACTGATCAGTTCGAGGCCAGCCTGTCCGCTCTTCCCGAATCTTACAGGAAGGATTTACTGAAGGCTTATCCCGACGACTTGCGCGTTAACGTCATCCAAAGCCTCGGAGCCCAGCGACCAGCACCTCAATTTGGATATCAGTTCCGACGCGTCGCGACGTACAGTGGTGACTACGTGTTTATCGCACCGGCAAGAAAGACTGCCCATACCTGGGCCTCTCACGGGCTGCTTACTTACAAATTCCGCTTCAACGCCGATCAGAAAGTGTTCGCTCCTGAACTGCGCGTCAGCCACTTCAAAGAGATCCCGTTCGTGTTCCGAAACATCGAAGGCGTGGGATCTAGGCCTGATATCAAGCCGTTCACAGGGTTAGGACAGAACTACATTGACCTGGCGTACTTCATGAGCTCAACCTGGGCCAGCTTCATATATGACCTAGACCCAAATACTTGGGAGGGGAGAAGCAAGAAGATTCCGCGATGGCCGAAATATAATGTTCGCGACCCACAGGATTTTGTGTTCGAGGCGAACGTGACGAGTCATGCTGAGAGAGATACTTATAGGAAGGAAGGGATGGATTTGATCAACAAGAACGCTGTTGAAGTCTATTCGAGGTAATGCAGTTCGTGATATAATACGAGTCCGGCGCTACACAGCTTATAAGCGTAACGTATTCAACGTCTTAATCCGTCAGTATAGACTCGGAAGCCCACGTACTTCTTTGATCAACCGAAGAGTCTGTGATAATTCACAAGAAATTGTAGCGCAGGATAGGCCATTTATGGGAATCGGTACCTTCATTCCGAGAACAGCGCACCGTCAACGCGATCTCTAAATCAGAATGCGCACTTGTACTCGTCTCTTGGTATATTTTGCTGTGGCTACCCAAATTTACCTTCGCCGTGTGCATATCACAATGCTTCTTACGCTGATCAAAACTGCGAATTAGCTGGTATTTTTCCGTGGCATATCGGATCTGCTCTAAACGAGCAGATACCACTCATTCCAAAGAAATGCGCCATTCCAGAACAACAGACTCCCCAAGATTCGAGAAGCTTTCCCACGATGCAATTACCTACCGCCGTCACTTCTCGCGCGGGAACAAACCTTCGTACCGGTGATCGCACATGTCAGAGCAGTTAATTCCGCTCCCGGTACGCCTCTGATACTCTCATGTCGACTTTTGTCTCGGATAAATTCGGGAAATGGAGCAGCATCTCCCGAGAGCTAGTGGTGCGGTCAGACAAAAAGTGAGTATGCGGGACATAGACATCCGAGACTATGTGGCGACCCGATGGTATGGCTACTGGAAGTTGGCGAAACGGGAAGGTAGGTTATTTCCGGCTTATCGCGCCCGATTAAGACACAGATGACGATGGAAAGAGTACAATGAGAGTGATTGAGGTCAACGGAGATCTCTTGATGCTGGTCCATGTATATCTCTGAGCAAGGGTTGTATCTCGAACCTCTCTCTGTTCGATGTCCTCCAAGTCCTCCTATCAGCCACCATCCCTTGTACCCTCCCCACCACCCCTTCGGATCCCAATAATCCGCCCACGCACATGGAGCATACATCAAGTCGCAAAGCAATGCAGACCTACTCCTCCCACGCAGACCCATTGCACCGGAAGACTTGGCCAAAGATACCTAGGTACCTTATCGCAACTCGTCGCCACTCCCAAAGCACACAACCAAAACGGTCAAGACTCTTGGGCCCCCACCGTCCAAACGGCCTTCCTCTTGACGAGAATAGTACATATGATCGACATGAAACCGTTACGGAAGGGTAGGTGCGGTCGGAGACTCCGTTCCGGGTGTTTGATCCCTCCCCTCCTCGCGCTTCCAGTCTGTCCCCCCAAGTGATAACGCAAGACAGATTCCTGTCTAACGTCGCAATGCCACCTAAGCACTGTTGTCGCGACGTTGGCAAGCCTGCCCGCTCCCGATGCTCGATCCCTTCCGTCGCGCTTGCGGAACTCTGTAATTCCCCCAAGAGATTCTGATAGTATAGTATCGCGATCTCACCTAAGCACTGTCATCGTGATTCTGGCAATCTAGATATGCACGCAACCATGAGGGGGGCAATCCGCATGTGACATATATTGAAACTTGAGCTATCTAAATTACGTGGTATCAAAAAATCTAGAATCTATAAGCCGGGTAATGCAAAGTTGCCCTTCCCCCAAGCGCCATCGCTATGCAATTACAAAAACGGAAATACAGGATGGGAATGAATGCAGATATGAGCGGATCATCTTTTGCTTGTACGATACATTGGCCAAAGCATCGTTGGAAGACTGATGCTAGAACGTACAGGAAAAGGGCGGAGAAGTGAAGTGAGCGAGGAGATGGCGCGTAGAACGAGCGTAGTGTTGAATGGTAAAGAAATCTTGTGATGAATCTTCTTTGGAGAGCCGTTGTGTGGTTAAGTTCTATGTTGACGTATGTCGCGCTGGTAGTGCGCGCGCTTGGCTGGTCTTCGGATCTAGTCCTCGACGTCCTCATCGCGGCCGGGGTACATGATGTCCTGAACCACGACCGCTCGTATATTGGAATAGAGCACAAAGGCCCACATGCAGAGGATGGCAATCGTCAAGCCGTTCGCAACGTACAGTATGACCTCGTCTTTTAAGCTGTTGCCGATGTTGATGGTTGCAATGATGAAGCCGGAGTTCGGGAACACCATGGCCCACCAGCCGAGATGGAAGTATTCAGGACGTGAATGGAGAACCTAGTAGACTTATCAGTGAATGTTTTCGCAGAACAAAGATAACATGACTCACGGCGATCAAAGCAATCATGAAGAACCACATAGCCAGTACCCACAGGAAGAGTGCCGATACCAAAGCCAACGTCCGTAGCACTTTCGTATCGATCAGCCCGTCTCCCTGCAGATCGAAGTCATCGTCGAGGGCATTAGCCATGCCAATGAAAGCCAATGCCGTGAAAGAAGGTGGCCCAACGCCAATGAACATGGCACCTCTGTGCTCCCGGTTGGGGTAGCCGACTTGCATCAAACGGCCGATGTAATGCGCGTACATGATGACGCTCATTGTGAACCCCAAGCCTTGACAGCCCAAGCCAGCGGCGATAATTGGCATTCGTGAGCCGACCGGTTGATCTTTCGCAATGACAGCCGCAATGGTGCCACCAAGCATGATAGGGAAGATGGGAAGCAGCCAGGATGGCATGAACTTTGTGAGCAGGTACGTGTGCTTCGCAAACAGGAATGAGTACTGGAAGACAGCGAGGCAGAACGTCATAAAGACATACACCCAGAAAGCGATAGCCATGCTGGTGACAATCCATCCTCGCATCGGATGGTCTGCCTCATATGATTCGACGACGTACTTCTGCGTGCCAGTGATAATCGTTGCGATGGATAGGAAGAATGGACCCAAGAAGAGTGCCTCCCGCTCGTGGGTGACAGATTCCTTGAATGTACCTGGGAACTTGGTGAATCGAAGGACCATGCAAGCACCTAGGATCGCGAAGAAGATCAGATTGGTGATGTAGAAGATGGCACCGATAGTGATCAGGCCCGGGAAGCGATGCGGTTGAACAGCGATAAGTGTTGAGATACCGCCAGTAGCCATCGTCAACGTGTACCATGCCCACGTGAAGTGCTTCAGTCGCGGACCGAACGCCATCCACGGCTGGTTGGGGTCTTTCTTGTGAGGATCGTGAGGTTCTGCTGCTGGCTTCTCCTTCTCGAGGTCAATCGAATCTCGTGGTGTCTCATTAGGAGTAGGCTGTACTGAGCGCTCGGTCACGTATGTCGGGTTTTTGTAAGGGTCTTTGCCTTTCACATCTTCTGGGTAACCGGTGCCGTTGACTGGTCTTTGGAAATAGTCTTGCTGTGGGTTGGGACCGAAGTTCTGGAAGTTCGAATTTTGATCCATAGGGTATGGGCCTCCAGGCGTCTGCACCCATGTGTTCGTTCGTGTGGTTTGACCTGAGAGGTTTCGACCGTGGTTAGGACCGGAGTCGGAGCTGATAATATTAGGGTTGAAGTTGCTGCTACTTTCGAATGAAAGATCGGCTGGTTGATATCGAGGATCCATTGCTGGAAGCCGGAAGGTGTCCTGCACCGAAGCGAAAGGAGCAAGAACGCCGGTAATAAAGAAAGAGAAAGGAGTAGGGAAATGAAAATTAGTTCAGCGCCGGGCCGTTGGGAAGGGAATGGGCAAGCACAACAGCGGGGGGCGAAGTACTGATAGACAAGAAGCCCAAGCTATAAAGCACGGTTCGACCCATCCGACCCATTCAACCCTCCTCCACGCCGTTTCACAGCGGGCATCGATTGGCGCTTCTGTCTGGAATAGTGTTTACTGTGTAGTGGAGCGCCTGGGCAACAACCCGTTGTAGGGGTGGAATGGAATCTCCTCTGCCTTGGCGGAGGTGAGGTGTTACTTGGACGCTGGTCTTCGTACCCACTGCGAAGCTTCAGATCAGGGCTTGTATCAGAATGCATGTGAAAAGTGCCATAGCGTTTTTGTCGTGGGCGCTTCTAACGAGCAAACGTGGTTTAGGGCGGCTCCGCTCCGTGGCTGCCAAGGCGTTTTGACGTCGGGTCCCTAGGTACGTGGGTAAGCACACCGTGGATATCACATTCGTTATGAGCTTCATTGTTGCGAAAAGGGAAATGATGTCCGTCGCTATTTTAACTGTGCTCCTATACCAAGCTGTGCAACAGTGTCGATTCAAATACCATGGTATCCGCCCTTTGTTAGTCTCCTGGTGATACCTCAAAATCAGAGACGATCCACGGGATGACGTGAATTCTGACGAGTTGTGCGATGCACAAGATGGTGTCACTTCGGCATATAATTCGTGGATAAGAAATTGACCGGCCGGCGACGCGTCGAGAAACGTTTTTGGTGTGCCGCAGGGGAAGCGGGAGGGTTGTGTGCGCCAGGGTTCATCCCTCTGTAAAACATGGCACTCTGTCGGAGTCTGCGCGTCTTCGCCGCATTTTCGTCGTGAACATAGTCCGAAATGACCCGATAGCAAATCTAGGCCAACGTGGGTCTAAGGGCGGGAGATAGACGCCTAGGCGATTTGGCTCAAGACGGGTGCCTGCGGCTGGGAGGAGCTTGAAACCGGCATCGAAACGCCCTAAAGAGCCGCTTGTGTCGTGGTGAACGCCAAGCATCCCACGTAAAACACGCGCAGGAGGACCCCCACATGGCCCATACCAACTCAGCGCGGAATTTGGCTTGGCGATCAAGGGTTTGTTGGTCGACGACGACATTGTGCAGAGCAATGGTGGTTCAGCCACCCTTGCAGCATGGGCTTGGTACATTGAGTTGAAGCGCCAAGGTCGATCTCAAGGTTGCCGCCCTGTAAAAACTGGAAATGTTGAAAATGTTGAGGACTCATATCGTTACAGGGAAGACATTTCCGCAGTGTCGAGCATAAAGCTTATTCGTCCTTCGCCCGATCGTGCATCGAAGCTTCTGCACACGTTCCAGAAACGGCTCCCGTGCGACTGCCATCATTGGTGCCCAACTGGGCGTGACTTAAATTCCAAATCCTGAATTGAGATATCAAGTGCCCCTTTCCTGCCCTTCCGACGCAGTAGCTTGAGGCTGAGAATGTCGTTGTGTTGTGCGGTGGGTCCTCTCCTGCTTATCGCAATTCTTGAGGCTGCGCCCGACGATCGCAGAGCAGAGCCTCACAAATGCCACTCTTGGCAATACAGTACACGCGTCGGTATCCATCGAAGAAGATGCGCAGCAGCAGGTACTTGATGCGGCGGGATGGCAAAGGTGGGCTGGAGATGGGAGAGTGACGTGAATGTGAATGCTTCAACGGGGATGCGGAAGCAGTCCGCGACCTCAAATTGGCTGGCGCCCGCCCATGGTCATCACCACAACATCCTGGCTTCACAATGCAATGCTCGGGTGACTTCTACTCCATCAATCCTCAATCATTGCTTCTGCAAGCAAGCCAAAAGCACCATCCTTTGAGCGAAGAATCTTTCAGGTGGACGTCCAGCTGCCAACATACCCAAACGATCGCAGCTACGCATCATCCAGCCCAATCACATGCACGAGGCAGAATAATATGTTGTCGGCGAACGAAGAAGCGCCCTGCGAGCATTTGGGCTTGGCAGTACCCAAGCCGGAAGGTCGTGCATTCTGCTTATCATACGCACTGCCCAATGTTGAGCATTATATATTCCCTGCAGGAGCTCAATTTCCGTGGCGATCAATCGTTGTTGAAGCAGCGCACTCCCCTGCGGGCACGGAGCTTAAAAGCATCTTAGCACAGCGGAGCGGAGGGCACGCGAAGGCGGCGTGCGCGACAGGTCCGCTCCCGCCCCTTGTGTCAGGCACCATGAATAGAAAAGTCTTATCTAGACGCTGGCAAGCCAAGTTCCTTGGAGGAGGGCTGGGTAATGCGAAGGATTAGAATTGAGGCAAACAGCTGTACGACCGAAGAACCTGAAGTGTAGAAGTGTAAAGACAGCGCTTCGAAGCAGCGTTAACGACTGGTATGACTCAAGAGCTAGAGGTTTGTGAAGAGACCCAAAGTACGAGAAGAAAGCCTTTGAACAACAAGGAACAACCAAATGCCCGCAAATACTGCAATGTCTACTCCTCACATTGGCATAGCGCCTGGAAGGTGTTCGAGCCCTGGCACGTGTGAGCTGACTTCCAACGCAGCAATAGACAGATAACTTACACCCATCGAGGTCGTCGTTCACAGTGTTCTTGATGGTGCACTTGTTGGCTTCCGCAACGCTCTGCGTCTTCAGGTTGTTGCTGACCAAGCTCGTCGAGTCCATAGCTTTCTGCAGCGCATCGCCCTTCCAACCGAACATGTAGTCGCCGTGTGTCCCGTAGCCGCGGCGATCGTCGAAACTCCACACGAAAGGCTGAGAGCCGTCGGCTGGCCAGATGGATTTGTCGTTGAAGGCCGTGGTGTTCCACATGGTCTCGAAGGCGAGCTGCGGCATTCGGACAGGGTGCGTGGACGGACAGGCACCTGCGTTCTGGAACGCACCTTTGACAGTGTTGTACATGTGGTCTTGATGATTGGGGCCTACGGAGGTGAGTGCGCGTCTCACGTGCCTTGGGATGAACTCACTATCGAGGTTTTTTCCATCCCAACATGAGGGGAAGTGGTGGATCGCCATAATGCCAGCAGCGCATGGCTGCTTAGGAAAGTCGTTTGTCTCGCTACCTCGAGTCATTATATCCTTCAGGCAGGTATATCGCAGACCTGGGTTGCTTCCTGAGGCAGTTGTCGGGCTACCAACGGTCATACGGAAGCCCTGATTCTCGTCAGTAATCAATAAAGCATCAGGATGAAATTCCTTACAGGCTTGAAAGAAGTAATCTTGGTCTTGCCGTTCGAGTTGAAGTCTTGTTGAAGGTAATAAATGGTCATGCCTCCAGTCAACGAGCCCAAGAGAGCATTGGGGTACTGCGGTACGCGCTTGTAAGTGCCGTTCCTGGCCTTGAAATACAAAACAGCAGTCCAGTAGTTGCTGGAGACGGTCAGGAGCTGCTTCCACGCTATCATGAGTAATAGCTTACCTGAAATCTTCGGAGAATGAGCAAGTCGTGCACGTGGCCCTCGCACCGACGTCACCGTTCATGGTGGCATTGAAAGCATTTCCTCCCACAATCTATGTTGTAAATACTATGAGTGTTTGATCAAAACAGGTTCCTGGGCAGCTTGCCTGGTGCAGGTGAGCCGATGGAATGCTTCCTGGCTGGAAGGATCAGCAACGTCGTCATGTAGACAAGAGTTCGAGTTTAACATACCTCGACAACGGGATCCAGACGCTGCACTGAGAGGGTTGCGCATCCGAATCGTATGTAAGCCCAGGAGGGCGCCGCGAAGGCGAGGGCAAAAGAAAGCCACTTCATCATTGTAGAACGATGCTTCAATGAACACAGCCAGTGTCAGTCGAGGCGCTGGCTAGTCAAAGAGTTATATGTTTTCTCCGCTCTCAAAACGTTCTCCAGCTCTTAGAACATGCCGCACTGGTCGTCAATAGCCATGCTGATGGACCGTTACTTCGAAGCTTCTCCGTCCAACCAGCGTTCAGATCTGTAGAGTGCATCGCAATATACTCATAACTTTCCCCGCATCTGGTCTGGTTTTGCGCGCTTCCCCAACCTCAGTATAACTGGGCCCTGCTCTAGTCATCTATGCATCCGAGATTGGTCACACGAGCTGCTCTGCCGGTAGTGCTGATATTGCCGAAAGGTGGCGGCCGAATAGCCGTCGCAAAAACTGCAGCCATTGAGCTGTCGACAGTGATCCTTGGCTCTTGAATTAGATGAGCCTTGGTTTCCTGACCTGCCTGTGTGTTAAGATACAGGAGGTCATGGCTGTATTCTGGGACAGGAAGATCGCGAATGTAAAGCCGACCCTCCAGGGCATCACGATGCTTTGAAGCAGTTAGCTAGGGCTCAAGTGATGTCATTTGCGTTCCGGAGTGTTTGTGCACACGGCATGTATCTTCCGACACGACCACCGCGATGACTTTGTCAAGGAGTGTTTCGTAAAAGCATGCGACCATGCTCAGGTGACCAATGGGCCTGCACCGATGTAGGGATGTCGTGCTTCATGGACGATACAGCAGGGTTTTCCAGGAAAATCTCAAAGACGATGATCACAATGTCAGTGGTGATGGAAATTATTGCGGGGAGGAAGGTGGCATGGGCGGCACGTGGGTAGGTGACAACCTTGGAAGGCTCGACAAATCGGCTCTAGTGGCTTGGCGCTGCAAACCTCTGTGAAGGATCTCGGAACACACTCCATACCTTATCTAGACCAACACACTACATCTTTGCGGGCTGCTGGCCCCAATCGTTTCGTATCAACACCATCGTCTCTTTCTCGATTCATCTCGTTCGTGCGAGACGGCTAAGCACATGTTCGGCCGTGCGCACAGCGACAGATACGCGCCGGACTAAGGCAAACACGACTTGCTTCTTGGGGTGCCATATGCCTTTAAACCGTACTGTGGTCGTCAAGGCAGATGAATGTCCAACTCTAGAACTTCGAAGGCCTTACCTGATCATTAGCGTGCCAGGAAGAGGCATGCCTCCAGATGTCGCCCTCCTGAGTTTCGCCGCCCAGTAGGTTGCTAGTAGCACTTGAATTGCCCAAGCAGGGTGTTGTTGTGACAACATGCCTCGCATATGTCTTCTAATATCTGTAGCAATACGGCCCATGAGGGGGGCCTCTCACGATTTCCTGTAGAATGCCACCAACAGCGATCCCTTTTCAAAACGAGATCCCACGTATGGGACGCCTGTGCAAGGAACGTACTTCCCGGTCCCTTTTCCACATGGTGGTTTTCCATTCAGCTGCTCACCTTTACGATATTGTCCCTTCCGTCGTACGGCGTTTCTAACGAGGTAGCCTCACCGGGACACCAGATGCGGAAGGGACCTCTCATCCTCACATTTCCGGCGTGGAGCTCGTTGAATCTCTACGGCTCAAGTAAAAGCAGAACTGGATCTCTTGAGCTCTGTCGCAAGATGCAATTTAATGCCAGGTTCTTAACGCTGCGGCGCAAACAACGCGACCGTCCTGCAGGCGAAAACACCGTCCTCCACGAAGTCGTCAAGCTCTACTCCTGCATCTAGCCATCCTCGAGTCCCCAGCATCAACTTGCAACCGTCTGCGTGTTTGCACAGCTCCGCTTCACGATCGCGTTCCGCACCTGCCTTCACTTCTCACCCACAACAAACCCGGCGTCTCTCACCTCTCACCCCCAACACAACCCGCCGTCTCTCACCTCGCCCCTCTCATTTCACCCACTACATAACCCCTCTTTATCCTCAATATCTCATCGAACACCCACCCCCAGCTTGGCGTCTGCTGAGATGGCCCACTGGCGAGCGCAGTTAGTCTGACTACCTGCCCCGCCCCGGGTTAACCATCTCTTACCAGGCCAACCTGAGGGCGCGTGTTCGATCCCCACAATCAGCAAACTGCTATCAAAGTGCTATTAGCATGGGTGGTTTCTGGACGGGTTCGCATGATTGGCTGCTCGTTTCTTTTGCTATTTTTTTTTTTGTAGAGGGGTTTATTTTTTTGTGCTTTTTTTTTTTTTGGTGGGCGAAAGGGTTTGAGCCCGTAGAGGCAAACAGAGAGAGATTTATTATATTGAGACGTAAGAATGGGATTGAGGAGTCGCAGAAGTAAGCGCCGTAGATTAAGATTGAAGTCATTATGAGTTCAGACTAATTGAGAGCAAAGGTTTGAAGAATCCTTGGTTCGAAGAACAATGTGATATTGACAACGTCTGTTTAGCATAAATAACATTTCCCCTTGATACGGCTTGTGCTATATCCAACTTGCAACATCGTTCCTCTCAATTTCCTCTAGTTCTGCGGGCATCAGCTCTGGTACGGGCGGTAGCTCTTTCATTCTCTCTTTCTCTTTCTTGCGTCGCCGTGCCATCAACAGTTCGTGACAGCTCATACAGAATATGCCTTGACTCGTCCGCGCATACTTTAGGTTCTCTATCTTGCATTTGCAATTCCGACATCTGAAACAGTTTGCGCAATAGGCCTGGTCACCGGTGACAATTGCCAGATCCTCTATTCTATTGCCACAATGACTGCAATCATAGGTGCACTTGTTGCAGACCAACGTGCCGTCCCCAATCAGGAGTAGATTTGCATCATCACCAAGGAGTTCGCCGCACGTGTTGCACCGGAAACAATCCAGGTGCCAACGGTTGCCCACTGCGCGTTCGTTAGCTGCGGTTGGGGCATAAACACCTAGGGTAGTTTACTCACCTAACTCGTAAGCTTTACCCTCTTCGAGGATTTCCCCGCAACCTTTGCAGTAATAATCTCCATCGGGAAGCGATTCGTAGCCGTCGTCAAGCAACGCGTCACGTGCATCGCCAGATGGTGAGAGGGATTCTCCAGACAAACCAGCTTCTGTTCCCGTAGCCTTGCTCGATGATGCATCCTCCTCGGGGATGCCTAGCGAATGATTGGGAGGTCCTTCCAAGCGTTGCAGAGTTTTATCATGTACGCCGGGTGACTTCACTGGGGTGGAGCCTTGCTCCTCGTTCTCTAGCTCGAATGGCGGATCCAGTTCGAGAACAGTCATAGGAATCTCTGGAAGTACTAAAGGATACAAACTGGTAGGAGTTGATACCATCGAGCTTGACTCCTTATGTCCAGGGAGAGTCTTCTTGTTTTCACCAGAAGTGCCTGCCTCCACGATGACCTGAGCATGTGTCCAAGTTGCTGTGATCTCAGCAGACTCTGTTTGGCCGAATTGGTAATATTCCGAGTGGCCTCGGACATCCTCAGGATATAGCGGTAGAGCAATAACGGATATGACTGAGATATCTGCAAGCGATAGACCCGAAAATATTGACCAAGTCTGCGTGCGGATCACAGAACTGACCATAGAATGGTCGCAATTCCTGTTCTGCATCGTGCGATACACGCGTGATGATTGCAAATCCTCGTCAAATGCGAAGCGTACTTTGACCGCTTCGAGAATCGAGACACGATTACTTGCGGAAGGTCGCGACGAAGTTATCGTTGCGTTGTCTGCTTCGGGTGCGAGGCTGCTATTGTCCATGTCCCTTGTTACAATACTCATGGCATCGAATGTGTCTTCAAGATTGCGCAGTCGCTTGCCTAGTCGCTGGTTGTCTTGGAGCAGTCTTTCGATCATCGATTCCAAAGACGATTGCGATCGGTTGGCATCGGCATCTGAGGCACTGCGAAACTCATCAGCAATGAAATACAATAGTGTATGTGCAATTTACCATTGGAGAATGTTGAGCATCAAACTTATTGTCGACTTGTGCCTTTGCAGCCGGTCCACGATCTTATTGCAGCTATCCTCAGCCCAGACCCATTTCAGTCGTGCTCTAAGTGGCACTTTCGATCCTTGCAGCGCAATGAAAGGCGCGATAGCAGTCTCTAGTTCGGAAAAGGTAAGTACGGAATCTGTGAGCGTAACGATCAACTGATCTATCTGAATCAAAGCGGCGCGATGCGATTGCGTTAACGAGAGATCCGTAAGGAGGTTCTGCAGTGAGGATAATGCGGCCCGAACTTCTTGCACTTCGCATGCGAGCGACACGAGAACGCGGGGCGCATCTTTAGCGGTCGTTATCGTGCCATGGAGAAGCTCTCCCACTTTGCTTGCTGCGGCCAGGATACCGACAATGGAGGCAGTAACACTCAAGGGATCCATATGTTAGTAGAAGGCAGAGGCATAGAGAAAAAGAGGCGCGTGTGGCCTTAGATAGGCGGACCACATGGAGCGAAACTCAGCCCCAATTGACCACAGCCGAGCCCCCACCAGGTGGGCGTGTACACGAACAACGCGTCCGTGGCCTCGTCTTGGACATCGCGATACGATCAGAGTAGTTCTTGGTGAGCTGCGCTTTAGCTACCCACTTGTGAGGAACGCCCTCATCTTCTCTAGACAATTTGTACCGTTGATCCGTTCCTATAGCTCGACGAGTGTAGCCGTTGTTTAAGAGATGATTATTGAGAGCGTAAGGCTGTGACATGGCGCGCGCGTATGGTAGCCTGACAGGGTGAGGCGAGCATTCGATAGGCTGAAGCAACCCGTATCTCAAATCAGCCTCGTTCCAAGGTTTGAAAGGTGGGAGCCAACAGGCCGCGGAGGAATGTGAGGGATGTCGCGTTGTAAGGCATGGTGACGTCGCCTTTGAGTTTCCATGAGGCCTGGGAAAGAACCACGGAACACTAGTCACGTGCTGGTCACGTGGGGCGCCTAACGCCTGTGCGCATCAGCGGGCAAGTTTTACCGAGGCTGCACGCATCATTAGAACATGAAACATCACCACATCTACCGTCACTCTCGCACATCAATAAAGAAAGATTCTTGAACTGTTACAGTAGAGCGCAAGTTCCGCTCGTCCTAAAAAGGCCCTATCTCACTATGTCACACGAAGATCTTTGACTTTCTGATCGGTTCTGGCAAGGCTACCACAAGTGCGACGAGCAGGCTGTGTATATCAACCTGGATATTCCAAGCTTGCCGAAGTCTATATGAGAACCGAACAAGCGGACCCTCTTTTCGAACATCCACGTGAGACACAACCAAGATGTTGTTCATGGCGAATGCGAATAGGAATTTGCGGTGAGCAGGTTTGCATATGCATAATGAGGAGCTGAGCACTTCTCTTCTCGGCCCATGAACAGTAGCATTTCAAGCCATCAGAAATATCTTGTCAGAAGACCAAATGGACTTGCTCTTGCAATGCCCGCAGTCCATTCTCCAAGCACAGCATGAAGTAACACTGGAGGACCTTTTGTCAAGCCCCCAAGTATGCGACGAGTAGGCCCAAATCCAGAGGTGGAAGTTAAGCTCCTCGGTTTCCCGTCATATGGGCAGTAGAGTTCGTTGTTTCTAGACCACGTGAACAGAAGCGCAAGCAGTCCTGCTCCTACAGTAACAATAGGCCAAAATTCAGTCAGGACGTGAGAGAAACATGACTTCCATATTTTGATGCAGCCGAATGAATGTGGTATTCAGGAGAGTAACTCTGGATTACTCCTCCCGGCACATCCAATGTCTTCATGAACTTTTAGAACATTACATGCGCTAAAGACAGCACAAGCAGTATCGCCCATGTGCAACCTTCCACAGTTCTTGGACGCATCGAAAGGTAATGACAACACTGCTTCTGCTAGCACATCGAGCTTGGATATCCGTCTTTGGGCGTTGTAAGTGGTAAAGAAGCCAGGCCGCGCAAGTGCATACGCCTTTCGATTCTCGAATCCCAAGGCATAAGCTGTCAGCAACATAGTTATAAGTAATGCTAGCCGGCGAGCAATCGCGCAGCCCAGGACATGTGACAGAGAGAGATACATTTCGTATCACCCAGCACATAGTAATGCCAGTTGTACTTTTTAGTCGATTCGTAAAGGTAAACGGCCAGATCTACCTCTCGACATATTTTCCGACTTGCATTTCAGTGTAAGCAGAAAGACAGAGCACTCTGCCCATAATCTCATCAGTATCGTCTTTATACTTCTCTTCTCACGAGTCATGATTCGGGATCGGTTGTGTTTCGTTCCGCACATCAAATCAGGAGCAAGTCCAGATTAGCAGAGGTAGAATCATATCTTTTTGTCCCGCAGCATATCGTCCGGAGCAGGCAGCTTTTTTCGTCGGGCAAGTCGAGAGGTACTATCGAATGTCTTGTCCTCACACATGAACCGAAGAACTATCCATTTGAGTCGTGTATGCAGAAGCATCCGACAGGACACATACACAACGTCGTCTAATGATCTTCGCTTCTTGGAGACCATGCCATCGTCCACACAGGATTTTAGTACGCCTATCGAACAGGCGGGCTCGAGCATGGAGAGGTAAAGGTCGAATTGCAGTTCTCCCGGCACATTACTCTGGGTTTCCACTCTTTTGGTGGTTCAATTCAGGACGAGTCACGCCGCGCATGGTGACTGATTTGACAGAGATCTTGTCACGGCACATGTAGCACCAGTGAAAGCCATGTAGTCGCACATGCAGAGGCAAACATCAAATTACCTCTCCCCAAGCACATGCTGTGCTTCTGCGTACCTTTTGGTCGTGTAGGATGGAGCACGAGTCGCACAGAGGTAGAAATTGAACCCCTCTACCAGCACATGATCCCATCCATCCACCTTTCTGATAGCTGGACGCGGAAGACGGACCATGCCGCATGCCAGATGAGAGGCCAAAGCCGCACTCACAGCACATGTTTCCAAAGTTGGCTCTTTTTCGTTGTGCGAGATGTGAGAAATACGTTGTGGTTGTTGAATTCAATCCCACCTGTTCCCTCATAGATTGATCGATAGACCATTTTAGTCGTGCAAGATAGAAGACAAACCACCTCGTGCATGTAGAGTGACCTCAAACTTCTCACCTCCCCCGGTGCATCATTGGTGGTGTATAATGTTTGATTTTGTCAGTCGAAAGACAAGCCGCAACACGCATGAAGGAAGCATCACTCACTTTCTCGTCTCTCCCAGCACATGCAGTGATACCAAATCCTTTTTGATCATGGGACCTCAGAGACAAGCACACTGCACATGTAGTGCAGGACGTTTGAATTCAGTCTCTCACAGGCCATGAGTACTGGTGAATTTGGTTTTTGATCGCGTTACCAGACGAGCAGCGAGAAAGCCCAGGCCATGCAGAGGTAGAAGTCAAATTCCTTCTCCAAGCATATTCTCCATAACTGTCAAGTTTTGTTGGCGAGAAGAAGAACGCAATTAGCAACGCGCGTGCTGTAAATGAATACGAATTGCTCGACTTTCGCAGCCCATCAAGCACCAGTATCAGTTCTGATCGGGCGAATGGGAAGCAGCGAGCAAGCCTAGCATGCAGAAACAGAAGTCGAATTTGATCGTCCAGCGCATCATCGACCGTTGCGGGTTTTTTTCTGATACTGACATGCAGAGCCAAAGGCGGGTTGCGCATGCGATGACTTTGAAGTAGTTGCTGCCTGCCACAGGCCATAACGTTGGCCAGTAGCCTTCTGTATAGTATCTGCATGCGGTGAATATGTCAGCACTCTGGACGGTTGAATCATGGTGGATCGGCCGCAGAAGCAGCGTGTAGAGCAAGAGCGCTTAAAGCTCAGGTCAATCTGTTCCCGCGCAAGCCATGACGGTCCTCCATTGTCGCTTGAAGAGGAGAATAGGGAGCAGCGTTCGTCTGACAGCATCCAGTTTCGGTTTCAGACTCTTCGCCTCTCGCAGGCCATGTGTCTGCTTCGTTGCATTTTTGCAGTCGAGGTGCACAAGCCGGGACGAGAACAGGACATGCATTGCTCATCATCAACCTTTGATCTCTCACGACATTCTGCCCATTCGTCGTGGTTTCAGTCTCTTAGCATGAATATGAAGGGATGCGGGCAACATTTCCACGTCATATTTTAGCTTTTCGCTTCCGGCAGCCCATGCTTTGGCGATCTGGCGCTTTTTGATAGGGTGAGTAGACGACCAGCGCGAAGAACAAGACATGCATTGGCGGGTGATGCCTTGAGAACCTCTTTGCAAACATGGCCAGCTCAGAGTCTTTAGTTGTAATGACTGTGTTCGAGAAGGAACAGTGGCGGCAATAGACAAGGAGGGATCTGAAGCTCTCATTCTCCCGCAGACCACACTTTCTGCTTGTTCGGATTTCTTTTGTCTGTAGGCACGAAGAGTACGGGAAAAAGGATATGGTGAGCTGTTCTTAGAATTGTGTGCCTCTTGCACAACATGGAAGTCAACCTTGTTGTTTCGGACACTGACGTGCAAGAGGACGAATCGCGGACGTCATCAACAATTCGAACAACTTCTTTTCGCCTCCCGCAGACATGGATTCTGCCAGGACGCGTTACGCGGAGCCAAACCAGCCCACATCGCATCAATTTATGGGCGTTTCAGCTGCGTACCCGAACTTGGAATGCGGACAAGAAAGAAGGCAAGACAGCGTAGAAGCGCAGGTTGGCCTTTTTATGCGACAGACGGCGGTCCTCATGGCCATTCCTCGAGGTCCTTTTTGACTCAAAGTGCAGAAGACGGCAGCGATTTATCTTTGTGTTCATTCCAGTCTCGCCCTTGTTCCCAAAGTGTGCAAGAGAAATAAGGCCAGCTATTATCGTTTGCGAATAGAATACCCCCACCCTACCATGGTACAGATCCTCAATTTTTGTTAATTGTATAATATATTCACTCTATTACTGGCTATATCTTGTTCAATACTAGCTATATCTTGTTGAATGCTAGCTAGATCTTGTTAAATGCTAGCTAGATCTTGTTAAATGCTAGCTATATCTTGTTGAATGCTAGCTAGATCTTGTTAAATAGCTAAATTTAGTTGTGGTAGACGTTAAAATAGGGTACCTAGCTATTAGAATAGGCGTACCAACGTATTTAAACTAATAGTAGAGTAGATATATAAAATACTTATAAAAAGGGGAAGCCGTACTATGGTAGGGTGGGGGCATTCCTTTCGCAAAGCACTGATAACATAGTAGTCATGTTCGACGTATTTATGCGACCGACGAAAGGTCTCATTGCGGGCTTTCGAAGTCGATTCTAGTCCTGAAAATGATAGAAACGTGCAAGAGAAAGAAGGCAAGACAGGAAGGATAGATACTCTTGTCTCCTTTTTGAGCGCAGGCGGCCTGCCACATGCTTCTTTGGCATGACGCGTCTAATAGCGACAATCTTCCACATGTATCCTGTGCCTCCTACTTTTGTAGCCGGACCAACAAAGCAGTCCGCATCGGTTGGACCGGGCAAAGTTTCCGACCTGACATTAATACTAAAAGCCGGACAAGAACAGGCCCAAGACAGGCAGCATAAGCGTCTCATGGTTTTGGCGTTTTGTGCGCAGGCGGTTTTCCACATATGTGTGTGCAGGTGCCTTTTGGTAGCCCGAAGGAATAAGGCCAATCCACATAATCTTTCCGCATGTGGTCTTGGTCTAGCACTCGATCCCAAGGCTGTACAGGGGAAAGGAGACAGGCGAGGCAGCCGCCACATGTATCTTGCGCAGAATGTTTTTCGTAGCAGAACAAACGAGACAAGTCCACATCATCCCGGTCGTTCAGGCTTTTTGACTCTGTTTTCAGTGCGAAGAGCGTGTAAGCGGAAGAACGCAGGGCAGCATGGGCGTGATAGCGGGTCTCCTGCCCAGACGGTCATCTCTTCCACATATAAGGTTTAGCAAGTTGTTTCGGTAGACAGGGAAACAAGCTGATTTCAAATAAAGCTGGCAGTAACAGCGTTTTTTTCCCAACCTCAATCCAAGACTGTGCAAAGAAGAAGAACAAGGCAGCATAGACTTGTTATCAGACTTGTTTGTGCGGAACGGTCTTCTCTTCCAAGACTGTAAGGTTTCGCAAGTTCTTCCGGTCGGTAGCCGGAAAAACCATGCCAATCCACATGAACCAGGTCGAAGGAGTCTTTTCGTTTCCGCATGCAGTGCTGAGGTCGTCCAAGAGAATACAAACAACCCAGCATGGGTGTGGTAGCTTATCTCTTATGCGATCACAGTCTTCCACATGTAGGTGTAGGTCTCGGCAGGTTGTTTCGGTAAGCAGCCTTCCACATTAAACTTAATCGTGGTTGTTTTGGAAGCTGAACCAACGAGCCGAAACCATCACTCGTCGTGGTCCGTCTTTTAGTCCGGCCCTTGAGTCCGAATACTGTACAAGAGAAGACGAACAAGGCAGCATGAATCTTTTCAAAGCCTTCTTTGTGCGCTGATGGTCTTCTCTCCCTCATGAACCTTCTGTAAAACGCTTTTAGCAGCCAAAGAACAAGAGCAAATCCACATGAGGGTGTCTTCGAGGCTTTTTTGACCCTGCACTCAGAGCTAGAAATATAGAAGACAAAGAACGCAATACAGGCAGCATGTACGAGGTTTGGGGGCCATTTTGGTGCGCAGACAGGTCTCCATATAAGGTTTCGCAATTTCGTTGGATAGCCGAAGACGCAGGGCAAATCTCCATATGGTGTGTGGAGATTAGTTTTTTGGTTTTGTACTCAATCCCAAAATTGTGCAAGACAAGGCGAACAAGGCGCCATAAGAGCGTTCCCAGGCTTTTTTCGTGCGCCGTTAGTCTTCTCTCCGACATAACATAGACTTCCCATGTCTTTTTGAAGAAGTGAAGAACCAGAGCTAGTCCACATTATAATGCTCATATGTAAGTTCTAGTGCCAAACTCCATCCGCATAAACACCTTCTTTAGCCTTTTGTGCACCGACGGTCTTTCTTTCCACATAGATCTGGTGCCCTGTGCGTTTAGGCCGAACCAAGAGAGCCAGTCCACATCAATTTGTCTGACAACTGATTTTGGTTCTCCCCTTACTCCTAAGGCTGTGCAGCAAGAGAAGACAAGAAAACGCAGCATGTGGCGCGACTGGGTTTCCTTTGGTGCGCCAACAGGCCTCCACATGATCCTTTGCAATGTCTTTTGGTGGCCCACGATCATTTACATGTACTTTTTCTGTAAGCTCTTTAAGTAGCAGAAAGACCAGAGCGAATCCACATGTGAACGACTGTGAACTGTGTTTGGTCCTCCCCTTACTCCCAAGACTGCAGCAAGAGAAGACAAGAAACCGCAGCATGGGGCGCTGCTGAGTCCTTTTTGTGCGCCAACAGTCCTCTCTTCCACATACCTTGTGGTGCGACCTCTTTCGGCAACCGACAGCCTTCCACATGAATTCTCTGACAACCCTTTTTGGACCGAACCAACAGAGCCAGTCCACATCGCTAGACCGCATTTGTATTTTACTCCTGCTCCAACTCCCAAGACTGCAAGCAAAAGAAGGCCAGGCAGGCAGCATAACTCCTTTGCGCAGCTGTTTCGCGTAAGCACTCCCCCCATGACCGTCCCCTGTTCCGATTTTGAGTCCGCAGAGCGCACACGCGAAACCACATCGAATCTCGCCTCGTTAGTTTTGAGTCCGCAAACGCAAGACCCAGTCCCATCGACTCGGTCTCCAGACAATTTTAGTCCTCCCCCCCGCTCCCAATCGTGCAAGCAAGACAAAGACCACCAGGCAGGCAGCATACATGTAGTCGCTATCCTTATCGTTTTATCGCCCAAGCACTCCTCCACATTTCGGCTTTTTCGTACAATTTCGGAACGCAGAGCAAGACGCGAAGCATCCTCCACATGTCTATCTCTAGGTCGACTTTGAGTCCGCAAACGCAAGACCCAGTCCCATCGACTCGGTCTCCAGACAATTTTAGTCCTCCCCCCCGCTCCCAATCGTGCAAGCAAGACAAAGACCACCAGGCAGGCAGCATACATGTAGTCGCTATCCTTATCGTTTTATCGCCCAAGCACTCCTCCACATTTCGGCTTTTTCGTACAATTTCGGAACGCAGAGCAAGACGCGAAGCATCCTCCACATGTCTATCTCTAGGTCGACTTTGAGTCCGCAAACGCAAGACCCAGCCCCCATCGACTCGATCTCCAGACAATTCTAGTCCTCCCCCCACTCCCAATTGTGCAAGCAAGACAAAGACCACCAGCCAGCATTACAACCTTTTCAATCGTTTTCGCGCGCAGACAACCCTCCATATGTCATATTCTTCGTAATATTTTGACTCCCCGGACAGCAAGAAGCGAAACCACATCGAGTCTCAATTCGTCGATTTTGAGTCCGCAAACGCAAGACCCAGTCCACATCGGTCCGATCGCGTGCGATTTTTAATCCCACCTCACTCCCAAGACAGACAGCATAGACCCCCTTCTGGACATTTTCGCGCCCAAGCACTCCTCCCCATGACCAAGTGCTCATGCACTTTCGGCACCATGCGTTTCCCCATTGCCGGTTTTAATGTCTACCATTTGGTAGAGTGGTACAGTGTAGAGTGCGAGAAGAGATAGATTCGCTGCTTTATATACCTACAAGTCTCAGGCCTCGCGTCGGCATCATTGAGATGTGGTGACGATGCACAGCGCCACGCTACAGTCTCACTTATCGGCCAGAGGCGGTGAGACATACTCACGTAGTGATGTACCACAGCAGCAGGCCACTGCCACAATGCCACATCTCCCTTCGGCACCACGCTGCCCCCAAGCCACACTTGCATCCACACAGTTCACACGTCCCTGGGCACGGACAACGGCAGGAAGGAAAGGGAAGGTGCCAACCTCGGTGCAGTATGCTACACCGCACATCGCTCGTATAAGTGAGATCTCTCCTTGAGCTTTAAGAGGCGAAGTCGTCCGGCTCTTATCTCTTAAGGGATGGTTGTCGTTCTTGTGTTTGATTTGGTCCCTTCGGGGGCGCTTGTGGCTGTCTTGGCTTGGCGGACGGCCAGCCTCGTCTCGCTTCTTTCGGTTCGCCTCGCCGATACGAACAGGCAGGGATATCCATTCGCCAACGGGGAACGGGTCGTTCTGAGCCTCAGACCCTGGGGGAAATCAAAACGTACAGGGAAGGCGATCCTACGGCTGGTTGGGGTCGAAATCTCCGACATCAACGATGATCAATCTCACACCAGCGCGGGAAATATCCAAAGTCCATCACAGCACGGCAATAAGATAGTGATTGCTGCACAACTTCGCACGGGGAACTACGCACATCCCCATGCCTTGCATTACTCATCTCATCCTCACTATCTAACTCCCCCATCCCCCCACTGCCATCCACCACCTCTCTTCTTCCCCAGCCGAATAGAAAATAGATGCGAGACAGACCGCCGCTCATGCGCCATGATATTAAAAAAGGATAGTTTTCCGGCCATTGGCCATGCAAGCAAGGACCGACTCAACCCACAGGGTGTGTAGGGTATATAAAGGGACAGAAAGGACAGGAAAGCGACAATGTGAGCCGCGCGCTATGCAATAACAATCATGTGAGGGAAGCGATGGCTCGAGCTGTGGCTTGCTCAAGATGAGAAAGGTAGAGGTAGCTAGCTCATAGCAGGGTCAGCGACGCGAAGATGCCAACCAGCGTGACAGCCAGGCCGTAGCTAGCGCCGAAGCCGACGAGCGTGGAGGCAGCGCCGGGCGAGTCAGGCGAGGAAGTCGCGCCTGCGAAGCCAGTAATCGGGACCGTCGACGAGGCAGAGGCGTCGCTGCCGGTAGCCGAAGCCGTCGCCGAGTGCGAGGAGCCGGAGGAGGTGGAGGTAGCGTTGCCCTTGTAGGGGTCCTGGGCACCGCACGGGTGGTCGCTGCGGCAGGCGTCGGCGCAGGCGTTTTGGCCGATGCCGCAGGCGTTTACGCAGTTTGTGCCCCATTGCGTGCAGATGTTGTAGGGGAGGGTCTGTGTGTACTGGGTGAGGTTGGGGGAGACGTTGTTGTCGCAGACGCAGGAGGCTACGAGGGTGTCCTGTGTAGAGTTAGCTTGTGCTGGAGGAAATGTTGGGAAGCTGAGGAAGCCGCGACCGAGCAAACAAGCAGTCAGTGACATTGGTCTCATCGCGGATATTTGTCTGCGGATAAGAAACGTGATCGTCTCAAGCTTGCTGGTTTGCATTGGTCAACTCAAGCTTGGAAATTGTACGTACCGAGTCACATTCATTGGTGACCGTGTTCATGCTCGAGACGCCGGGCTGTTGGAGGCAGATCTGGGGGCAGGAGGCCTCCTGCTGCTGGCACCAGTAGTCCCTGGTCGACTTCTGGACAGTGTCGGGGTCGATGGTGTACTGCTCCTGCGCGGCAGAGAAGCCAGCGAGGGCGAGCAAGCCGAATGTGAATGTGGAACGCATGTTGAATGTGGTTGATGTGCGTGTTTCTGAAGCTACAATTGAGAGTCAGTTTCAGATTTGTGTTTTGTTATCAGTGGCGGATTGCTGATAACAAGCTGGAATGCACTCACAGTCCGTTCGGAAGCAGGTGAGACGTGAGGTATTACAAGATATAGTTGAAGCGAAAGTGCGGTATGGAATTATATGCGTAGCCAGAAATCAAGGTCTCAGCAGCTGCGTATCTCCCAAAGCGAATGACGAGGGACGTGAGGCGAGGGAACAGAAGGCATCCGGGAGGAGGCCAGTTGATAAAGAAGGGAGAGGAAACGCTACGCACCTACCCTCTGGCACGGACCCACACTTGCATAGAGTAAACGCTAGCCCGGCGCCGCACCCGAGGCCAGACTCAACACCAGCCTCCCATTTTGAACTACAGACTCGAGGCTGACGAGGGCGTCGTGCAGGCCGGGAGTGTCGAACGGGAGTGTCGAACGCGGTGAGGGCGATGGTGCATCTCGTACGCCCGTGGAGCAAAGAGAAGCCCGTGGAGCAGAGACCAGAGAGACAAGGTCTCAAAAATGGAGCAGGGATGGTGCGGGGCGGACAAACCAGAGTGGGCCGTCGTCGGGGCGATTGGCCACTCACAGAAGCCAATAAGCCAGGGTTCAGCACCGCGGCATCGCCAATTGATATCGCCCTGGTCTGCACTCTCCTTCACCTCGACCGCATCCACGGCCTGCTGCTGCCGGCTGGTACCACTTCTGTTCTTCTTCACGTGTGTCATCCTCAGATAGAGTGATCCCACCATCTGCGCCACGCCCCCACCAAGCCTTGCCCCCTTGGAATGGATGGAGTCCCGTGATGCAGCAGACCGACTTGAACCCGCCGCTGCCACTGCCCGCCCAGAGCGCAGCTCGATAGTCCCGCCCTATTGGCAGCGCCACGAGCGCAACGACAGCCGCCTGAGCTGCAACTCGGTAGAGGCTCGCACGCCTCCCATCCGCCTCGAAGACCACACCGACGAGGGCTCGGAGCAGTGCAAGGCGCTCTGGGCCAAGCACGTAACCATCGATGATTACGTCGTCGTTGGGAGCGGCACGACGCCTGCCCTGGGCGCTTATGTCGTCTGGAATATCACCGTCGACACGCTAAATGTGAGTGCAGTAGTCGCCTCTATTGAATGCATTCAACTAACCGGCCCAGGGGAGTCCCATGAAGATTATCAAGCGGTGTGTTAATATTTCCGGACGCACAAAGCTCGAAACTAAATCCTTAGCTACTCCGACTTCGACGACCTGCGACAGAAGCTGGTGCAGACGTTCCCCCACTTGGTGGGCGCTATACCGCCGTTGCCACCAAAGTCTATTGTCTGTAAGTCATCCCAAACTCCGCACCTGCACATATATAGCTCATCCGCGGTCCACCTCACCCCACCTACCGCTTCGGGCCTCGCCATGTATTGATCCTCTGCAGCGCGCTTCCGCTCCAAGTTTCTGGAGAAGCGGAGAGTCGGCCTCGCACACTTTCTCAAGTAGGTCCATGGTGCGTCGCGCTAGCTGCATCGCTCATTATTTTTAGCTGCATCCTGCTTAATCCCGAGTTCGCCGGCTCGCCCGTCCTCAAGGAGTTTCTGTTTGAATAATCTCTGTTTGAGTAACGCGGTTTTGTATATTTGGTTCCTTCTCTTCATGTCTATGTTCAACGCATCTCCTTTCACCCTACCTTCCGCTTTCATGCCGTCCCACGTTTCGAATGTGCGCTAGCGGCTTCTGCGATTAGCGGCATCGAGCATTTCTGGTGAGCTGATACAGACCACGACAACCGACCACGGGAGCTCCTCAATGCACCGTTGGGCAAGCCAGGTTGAATCTGGACTTTCACGTTACCGTCGTTCTGGTTGCAGGTTGACCGCGGACTGCCGCTGCCTTCTTGTGCATGCTTCACATGACATGTTCATCATTCTCCAGCGCTGCAAGCTGTATATATCTTCTGATTCCCTCGCATTTTCCGCAGAGTCCAGTGACGTCGTGTCTGGGGTGCCGGTAGGGTGTACCCTGCCTGACGAGGATTGGCTGCGATGCACCGTGGCGTCGTACCGGCGAGAAAGCGCTCGGAAAATCTCAAGCTGTTTTCATATCGATAATGCTCCCAAGCTAATACCGACGTTGAAGCGCTCTGTGCTGCGCTGTCCTGCCACAATTGCAACGTGAAGCGTGAGGTCGCCATCCTACAGCTCGTTCGTGCTCGCCTGGCCCAGACGGCACCCCTAACGCGAGTGCCTTCACCCAAGCCGCGCAACACTCAATGGCAGCGCACAATAGCTCGTGATCCCGTGCCGGTGACTATGCGCCAGCACGATGCTCAAGGCAATCAACACAATGGCCAACTTGATCCGGCCAGCTTCTGACCGCAGGACCACGAGGCACACCAGGTCGCGCTCCCCGCCGCCCGCTGAGGTCGCGAAACAGGCCGCCATCCACCAACAGCCCCCAGCGCCTATCCTCACGCGCCGCATGTCCAAGACCCTCCCGCTGCCTGCAGACGCGCCCAGTGCACGCGATACCTACCCGACAAAGCAGACGTCGCCCGCGCGGTCGCGAAAACGGTCCATCGCCGAGGTCGACACGCCCGATGCGCGACCACCGTCAAAGACCAAACAAAGACGCTCCTACGACGACCTGTCTACCTGGGCAAACGACGCAACAAAGAAGCTACACGGCCATGTCGAAGACGTCCCGTCCGGCGCGTCGACGCCCATGCAGGACACATCTTCCGCGATGGGCGACAAGAAGAGCTTGAGAAGCAAGAACCCCGTGCGGAAAGCCAGCGAGCTGGCCGACATCTTCGAGGACTACGACCAGATCATAGCGAACTGGGAGGATGGCGAGAGCACGGAGAACAGTGCGTGTGTAGCGTGGAAGCAGGGGAATAAGCTGACAGCTACAGGTGTTTCTAGCATAGGCCGTGACGACAAGATATCCGTCGTAGACGAGCCGCTCACGGGCGCCCAGCTCGAAGAGTTCAGGGAAAATCAGAGGAAGAAGGCAGCAAAGGCGCGGGCGCAGATACCGCCTCCGAATCCCAGCCATACCTACACGAAGCGCCCCCCGTTCGACTACACGCCCTACGCGAGTGCGCTCCCCTCGACCGAAGACCCCCTCGCGGACACCATCTACACAAAGGTGCACAACAGACACGAAGGCGTGGAGCGCAAGTCGCGCAACCGCGAAAGGGATAACCTGCAGTACAAGATGTCCAAAGCTTCGCCCGTGCTGGAAGAGCTCGAAGGCGAAGACTGGCACAAGGTGTTCGTCATCGACAAGAGCGAGCGCGACTCGTGGCTCCCGAAACGCAGATACTTCATCGCCGAACTCCGCAACGCGATCAAAAAGCAAGACGCGCTGCGAGACGTCGAGCTCAAGAAGCGCCGGCAGGAGAAGGAGAAGCGCAGAAGGGAGAAAGAGAGTCCGTCTTCTTCTTCTGAAGACGATGACGAGCGTACGTGTCCACCTCCTCCCTTCCCCTCCCCTCCCATTCAAATGAATATAGAAAGATAGAAAGAGATAGAAATACAGAAATGCTAATCGAACACAGAACCCAAACCCACGCGTCTCCCCGCCGCTCCACCACCACCACCAACAACGACACCCATCCCTCCCCCTCACCCCGCCGCCCGCCCCGCCCCCACGGCTTCGTCCTAGACTCCATCCCCCGCCCGTGCCTCCCCTTCAAATCCTTCTACCCCCGCGGCCAGCGCCCCGCCTCCCTCACCCTACCTACCTCCACCAACCCCACCAACCGTCCTACCTCTTCGCGCGCAACCCGCTCCACGGACGCACCCCTTCGGCGTCCCTCTCCTGGCATCCTCACAAGGGTGGACGATCAGTACTTGATAAGCATGCTTAAAGACGACCAGCGCTTTGCGAGAGAGGCAAGCCGACGGAGGATGTGCTGCTTGATGATGAGAGGAGTTTTCAGTGTTTTGGGCTGGAGGGGGTTCGTGACGAGTGGGTTTTTGGCGGAGAATGAGAGGGGAGGAGGAGGAGGAAGAGGGAGAGTAGGGAGGGAAGGAAGGGGTAGTTTGGGTGGCGAGAAGTGGGCGTGTAAAGCATCGATATGAATCGAATCATGGGGAAGTGAGAAGGGGGTATCCGAGGGAACTGTATAGTAGAGGGGGTGGAGGAATACCCGTCTCTTTCTTGTCTCCATTCTCATTTGGGACGGGTATCTTTAGCATGAGGGCTGTGTATAGCTGTCGTGTATTATATCGTGTGTACTAAAGGGTATGTTCTTTGCTTGAACGGAGGATACTCTCCCTCAAGGACATAGGAATGATTATGTGCGTATGGAGAGATAGTCTGCTGGACATGGCAGTGAACATTGTTGTGTATATGGCAGTCAATACAATACCTAAATGGCATATACAACGCACTCAATGGAATGAATGGCAATATCGTTCCGAGCGATGATGATGCTCTTCATCTAGAACTGACGCGACGCCCCATCCCTCTCCCTCTTCTTTTCGCTCGGCGGCGCGTATCCCGCACTGCCATGATGGAATAGTTGGGATGGAGAAGGCTATATAAACCCCCGCCCACTTCCCCAGACTTATTCTTCACACTTCTACACCTTTCCCTTGGGGTCTAAAAGATCCTGCCTAAAATGCGATGTGCGGGAAGGCTGCGTGGACTAAAAAAAACTCAAGAAGGCGTCATGGGAGGTGCTTGGGTGCGGGACTAAAATTGAAGAACTGAAAAGCGATGGGAGGTGCTTGGGAGGGACTAAAAACGTGATGGAAGAGGACTACGGGAGGTGGAGGCGGAGTGGAGGACTAAAGACGTCAACAGGAAAAAAACATGGGAAGGTTGGGCGGGTGGAGGGGTGGGTGCGGGACTGAAAACGTGATGAGAAGGCGCTATGGGATGTGATGTGGGTTGGTGGTGGAGGGGAGACTAAAAAGACAGAAGAACAGGTCCATGGAGGGGGTGGAAGGGTGGGGCGGCGGACTAAAACGACCCCAAACGAACAAGATGGGAGGTGGAGGCTAAAATCATCAATGAACAGGCTGATGGAGGAGTGGAGGTGGAGATTCAAAAAGCGAATGAAGAACACGCATGGGAGGACGGCGGGTGGGGACTAAAACATGGATGCTGACGACGGCATGGTGGGAGTTGGAAGCTACAAAATCTCACGAGAATGCGTGGTGGGAGTGGAAGGTGGGGACTAAAAACAAATCGCGGAGATGTCATGGTGGGAGGACGGCGGGTGGGGACTAAGAAAGGACAAAGAAGGGGACTATGGGAGGTGGCTGAGCGGGGACTAGAAAAAGCTGCCTTGAGAAATTCATGGGAGGTTGGCGCCAAAACTCGTAATGAACAGGATGATGGAGGAGTGGAAGGGTGGGGACTGAAATAAACAGGAGGAGAACACATGGAGGAGTGGAGGCGGGTGGGAACTTCAAAAAGCGAAAAAAAGGATGATGAGAGATTAGCGTCAAAAGTCGTACCGAGCAGTAAGAATGGTGGGAAGGTGCTGGGTGGGGACCTGAAAATGGTGAAGAGGTTTTTCATGGGAGGTCGGCACTGAAATCGCTTTCTGTGCCATGGTATGGGGGGAAGGCTGGGTGGGGACTAGAAATCCCAAAGACCAGAATACCATGGGACGTTCGCGCTTCAAAATCAACCCAAACCGATGGCATGAGGGTAGTGGAGGCGTGTCCTTCGCACGAAAAGGAACGACCCACTGAGAAAATGCGGTGAGGTGGAAGTGGAAGGCATTCAAAAACAGAAACTCGCAATGAAGGCATAAATGGGATGGACCCATCCATCTATATAAACCCCTCTGCTCTGGCGGGGACTTGTTCTTCACACTTATACACCTTGGCCTTTGGGTGTCTAAAACCTACAAAAAGCGATGTTATGGGTGCTGCGAGAGGTTGGGTGGGGACCAAAACAAATATTGAACCATTTCATGGGAGGTTGGCGTTCAAACTGTCTCTTTTTCTATGACATGGGGGGAGTGGAGGCGCGTCTGGTACGAAGAAATTCCCACCCACAAGATGTCATGTGGTGGAGGTGGAGGAGGGCGTTCAAAACGAACGGGAAGAAGATAGCTCTATGGGGAGGTGGTTGGTGGACTTTGCAAAAAGCGACGAACGCCAAGTTCATGTGGTGGAAGAAGGGTGCTCACAACGGGGAAGCAGACAGGTGATGGGACAGGTGCCGGGTGGACTTGTCCAAAATCCAGACAAGGAAATCTCATGCCCTGGAGGTGGAGCCTGTTCAAATCATCTTCGCAGAAAGACCATGGGAGAGGCGTGGACTTGTCCAAATAGATGATCGCAACGATTAATGCGGTGGAGGCGGAGCGTGTCCAGACGAAAAATGCCGAACAGACGCACCATGTGGTGACGGGCCGACTTGCCCAAAATGCACGCGTGGGAGCTCCATGGCTTGGAGGGAATTTGGACCGGTGACAACAAAAGGAACCGATCGGTAATATTACGTGGCGGAGGAAGGATGCATTGACGAGTGGGCTTGTTCAGAAAGCATGCTTGGGAAATCCATGGTTCGGGGGGATTGGACTAGCGACGATAAAACGAATACTATACCGAGGAATGTGGAGACGAGGGTGTTCAAAACGAATGGAAGACCGACTATGCGGAGCTGGCGGGTGGACTTGTCCAAAATGGAGCCATGGTAGACCCATGGCTTGGGGAAACCTGGACTGGCGACCACGGCGAAGAGACAGCAAAACCGAGTGATGTGGTGGAGTGCGAGCGGTTCAAAAACATCCTACGATCACAAACATGGGGAGGGAGGTAACGGGTGTTTAAAACACAAGCGTTAGGATGCATGGATTTGGACTGGCGACGACAACAAATGCTAATTTATCGAAAATATTTGGAAAGCGGGAGACAATTCGAAATAAAGAGCGGAAAGAGCTACGGGGAAGGTGGCGGGTGTTCAAAACAAACACGTGTGGGATGCATGGATCGGGATTCGGACCAGCGACTACAGAAAGACGATCGACACAAATTCATGCCGTGGAGGTGGAGCGTGCTCAAAACAACGAAGCAGGCAGAGTATGGGGGAGTGTTGAGTACCCAAAACGCACGCGTGGCAGTAACACTGGGCGGAAGGGGTTTGGACTGGCGACGACCACGAAAAGTAGAGTACGCCAGCACCATGTGGTGGAGCGGACTGCGGTTCAAAGCATACTCGCTGACATGAGATGGGGCAGGCGGTTTGTGTTCACAACGCACACTTACTTGAACAATGGACAAGAAGGTATGCGAGTTGGCAACGACTAAAACCAGAACAGTCGAGCGCCATGTTGTGGAGCGGGAAGCCGTTCGAAAGAAATCCCACCGCGACCTATGCGGGGAAGGTGGCTGTCCAAAATGGGTGGTATCTGGTTCTATGAATCGGAGGGACTGCGTGGTGTTCAAAAACGGGCGTTATCGCTTACTACGGGTGCTGTGGAGGTGTCCGAAAGTACGTCCCTTAAGCCTTATGTGGGGAGAGAGGAGAAGGCGTTCCAAAAAGTTCCACGTCGGGAAGAATGGCTGCCAAGGACGAAGGGCATATAAACCCCCTATCATCCCCGATAACTTGTCCTTCACACTTCTCTGCTCTTTGGAGTGTCTAAAAAGAGATCCGCAATCAGGTCTATGGTGGGAGGACGCTGGGCTGGACTAAAATACACGACATTTTGAGTGATGGGTAGAGTGGGCCTTGAGGGGTCTGAAACTGTTCGAACACGCACTGATGGAGAGCGGAGGGCACCGGGAACGAGAAAAGTCGCACAAAACACTGAATGAGGAGGTGCTAAGGCAGACGATCACCAAATTCGACGCCCTCGCCGCCGATGTCTTGGAGAGGAGGGAGAGACTGATCTAAAACGGTATACAAGATCTTATACGGACGCGTGCGAGGGGCGACGGAAAATCCAAAAGTGACCAGCAATTGAACCAATGTGGCGGATCGGACGGTTTTAAAACGTGGGTGATTTTACACAATGACTGCAGGGGAGGAGGGTGCTTGAAAACGTGCGACTAGGAACACCATGGGGGCAGGAGCTGGGCGTGAGGTCAAAAAAGGTCCTGCAGACAAACATGAAGAAAGGACTTCATTATGAAAAAGTGTTATGGAATGAGTTTATGGGATGCAGAGCGAAGAGGGTATATAATCCTGCTCTTGTTCCCCAGGTTATTTGCACTTCACACTTCCCAGTCCCTCTTGAGTCGACTAAAACTTCGACGCAGAACGAACATGTGGGAATAGAACTGGGAAACAAAGACGAGAGACGAACCACGCATGGGGTGGCGTGGGCTTGTCTCCAAAGTCGGCGAGGGATACAGATACGGAAGCAGAGGTGGAAGTTCCAAAAACATCCTGGAACAACATCGATGAGGACGTGGGGAGGCCTTCAAAACCTTACCTGAGTGCGCTAAGACTTGGAGGCGAGGGAAGCCAGAGTCTAGTCTGTCCTGAAGCAATGTGGTGAAAGAGCTGGACTCGACTCGAGTGTCACAAAGCGTTACGTACGCCCTGAAATGGGTGTTGGAGAAGAGTGAGTGTATAAACGCTCCCTGCATCTCTTGAAGCTTTTCTTTGATAGCCTCGAACTTCCTTCGGTGTCAAAAACGAATCACCAAAAATTCGATTTGGGAGGTTTCGTGGGCGGGGTATAAAAGGGCGTCTACTCTTGACCATGGGAGGCAGAGTTGGGTATTCAAAAGGTTGACGACTGGCACGCCATGGGAGGGGAGCTAGACAATTCAATACGGCGATCTGGTGGACCAATAGTGGTGCAAGAAGCAGTAGTTTGAAACAGCTGAAACCCACAAATATGTGAGAGAAGAGGTGCAGTGCTTTGAATTCTACTGCGACCCAAGCATGTGGAGCCTGGCTGAGAAATTGAGATACTGTCGTATCCAGTGATCGAAAATTTGGGAGACGCATATAAATCCCTCCGTTGCTCTCTTTTCCTGCACATTTCTGTCGACCGTCGTCCTTTGGTGTTGTCTAAACCGGTATCACAACAAATTAATGTGCTGCGAGGGAATGCGCAAGCTTGAAATGGGTAGGCATGGTAGCGTGGGGAGAGTAAGAATAAATGACGGAGGTCGAGTGGAATTCCTATGTATACCCTGAGCCGGAGGAAGAGAGGAATCTTGAAACACGTGCGGCAAAACTTTCATGTGGAAGGGGGAAGGTGCGCCAAAAAGCCCCAGTAATATTGATGGAGAAGGCCTGCGCAGCATGCACGTTGGTCGACTTCCTCATCCAAAACCCAAATACAGGTACAATTGAGCGGAAATCTACAATTGGCGTCAGGTGTGGGTTTAATCTTCTCTTCCATCCGTTTTCTCTCATTTAGGCGAGATTGGCTATCGAACCCTTTTCACTGAGCCCCCACAGGCTGATCCTAGTGCTTTCGACATCCAAATTTACTACAAATGGTATTTGTTATTCTGTTGTTTTGAACTAGTGCACGATACCACCGAGCCACACGTACTTTCATCGGTTTCTCGATCGGGTACTTCAAATATTATCGTGTACCCCTATTGCTTTCCCATCGTATTGCCTTCTACGTTTCACGTCGATCTCATTCGTATGTACCTAGTGCTTCATTTTGGGGATTTTGGGGATTCTGAACATCTCCACAGCCCCATACATGCTCCCCATTTGGCTCAGACCTACAAGCCAGTACAAGGGCGACGATTAATTGTGTGCAAAGGAAGGTACCGGAAAGCAGAGGACAGGAAAACCTATAACACATCTACTTCTTTCCCGGAATCAAGCCTCCACACCTTTTTCTCTGCAATCACAAGCCTGCCAGATATAGATCCAGTGAATTAAAGCCCATTGCAGGTCCGGGTGTAACAACAACACGACCGTCGATTCCATTCTCAGAGTTGCTCATGTTGCACTACCAACCCGACGGCATCTTATCGTAGAAAAAGATGGCGGATTATAGAAATCGCCAGGCTAGCGGCACAACTTGAATCTTCATAACCAGCGAAGTCTAGATGGAGTATCCGGTCAAGATTGTGGAAGATGTAGAAGATGGAAGTGAAGTGGGCAATGCAGAGTTCGACTGTGTGCTATTAAGTAGGTACATCGCGTACCTTGGTTCCATCCTAGGTATCACCACTCAGTAGAACACTCACAAGTCACACTAAAGCTATTCCCACGAACGTTGCCTAACAGCACGTGATCAAAGTGACGGAAGAAGACATCGCTAGGCTGCAGCGTTGTTTCATGTGTCTGCTTGCCATAGGCTCAGCCGCAGTGGCTTGGCTGTACCGGTAAACAACAACCTCTGCCTCGACGCGTCGCTATGCTTCACCGCTTTCGACATGTTCCTTCTGGTCCTTCAAGCCATAGATACTCTACCTGCTCCATCTTTATCCGTCTCCTTTTTGAAACACTCAATATGCGCCTTTTAGAACGGAAAGACGACGGCGGCATCCGCCTGACAGAGTTCTTTGGCGACGCCATACCGCGCTATGCTATCCTCTCGCACACATGGGGAGCAGACAGTGATGAAGTCACATTCAAGGACTTCATTGAGGGCATAGCCATCGCGAAGGCAGGCTATCGAAAAATCCAATTCTGCGCTGATCAAGCTGCTCATGACCACCTCCGCTACTTCTGGGTTGACACCTGCTGCATTGATAAGTCGAGCAGCGCCGAGCTTTCGGAAGCAATCAATTCGATGTTTGCATGGTATCGCAATTCCGCTCGCTGTTATGTGTATCTGTCCGATGTTCCGACGTTGGCCTTCAAGGAGAGCCGATGGTTTACGCGAGGCTGGACGCTGCAGGAGCTTCTTGCTCCAGACTCCGTGGAGTTCTTTTCTAAAGAGGGCCAGCAGCTTGGCGACAAACGTTCGATGGTGAAAGAGATCCACGAAATTACAAGCATTAGCGTTGATGTTTTGCATGGAAGGCCTCTATCACAGCTTAGTATTGACGAGCGCATGTCTTGGGCGGCTAAGCGTCAAACAAAACGCGAAGAGGACGCGGCATACTCGCTGTTAGGTATATTCGACGTACACATTCCACTCATATATGGCGAAGGTCAGAGGAAGGCGTTTGCTCGGCTCCAGAAAGAAATAAGTCAAGACTCAAGCGGCCAGCGGCTTGCCGGCGGAACGACGAGCTTACAATTCGGCTATCAACCGACACAAGGTAAATGCGCCTGGTGATGGCCCGCGGTCCTTGTGGCTGAATGTAGCTTATAGGTCAGTCTTTCTCCAACGTGCCATTTGCCCCAGATCGAGACTTCGTCGACCGGCCCGATATCCTAGCATGGGTGCATGATATGTGCGGACAGCCGGGAGCGAGGGCGGCTTTGGTGGGCCTGAGCGGAATAGGGTGAGTCGACGCCCATCCTCTGACTACTCGACAAGGACGTAACTGAAAACCCGCAGCAAGTCGCAGCTCGCTATACAATTCGCCCACCATATCTACAATACATTGCCGCGCCCGTTCGTCTTCTGGGTACACGCCAGCACCCGCGCCTACTTTGAGGAAGGATATCAGGGCATTGCCGACAGACTCGAGCTACCTGGGCGACTCGAACCGAAGGCAGACATCCTGCAGCTGGTTAGCAATTGGCTATGTGACGAGAAGAACGGACAGTGGGTGTTAGTGCTGGACAGCGCCGACGACAAAGAGATCTTCTTTCCGTCCCAACAGCAAGGACAAGAGAACGTCCCAGCATCGCTAGCGGCTTACCTCCCTCAGCGCGGCTCCATACTGATCACCTCGTGCAATGAGGAGGCAGCAGCCAGTCTGTCAGGCGGCCATCAGTACATCATGAAGGTTCAGGCGATGGACGAGAACCAAGGGCTGCAGCTCCTACGGAAGAAGCTCCGGCGCAACAAGCTGCAGGCTACATCACAGGAAGAAGGCGCCGCAAAAGCCCTACTACGCGCCCTTGACTACATACCTCTAGCTATTACCCAAGCTGCTGCCTATATCAACCGGCAAGCGCGCATGACAGTACCAGACTGCCTAGACGAGTTCAGGGCGAGCGATAGGAAGCGCAAGAGCCTACTGCACTACGACGCGGGCGACCTTCGGCGTAATAACGCGTCAAATTCGGTGTTGACAACGTTGCAGATGTCGTTCGAGCGCATCCGCCAAGAGCGACCGTCGGCGGCCGAGCTGCTGTCGTTAATAAGCTTCTTCAACCCGTGTGGAATTCCAGAGGAAGTACTTCGAAGGCACAAGATCGTACTTCGAAGGGACGGTAGTGTCATAGCAAAAGCAGGAGCACCAAACGATAGGAGCAAGTTCGATAGCTCGTTCAATGAGGACCTTAATGTCTTACACGCGTACTCTCTAGTCACCATGACATCGAACGATGAAACATTCGAGATGCATGCGCTAGTGCAGTTCTGCATGCGTGTCTGGCTATCATCTTCTAACGATGCAGACCGGTGGCAGGGTCGATTCATACAGCTGATGGCACAAGAGTTCCCCAGTGGAGATTTTGAGACCTGGACAAAGTGCAAGCAGCTGCTTCCACACATTGAAACGTTGTATGATGCTGAACCGGATGCAGACGATATGGTAGAAAAGTGGGCGCAGGTGCTTACAAACGCTGCGAAATATCTTTGCAACAGAGGTAGTTATCACACTGCACAAATGGTAGCAACGATAGCAGTCACGGCTCAAGAGCGTGTGCTCGGTCTGGACGACGAGGCGACACTAAGATGCTTTAGCCTCTTAGCACGGGTGCTGCAATACCAGGGAAAGTACGTTGAGGCAGAGAAGCTCCACCGATGAGTAGTGGAAGGGGCTGAGAAGCTGGGGATGCAACACTATACGCTAGCGAGCGTGGGAAACCTATCGGTGGTGCTGCGGGCGCAGGGGAAGTACAACGAAGTAGAGAAGCTGAACCGACGAGTTTTGGAAGGATGTAAGGAGTTAGGGGCAGAGCACACCTATACGCACACCTATACATTGACAGTCATGAACAACCTAGCCTTAGTGCTACACTACCAGGGAAAGTACGTCGAGGCTGAGAAGTTCAGCCAGCAAGCGCTAGAAGGAATGCAGAAGAAGCTTGGAATTCATCACCCAGATACGATATTGATCGCAAGTAATCTAGCATTGGTGCTAGGTGCGCAGGAGAAATATGCCAAAGCAGAGGAGCTTTTTCGCCAAGTGCTGAATGGATGCGAGAAGGAACTTGGTATACAACACAACCATACGCTAATAGTCATGGGCAATCTAGCGACAGTGCTATATAATCAGGGGAAATACAAAGACGCAGAGAAGTTCACCAAGCGAGCGTTTGATATAAGAGCAGAGGGATTCGGGGCGCAGCACCCACATGCGCTAGAACTTATGAACACCATGGCGCTGGTGCTTAAGGCTCGAGGTAAGTACGCTGAAGCAGAAGAGCTTATCCTGCAAGTGCTAGAAGGGCAGAAGAAGGAGCTTGGGGTGCAGCATCCAGATACATTAACAAGTCTCAATAACTTAGCGGTAGTGCTTCAGGACCAGGAAAAGTATGATGAAGCAGAGGAGCTGCACCGGAAAGCGCTAAAAGGGAGTGAGGAGGAGCTTGGTATGCAACACCCAGACACGCTACAAAGCGTGAAAAACCTAATTTTGGTGCTACAGTATCAAGGGAAGGACGTTGAGGTAGAGAAGCTTAAGCGGAGATTGCTCGAAGTAACGTAGAAAGAACAACTTAGGCATCCATCCAGCCACCTCCGTAGCCGACCACATGTATACAGTATTGAAAGGCTGTAAATCACGGATCTCCACATTCCTGTGTATGTATTACCTCCCTAGATCCTCCAAGTCAACGCCTTGAACAATAATCATCTCCCATCGTCACTTCCTAAGGGTAGTTACATGACTGCGTCTCTTGCTCCATGTCCCAACTTTCAGGCAGCCCAGCACAGTTTGCAATCTAGCTCTGCGTCCTGGAGCGCAGGATCTTAGCGTAAAAAAGAATCGGCATTCTTTGCATCAGCAGTGATAGACATAGTCCGCTTTCGGTTCCGAGGGCGATTTGAAGTTTCTTCCACAACTGACACAGAACGAAGGCTTCTGCGGATTTTTAAGAGCTCCTCATCTGCCGCATGTATGTGAGCTTGCTGAAGTACCCAGCCGGGTGTGACAGGTTCCGGTTCAGCCTGCTCTCGCATGCGGATAATTTGTGGGACTATCACAGTGCCATCCTGCGCATTGGCGGTTGTGGGAGGCGATGAAGTGCGCTTTTGATCTTGCACTGCAACCGGAAAATCGACTACATACCAAGGGTATCCCGTCTTCGAAGCATGTACATCAGGGCTTGGTTCGAGCTTCTGCCGCCCACGTTGTACTTGTTTCCACTGCTTCTGGAACTGGATCAGAAGGCCTTGGAGCGCATTCGAGAATCGGTCGAAGTCGTCGTGTGAGGCAAAGAGAACATCTACGCATACAATCCTCTCCAAATCTTCTAGGATAAAATCAATTATCTCTTCGTCAATCTGCTCCTGATCGTCGGGCAGCATGGAAAGAAGGATACCCCTGGTATACATCTCTTTCCTCGGATCGATAACTGCTTGGTAGCGTAGTGCCTTTCGCAGACCACTGTAGTCCTCTACCAGATAAGTAGGCTGGAAGAGGAATTTGATGACAAGGCGCGCAAGAGCGCCAAGAGTTACTGCTACCCGCATCTGTTTTGAAATGGGAGCATTATTTTGAGGGAGAGGAATATCGTTTTTGAACGCTTTGTTGTCATTCAATTTCGTCCAGTCCTTCTGTGAATAGATGAGACAGGTACAAAACTATGCTGTGCACAATCAACCTACCTCTAGTACATCCTTCGACAAGTCCCGTCCAATGGAGTTTTCGATCAGTATTGCAACCGATCTCCATAGCAGGTCTAATTGGCTCGTCCTGTGAGCTTATCAGAATGTTTGATTATAGCATGAGCTTTTGGGAACTAACACTGCCGTAAGATCGAGTTCCTCAATCTCAACGGAGAATCCTCGGTATTCCTCGATTGTCTTCCCCAATTCGGAATTTTCCTCCTTGAGTCTCTTATTCTCAGCTGTTCTCTCTTCCAAAGACTTCTTGAACGCGGCTGTGCAGTTGTATGACTTCTTCAACTTTTCTTTCAAGCCATTTTCCGAGTACTGTGCATTCTGCAACTTGGTATCGAAGTCTCCGATTAGTTGACCTCGACTTTTGAGTTCCTTCGTCATCTCTGCGTACGCCTTGTCAAGGTCATCGAATTGTGTTTTGCACTTTTGGAGCTCTTGATTGAGGGTAACGATATTTTTAGCTTTCTCTTCGGAAGCTGTCGCCAAGTCGTTTGCGTCTCTTCGTAGATTTGCGTTCTGCTTTCCCCATTCCTGGAACCTCTTTTCAAAGTTCAAATATTGCTCATTGTTGTAAGCACTATGAGACGCATCGCAGGTAGCCAGTTGGTTTTTCAGATCAAGTATCTCACTATCCTTTTGTTTGAGTACAACCCTTTGGGAGATATCACGCTCGATGAGGCTGGTGAGGCTCTCGAACCCATTTTTGGACGTGAATGATTTCACAGCTTTCCAGAAACCCTGTACTTCGTCGTGAGGATCACGAACTGGTTTGGTGCTGCTGTCACCTGGTATGGTTCCATTGAGGCGGGGCGCTGACTCCGTAGCCATTGCGTCTTCCGTTGATCGTAATAGTCTTGGTATCAGAATCTCAGAATGATGGGATCTATGTGCACAAGACGTCAAAACACTTATCAGCTTTTATGCATGCCCGGAAATCACGGTATATCCAAGAATCTGCAAGGACGCCACCGCTTTTCGAACCCTGATCTACTCTGCAAGGTGATGAAACGTTTCCCGGAGTCATAGGCTGGAATCATTTTCGTTTGCAGACGGTGTGGGTAAGTCAGTGGCTCATTGGCTCTCGACAGCACCATGATAGGGCTCTATCTCTTCGGTTATCTGCCTTGCACACGAATGAGACCCTTTCAGCATGCCGACATGCAAGGCTGTACTTCATGCAATAAGTCTTTGCCGGTGAAACCACAATGTTGGTACTCATGATCACCCCATGTACACAGTGCCGATCCGTGTCTGTCACATTGATAGCATGCTAAGTTGACGTGATAGGTAGAGGGCAAGGTCGAATATGTAGCAGGCGCTCGGCACGCTGTTGTATGACGGCAGCCTCGGACCGAGTGTTTCTCGGAGCACGAATTCACTTGTGGGCCTGACACTTCCGGGTTTTTCGCCTCAATGAATGGCTCCTGTATTTAAATGATTTATTTCAAAGCAAGCAGAATGTCCATTAGGCATAAGCTGATGATTACGGTTTAGACTCCCTACGTAGTAGTCGAAGTATTGACTGATCGTGTTGAAAGGCGTTGACACGATGTCCATGCTAATGAAGGGCCAGAGCATGTTCACTAGAAACAGCTGCTGCCTGAATTATGCAGTAGAGCTGTGGTGTGCAGAGTCGATCGCCATATCTGGGCTCGAAAACCCGGGCTAGTCCATGTAGTTCTAAGGGAGTACGGCTTGTTATTTTAACCGTACTGGCGTTGGTCATAGTGATTATTGCTGGTCATGTTGAGATCGATACCACACCATCCGCCTTTGTCGAGAGGCACGGCGGCAACTGACACGTTGCATGCATGAACGGCTCGTGATGCAGGCGAAACGAGTGTACGCGCTTAGCGAGGGCGGAGACGCAGCGCGTTACAGTGGTGGCTGGGAACGTGGCAGAGCATGAACGGTTCAACCAACGGCCAAGCCGCGGGAACGGAAGCGGGGATAGACGCGCTTCAAATTACAATATTAGTTAGCTGCATGTGAGGTCTCACCACCAATGAAATACGAGCATAAAACGCGCGGCACGGCCGTGTGTTAAGACCACAAGGGTAGCTAGTCCTAGAGGCGTTAGGTTGGTTCTCGGGCAGGAGTACTGTAGGGTAAGAAGGGTGTGTTGTTGATACGATAGTATCTTGCGAAGTGTAACGAGTCAACAAGGTAGCCTGAGTGAATCCAAACAATAGATTGATAAACAGGTTGAACACGAGTATGGGGAGCCCATCCTCGTGTTCCTATATACATAACAGGTCCCATGATATCCTACAGTCCCATGGTATCTCACGCATGGGACGCATGGAATCCCATGGCACATTCACGTGACTAGTCACATGATCCCAGTACTCCATGGCTTGGCGCTTGGGACACCGTGGGACATTACCTAATCCTCTGGTGGGGCCTCGGCGCCTGCCTGCGTCATAAGCGGCTTTCCTCCATGTGGATTCTCGGATCCTAACACCGTGGCGGGTCCGGCTGGCGATAAGGGTAGGTGGATTCTCATACCGTAGGTTTTTGTAATTGCCAGCTAACCAGGGGCTATATAAAGCTACATATACAAGGTATGATATATGCCATACTTATAATATTAGGAATTCTTAATTTATAACTATATGGTGATCTCAATTCTATGAGCAGACGATTATTTACTAAATATTGAATATTTTATTGCTATTATAGCTCTGATATAATCATAGAGTAATGTTTCTACTTTTTTCTGCAGTAAGAGGAAATTAGAACGTAGGATCGTCTCTACTAATAGGAACCAAATCCCCCTTGCCCTATCAATGTACATTAGTACAGCCATTCAACCACAAGAACGCAACCTACCTTAAACGCCTCCACCACATCCGCCTGTTCACTCAACATAAACCGACTAACCTGATTCCCCACATCAGCCAGCTTTCTCCACCTCTCCAGGCACTCCTTCTGTCTTTTATCCCCATGCGCCGCCTCCGCCTGCTTCCAATGGCCCTCGGAGAAAGAAATCATCGTCGTCATCTTCCGCTTGGAAATATCGTACACAGCAGAGACTACGGTTCCCGTCTCTTCGAGCCAGTTGATCTGCCACAGCTCGCCGGGACGGATGCATTGGTAGGTGGCTCGTTGGTAGTTGATTCTGCCGGCCATGGGGCCGCCGTGGATGGCGTAGACGACGCGGTCATGTGAGAAACACCAGAGCTCGTAGCGCCATTTCTCCGGGTTGCCGTTATGGTCTTCAGCGTCGTAGTCGTAGATGAGGTGCGTGTCTTTGATGTCGTCATCGAAGGAGTGATGTAGTGGAGTGTTGGTGAGGAAGTCAGGGAGTGTGTCGCCTGGAGCCATTGTTGTGGGACTGTTGATTAGTGACAGATCCAATGGTGTGTATAAATCTGTGAATGCGCACAGTAACTGTTAAATACCTTAGGAGTATCTTCGGGGACCCGAGGTGTTCGAGTCACGTGTGGCAAAAGCCAATCAGAAAGTGGGCAAGCGCTAAAGCGATATGGCTTATTTGCTCAGCCATTTACTACTCACACGTGATTCAAAAACCTCGGGTGCCTCGAAGGTAGCCTGAGCGACTTGCTAGACGCGAGACTAGAGACCACCGGAAACGGCCGGACAATATCGATGACGTAGGCTCACACCACGTCGCGAGACACATCATATGTGGAAACACAAATCGCAGTTACTTTTCGTTATACGAAACATTCCGCTTCCAAAAGACTTGGAGTCCATGACCTGTGGGAGAAGTGCCATGCGCATAAATGAACGTCATGTGAGGTATCTGAGAGATAGCTCAGATATCTTCATGAAAATCCTAGTATTATGCTATTCCCGTATAGCAAAGGGACTGACGAAGACCATGAAATAGATGGAATTAGAAGAAGAACTGAGAGAAGTGGTGCTTTGCGTACTTGCGATAAGAGGGTAGGCTGATTATGGCAAGTATATTTCCATTGGCGCATACCAACAAGCGCCATCTCCTGATTGCAGATCTACCGTCACTCATGCCATACGCTAATCAACCCAAAAAATTGAAAGGTACTTGAAAACTACATCCACACATGATAAGTGATGTTGTCTCAGATCAGCAGACTAGCGAGAAAGCGATTTCCAAAGCACATGTAATGGGGTTAGAGCTTACTTTCCAACGGAGAACCGGTGCTAGGTTGATGAAAAAGAAGGTAAGCTCCAATATCACATTGTACCAAAACACTTGACGAAAGGGCTATGGAGTCCTTGCGCGGAACTATCCTCTTCTAGTGTAACACCCTCGTGGTCTTGATAGTACCTTAAAATTGCTCGTATCCAAAGTTCGGTGCCCAAAAGAGATGCCGCTAGCCATCTTATGTGTGCTACATGGCAGCCGAATCAGACGAGTTCCTTGAGTGGTCCCGAGCGCCTAGGTTCACTGTGTGCGTCGCATAGACTATCCAGCCATTACTAGACCGGGTTTGGCGGTGCACCGGCTAGGCTCGGAAAGAAGCAAATACATGTTCAGTAATGGCAGGCCCTCATCGAAGAGCTTCCTCCACCGCCGTTCCACCTCCATTGTGCGATTGGCGCTCGCGTCAGTCTCACATACCGCGTATAGACAGACTCTCAACCTCCCAAAAAGCAGTGCTGATATCCTAGAAGTCAGTCCTTGTTCAGTTTTTAATGATATACGGACCATGATCTCAGTTATATGGGACGTTTTCGCATCGTCTGACCATATCACACAACGATCTCCACTTCTCGGCTCGGCATCGCAAATTAAAACCCCAGCGCTCGAACGGAAACGCACTAAACGGTTTTCAAAAGTTGCAAGTCACACCCATTGATAATTCTTGGGCACAAGACTCAAATGAACCAGAGCAAACTACCCCAACGAAGCACTGAGAGAGTATTGTTCGGTCTGCTGTCGGATGGCGCATCTGAAAATGGCCAGCTTGAATAGAGATAAGAGTGGAAGGCCTACCTTGGCGTGCCGTCTTCCCTTTGGACATCCTGCGATGGGGTATATCGAAGTAGCTGCAGAAGCTTTAGATATAATACATTGATCCAATTTTGTTTACTATGTAGATATGTGCTGAATTCCTGCCTATAACATCATGATTAGATACTATTATTGGCAATAAGAAATCTTTACAATGCAAGGGTACCATGGTCCTAAGCACTGCTGCGAGGCAGACACGATCCTGCCAAGGATTGGCTTAGCTTATCTTTCGGAATGCGGATACGTGAGAAGGTGGCGGTCGTAGTGCTTTCAGGTATGCCCTGTTTCAAGTTCGTGCTTCATTCCCCGACTATTATGGCCGCAGAACAGAAAGTGGAGCTTGGTCCACAGAAGTGAATAGTTACAGAACAGCCCGGCCAAAGAACATCTTACCGTCAAGACCATTTGCGATTGGTCAATAAAGCCAAACAGCGGATCCCCAATACCATCTTCCCAGACGGAAGACTGCTCTGCTGTAGCACCATGATCGTTCTTTCCCGGTGGCTATAATTTCACGGACATGGCCTGCATACCGCATTACTTGATTAGCACAGTGACACTGCGTAATAAGGTTGCAGTCGGGAGCGTCTTATCGTTAGAGTATGTTGTGCAACTGAGCTACCGGACCAAAGCGGAGACTTCGGCGCACGACGAGCCATTCCATTGTATCGTACAAAAAAATAAGTTATGAGTCACCGATTAATGTAGCGATCCGATGATCCTGTCTACAGAGGTCGATCAAAAAATTCTTACGATGAGCGTTATTTGCTTACCTTGCAATCGATATTTCCTCAACGATGAGGCTCTACAACAGCACCTACGAGACTCACCTGCACATATGGAGTCCTTCTACTGTAACGAATGCGATCGGTCCTTTGGTAGCGAAGAAGCCCGCCAGCAGCATTTGCGGGACTCTCTGGCTCACCTTGCGGCCCCGGAAACACCTCTAGACACGTTCTTTCTCTCCTTTCTCACCTTTGCATATGATCCATCTCAACCGCTAGCGACGTCCTACGCTGGTTTGCAAGCTCACATGAACTGGCGGCGTGGGGATGCTGCATCAGCCGATGCCTGGGACCGCTACCAAAGTGCGCTAGAAGATGAAATACGCTTATGGTTTGGTAAGGAGGATGATGTAGCCGCGTGGCATGCCCTCTGTCATGCCATCGGTGTGGAGCCACCGCCACGAACATGTAATCAATGTGAGCAAGTATGAGTCCACTTTGCACTGCTCTGGCTCTTTGTGCTTATCTTGCAAACAGGCCGTTCGAAGAACTCACGTAAACATTGTTGATCTCATCGAATGGGGACGAAGGCGTGAGAGTGACGAGAGTAGAGTACGGACCTTTCGTAATGTGGCAGCGTTACGAGCTTATACTATAAAGACGGGTAAAAATTTTCGAAACACGGTTGATTAAGAAGATAGCAATGTCGTCTTGAGACACCTCCTTCGTAAAATCTTTCGTGGGAATTTGTGAAAGGGTAGTGGCGCAGTTGCGCAAATGTGAGTTCTGTATCGGCTGTGCCGCGCAATGAGCCTAGGCGAGTCGTTAAATGGACTGGGTGCACAAGAGCTGATCCAAACTCTCTGTGAGCTTGAATAGCATTGATGAATGATCGTGACGGTCGCGATAGCTTGCATTTGTGAGCTTTGTGAGCAACAGCTGACGCTACACTACTCATTTCCTTGTTGGATCCGATTGGGGAGTGCGGGAAATCCGGCGTTATTTTCTGCCTGCTCATCGCCTTGCGATGCCTTTCCCCCATCACGTCGGTCTCTTCCATCATGTCCACGTCTAGGATGAGGCGCAGAGTGCTGCTTGCCTGACAAGCGGAACTCCGGATATCCTGACTAGGTAGAACGAGAAGAGCTGCGTATTGCACTGGAGGCACAAGGACTGGGCAGAAGAGGCGAATGGACGGGCAAGGACAAGGGTTGATAGGCGAAGGTTGCGCGCCTGCTGCCTTACGGGCGTATGTATTGACGCCTAGAGTCTCCATCAGCACCCCTCACGCCCGCCCACATAGACGAGTCTGTTACGCGACACCCTCGCGCAACACTGCACTATGTCGAAACCTACGACGAGCAAATGCGCTGTGGCAGACCGGGACTGAAGCTACTGGCCGTGCGGAGCGTGAGTACTAGGAGCGGCAAAGTGGAGGGTATTGATGTTCTCAAGTTTCCTGCGGTATATATTGCGCCACTTTCTTCGCCCATAGAAGAGATCCAGCATGCGGAAGGGCTTATACGAAGGAAGGCTAATGTTTTGGTAGGTAATACATAGATTCAAAATAGCTAATGAGGGTCTTTAGCGAGCGAGCCGCTTCTTCTACGGTACCACGACCTTCTTTCATGCCTACAGCGTAGCGTGCAACAAGAGCATGCAGCGAACCTCTAAAGCAACTGCCGAGGATCTGATGGAAATTTCGATAGGATCAACACTCAGGCCTTAGATCTCTAGGCCTCTCGATCTCGGAGGGTGCGTCGGAACGCAATCTTCGTTGGTTTTTCTGGATGACGCTAGAACGAGTCCACCGCGAAGCGTACAGCGCCCATGCAACGGGTCCTGAGCGACTTCTTACAGGCCATGATTGCCACAACGATGGGTATAAAAACATTAGGTGTAACCACAATGGGTGTAACGCCAATGGTATAACGATGGGAATGAATGATCGGGGTATACCTAGGTATGAAGGGAAAATAGCTACGGCTAGGACGAGGCCCATGGCGGCAGGCATGATATATAATCTACGAGCGACCCAGTATCACGAGCCAAATTCGTGCTTCAAAACTTGAAAGTCTCTTCTTTCGCTCGTATAGATACAACAATTTGATCGATGTGTCGCTGTTCTGCTGCTCTTCTCTGTCTTAGACCCCTATCGATCGTTACATTTCTGTAGCGTCATCAATTGCCGCTGTAGTGAATGCCCCAGCACAATGACGAGTGCGAGCGCTCCTTCGATATTCGTAAAATCGAGGGGGGTAAGTAGTCGGGAATGAGGACGACCCCAAAGGTTGAAGGTGATGTTCCCTCAAGGCGAGTGCATTTAGGCTACGTCGCGGGAAGAGGGGTTGTCAGCCTTGTGCCCGAGTTCTTGCGAACTCTTTCTGTTCCTTTGCGACCAAACTTCTTTCAACACTCTGTCCCTAATATATTCTCCTCTATCAGTACACGCAGCTCTATGGTTGCTTCCCCGCGCGAAATCGTCGTGATCTTTTATACGAAGCGCCTTTCACATCGCTTAGCATGGCATCTGTCTCAGAGCATATAACACCACCCAAAACTCCTGCGGGCAAGACGAGCATGAGGATGCCGATAGCTTCAATACTGCCCACTCCTCCTAGCAGTCCGTCTTCTTCATCTCGCAAGCCAATCGTCATCCCCGTCGCATCTGCTGCGACCTTGCCAACGACCTTGCCCTCACAACCCGTAAACGACGCCCAAGTCTTGTCGCATCTAGAATCTACACCGGCAGCACATACGTCAACCGCGAATACTAGTTCAGCGCCGCGAACAATTAATACCAAACCATTGACAGCAGGAAGCCCCCCTTCACGCACCCTCGCCGCGCTCAAGACGGACCTCCGCATCGATGGCTGGCAATGCGGCGCCCAGACGCGCAGAAACACAGAATGCCAACACTTTATCTTGAATAAGAACAAGAATCTCATAAACGCGCAACTAGCTTCCATGACGGGCCTGACGCGCACCTCTCCGGACTTTAAAAACGCCCTGCTCAAGCTCGTCATGCTAGTGCACTGCCACCAACACAATGCGAATCAAAAATATCAGCGCCGACTCGAGGTCTGGAGCCTTGCGTTTCCACCTGGTAGCGTTGATGATGGCAGCGAGCCTGAAGTTCCCATTGAGCAACTCATCAGGAAGGCTCTCGAGCCATTGAGTACCAAATGCATTGCCCGCGGCAACGGATGCGCGTGTGAGGAGAGGATTGGTGGGCACAAGGTGCAGAATTGCGAGAGAACTCTTCAGGAGCTCGTTAAGCAGGAACTATACTCCGACAATGCTAAGCTCGAGTTCTTACTCAAGGTACTAGAGTGGAACATGACTTGTAGCATCCATCAAAGCTCGGGGCAATTCACGTTGGTTCCGGCGTGGAAGAAGAGTGTCATGGCGGTTCTGCCCCTGCCAACGCCACTCGGCGATCGGGCCGTCGCCAGCAACGCGCCGGACAAGCTTCAAGCCTGTCCGAGGGCTCAAACAGGTCCTCTCATCGTCTCAACTCCATCGATGACTGAGAAGAAGGCTGTCGTTATCGTAGAGGACTTGCCCAGCCTACGAGCTTTACCAGACCCCATTATTAGCTTAGATGCCGATCCAGCATTGTACTGGCCAAAAGCCTACGACTCGAGCCCTTTTGATATCCTCGCACACGCCAACCACCACGCCAGCCCTACACACTCGCACAAGCTGATCCGTGATAAGATCAGCAAACCACTAGATGCCCATGACCTTCGCGATGGGTATGTCTACGCCTACGAAGTCGAGGGCAACGAAGGCTACGTCAAGATTGGGTATACCACACGTCCCGTGATGGAACGGTACGACGAGTGGTCATTCAACTGCAACAGGCAAACCAAGCCGCTGTACCCTTCTCCTCCTTCTGCTGCTGCTACCATTTCAAGTCGTGCAACAGAAGCCGCAGCGGCGCCGACAGTGCTCATCCCGCACGCGCGTCGTGTCGAGGCCTTATGCCACGCCGAGCTCAAACACCGCCGTATCAGGATGTACTGCGGCGCTTGCCTACAGCAACACGTGGAGTGGTTCGAAGTATCGGCTATAGAGGCCACGGCCATCATCCAGAAGTGGTCAAGGTGGATGACCACACGGCCGTATAAACTGCTGCAGCTAAGGGACAAGCCTAAGTGGACGCTTAAGGTAGCCGAGGCGCAGCGGACGTCGAGGTTTGAGCAGTTTATGCGAGAGGTTACGGTATCGCATACTCCGCTATAGAAAGGGCGAAAGAATTAAATTTATTTAATTGAAATCCCTTTATTATTAGGGGGTTCTACGTACCTATCTAGTCTAACCAGATGCACGGTCTTATAGGTACTTAGGAACGAGATGAGGAGGTTAAGGTGCAAGATTAATCTAGTGCATGTGAGACATTCACTACATTAGTAGGGTTAGGATACGCATGTGAGAGCTTGTAAGTTGATTACTGGACTAGCGGCTGTTGGATGTGTGGTTGTGGGTGTCAGACGGGAAGAAGTGAGAAGAGAAGGGAGTGAAATGAGAGACGGTTTTGAATGCATGGTACAAGGGGCTTCAAGGGGACGAGGATGAGGTGGGAAAGTGAGGTGCAAGATTTGGTGTGGGAATTCAGGGTGTAAGGAGGATCTTGCATACTTGGAGAAAATCATTTTTTGAGATTTGTGGTAAAGAGGGCGGATTGAGTGGGTTAATGGAGGATTGTATCGTTTGCATGCAATACATGCCATTTTTCAGAAGTTGCAGAGAGACCAACAGATCGCTTTAAGAAATACAAATACCAAATGCTGAACGCTGAGATGCCAAAAGCCGTTACCGTCCTCATACCCTCGTACATGCATACCTTCCCAATGCCATTACCAGCAATGCTTCCAAACACCGCCCATGCTTCTATTACATGCATCTTTCCCACCCAAGAACGCCTAGCGAAACGCAATAATCTCAGCAATAATCTCAGTAATACAAAGAAATACAAAGAAATACAGAGAGAGAAAAGAAAGCGAATGAGAAGGTCCCTAAACTGGAAAACCCGGAAGATGACAAAACGCTAAATTCAGAAAAAGAAACACAGAAACGAAACGCTAAAGGCAAGAGGAGGCAGCTGACAGCGCCTCTACTCTATTGCTTCCCCAGTGACAGTCGAATCCCACGTCCCCTTCTCCACCTCACTCCCCCTCCTATTACTCTTCTGACTCTTCTGCGACCCCGACCGACTAAGCTGCGGACTCCCCGCCTGCGGCCCTGCAAGCGGACTATTCGGATACAACGCCTTGATTGCCGCGCTCCTGCTCTCGCACAGATACCTGCTACTCCGCCCACTAGTCGGCCTCTCCGAGCTATCAGTGCGCAAAGAAGCTGTGTCTGCTTCCCGAGAGCTGCGCGTGCTGAGTGTGTACCCGCTCGTGCGGCGCGCCGAGTCAGGCCGTTCCTCGGCGCCCTCGCTTTTAGGACGGGACTTGGAGCGCGTCTTTTTGGCGGATGTGTACTCGGTAGGTTCGGTGGTGGCGCGGTGGAGGTCATCCTCTGAGGGCTTGGAGCGCGCCGACCTGCGGGACGAGGAGGTTCTTCGACTCAGGCTACGATGGCTGGATAAGGCGTCGATCTCGTCGAGGGCGGCGAAGAGGGGGGATACAGGATGGTCGGCAGGCGTCGGAGAGCGAGATACTAGTGGTGTAGGGAGATTTGAGGCGGAGGGATCGAAAGGTGGGATTATGGCGCTCTCGGTGGGCGCGAGGGGTGGAAGCTCTTCGTCAGGCGCATTGGGCCCGGCTTCAGGAGAATCAGTTGTGCCAACCTCTGTGGGATTCGGAAGAGGTTGGGTTGCTTGGTCTTTTCCATCGAATTCTGCTGCTAGAACAGCCATAGAGGCTGGAGGTGCGCCGAGGATGCTCTCCGTGGGTGCTGGGAGAGGAGGCGCATCGTGGGGTGTCTCGAAGTCGATGGGGCCGGGAGGTGGACGTTTGTATGATGTATGAGAAAGTTCAGATGGTGCAGCTTTTGGAGAGGAGGGGCTTCGGATGGGTTCGTTGGGGAGGCGGTGGTACACGAGTTGGTGGCGGAGGGGGGCGCTGATGATCGTGCAGATGACTTAACCGTATTAACGGACAAGGATGATTTCGAGCGGATAGAAGTTCGTTTCGGAGGAACAGGGGGTGGTGTTCTGGAACGGACGGAAGTTTTGCCCGATTTGATCGAAGCAGGTGAGGCTGGGCGGGTTGAAGCTACGTCTCGCGTGGGTTTAGGTGGAGGGCGAGCGTAGCTTGCGTCTTTTCCCGAATTTATGGAAACGGTTGACGCTGGGCGGGTTGAAGCTGCGTCTTTCGTCGGTTCAGGTGGAGGACGAGTATAGGTTGTGTCTTTGCTCGACTCAGGTAAAGGCGGCGGCGATTTCGATCGAATCGATGCTTTCTCTACAGTTGGAGTAGGCGGCAGTGAGGTCCTAGGAGCGGGCAACAGAGGCGGTGGAAAGTCAGCAGCAGTCGGAGAAGCAGCGTTGGTGGTAGGTGGCAAACCTGCTGCTTGAAGCTCCTCCTTCCTCTGCACAACCGTCTCTGCGTCATCGTACAAGGCGAGACCGTAATGGTAGATGCACCCTTCGTCGGGGTTTTCGTTCTCGACTTCATCGCGGAAGTTCTCGTGCTTGGGCTCGCGGTAGATGACGGGAAACAGTCGCAACAACATCTGCGGCTGTTCATCAGACGGCTTCTCGGTGCCGACAAGCGATGCGATGGGACTACCCTCAGGCCTGTGCGAAGGCCAAAATTTGGGCCTCGTGAAATCGTGATCTTCGTCATGTATGGCAGGCATCGTGGCAGAGATCATTTCTCGCTCGAGACGGGCGAAGCGCCAGGTTTCAGCGGCGAGCTTGACGATGCGTTTCACTGCAATCTTGATACCCTCCTCTTCTCTTGGATCGGCGAAGTGCTTGATGGCATTGACAATTTCCTCGACCACGGTACCAGCAGCTGTGTTGATGCGTTGCTTGGCACCGCTACTTGTAAATGCTGCGAGGAGCGTCTGCTGGCGCCAAATGGCTTCTTTACGCGTGCTCTTGTCGCGAATGTGGTTGCTCATGGACAAGAACAAGGAATCAGCCTTGTCGTACCGACGGCCCAAGCTGAACAAGAATGGTCCGAAGACGCGATAGGTTACAAGCTTCGAGACTGTGTGAACTACATAGGCGGCACGGAGTTGCCTGCAAGGATATCAATCAATGTCAGTCACGGGAAAGAGGTACAGCCTACCTTGAAGACGGTGTGTCTGCCAAAAAGGAGGGTAGGTAAGAAGGTATCTGTTGCAGCTCCTCGGGCGGAGGGATGACGGGAAGGTGAACGAAGTGGGTCGCGGCGAGGTCAAGAATCTGCTTTTGAAGCTGCGTGAAAGAGACCAGACTGCGAAGCAGTTAGCGACAGTCGGCGGGGAGCGGGGAACGGGGAGCAGAGAGGCAAAAGAACGAATATTGCATTACGACCGTGAAAATGCTAGCGATTTTTACAACCTCTTGACCCGACCAGAACAGGAATGCACGCAAAACAGGGATAACCTCCGAAATTGGAAACACTAGACATCATGGCAGACTTACTAATAAGTATCACCCTTGCTCTTGATCTCAGCAATGTCACCGTACGACTCCATAAGCTTCTCCAGTCTCGCCTTCTCACTCTCCATGTTGGTTGCAACGCTTTTAATGATCTCTTTCTCCTTCTCATGCTGCGAATTGAGGTCATTATACTGTTTGAGCAACTCATCCTTGTCCTTGCTCAGCTGGTCCGCAAGCGCCTTGTTTTCGTCCGCCTTGCGATTTGCCTCTGCGTGCAGCTCGATCCACGCCTTGTCAGACTCGTCCTTGATCTTCTTATGCTGACCTTCCAGCAGAGAACGTTGCTCTTCCCAGCTCTTGCGCAGGCTCTCGACATCTTCCCGATGAGCTTGAACGAGAGTGCTCCTCTCCTTCGCCCATACCTCCATCGTCTCACGCTCACGCTTCAGTGCCTGCTCGCAGTCGAGCTGGGATGCACTTAGCTTATGCTCGAGCTCATTGCGGTATCGATCGAAGCTCTCTTCTCTTTCACGCTGCTGTCGCTCGTGTTCAGATCTGAGGTCGTCTTTCTCTTTGAGATGTGTAGCCAATGCAGCTTGTCGCTCACTCTCAGCCTTATCATCGGCCTCCTTGAGCTTCTTGTCGAATTGGATGGCCAGAGCAATCGTCTCGGCTTCGTATTTGGTAGTAGTAGTGGTCTTCCACTCTTCAAATTCGACACGGGTCTTCGCGATCTCCTCGGAAGACGTCTTCTCGAGAGTTGAGTGCGCTTCTTCGAGATCTTTGTACTTACCCTCCCACGACTTCATCGTAGCATCGAGGGCAACCTTGAGCTGACTTGCCTCTATTCTGAATTTCTCGGTTTCGGCGAGTCGCTCCTTGAGGTCCTTCACCTGCTCCTCCATGTTGCCAACCTCGAAACGCAATCTGCTTGCTTCACCAGAGTGCTTGCGCTCCATGCTCGCAACCCTGTCCCTTAGGGCTTGGATCTCGTCGTCTTTGGCGCGTAGCTTTTCCTGGTGTTCAGAACCGGTTCGGCGAAGTAATTCTTCTCTGACGGCTAGCTGACCTTGTGTTTCCTTGTAGCTAGCCAAAAGGGAAGGCAGGTCATGGATAGCATGAGCTATTCTGGAAAATGCATCAACCGGGCCTTCATCGACTGCAGGGCCATTTTCGATTGCGGGATAGCCATTGGGATAACCTCTAGGGCGCAGAGGATCATGACGTTGCGGTGGGCTATGGCCGTTGTATCCATAATTGGGTGGGACGTGGCTCCAGCTTTCTTGATAGCCGTGCGGTGATGAACCATGCGAAGGGGGCCCATAAGGGGGATAGTCGGGGTATGCACTAGCCTGACTCATGCTGTGGGTAGGCGCGTGGCTAGGAGCGTGACTAGAGGGGTGATAGTAAGGTGGGGCAGATGGAGGATAGTGGTCCCTGGGATGGTGATACTGAGGGGGAGCTGGCTGCGGTGGAGGGTTTGAGTAATGCTCAGGCTGTGGTACGCGAGATGCGAACAGCGGCCGAGTGTGAGCTGGAAGGTAAGATCCACGAGAGGAATCGCGGGATAGCTGGTCGGCCTCACGGTGCCTCAATCTGGGTTGTATCAAAGCTGACTCGTCGTCGTCATCGTCATAATCATCATCATACACAGGCGCACGTCGAGGTCGAGCTCTGGTTGGAGGCGGTGAGGGAGCTGGCGGTCTGTCCTCTTCGATTACTTGATTTACTGCCGCTGGTCTGGGTGGAGCGGAGGGCGCGGCTGGACGCTCGGTGGCTGTAGATACTGGAGAGAGGGGAGCAGGATCAGGGATGGTAGGAGTTCTTGATTTGACCGGGGCAGGGACGGGCGATGCGGGCTTGGGTAATGAAGGGCTCTTTGCCTTGATTGGGGCGGGAACGGGTGATATAGGTCTATGCTGAGAGACCTTTGCTGCAGTTGCTGGGGGGCTTGGTGATCGAGGTTGCGAAATGGGCGGAGCCTCCGCTTCCACAGGCGCTGGTATGGGAGAGGGAGGCGTCGTGCTTCGAGCTTCCACGGGTACAGGAGTTTCTGGTGCAGGTAGTGGACTTGGAGCTCTCGGTGCTTCGCTTGCTTCCGGTTGCGGGTCCGGTACTGGATCTGATGCAGGGACTTCTTGTGATTCCAGCTCAGGTTCTGGAAGTGTCTCTATCGCGGGTTCAGGCTCTGTTGGTACTTCCGGCTGCACTTCAACCATAGGTTCGGGCTCTTCTACAGCGGTCGCTTCGGGTTTAGGAGCAACTGGCTCTTCGACCTTGGCCTTCTTCCCCTTCTTGCCTTTCTTCTTGGAAGATTTTACTGGTGGCGTCCAGTCGTCAACAGCGGGCTCTTCGGTCTTAGGAGGCTCAGGCGGTGTCTCCTCGGCTTTTATCGATTCAGGAGGTACCTCGTCGATTTGCGGAGGTTCTGGAACTGATTCTTCGGGGTTCTCTGCTTCTGCGGGTTGTTCTACCGACTGTGTCTCCGCTGAGGGATCAGGCTGAGCTTCAGTAGATTCCGACAGGGGTTCCTCGTGGTTCGTTTCGTTTGCTTCTGACACTGGAGGCTCTGGCGCCTCGATCACTGGTGGCTGGGGAGCTTCCGGTGCTTCAACAATTGGTGGTTCTGGAGCTTCGACAACTGGTGGTTCTTCCGGAGTCTCGGGAGCCGGTGGTTCTGGGGCTTCGATGACCACAGGCGTCTCGTTGACCTTGACCTTTTTGTTCTTCTTGCCTTTCTTTTTCGGTTGTGGTGCTTCAACAACTGGTGGTTCTGGGGCCTCGACGATTGGTGGCTCAGGTGCTTCGACAGTTGGTGGCTCAGGTGCTTCGACAGTAGGTGGCTCAGGTGCTTCGACAATTGGTGGTTCAGGAGCTTCAACACTGGGCGGTGCTTCAGGTGCTTCAACTGGGGGTGGCTCCGGAGCTTCAATGACAGGAGCTTCAGGAGCTTCAGCGACAGGAGGTTCGGGGGCTTCAACAATCGGTGAATCAGCCGCTTCGACTGGTGTTTCAACGACAGGAGCGTCTGACTCTTCGACGATCGGGGCTTCCGGTGCTTCGACAATGGGCTCTTCCAAGGTATCTTCGACCGGTGCTTCTGGTGTTTCTATACTGGGGGCTTCTGGCGCTTCGACAATCGGTTCAGGCTCTGCGGGCTTTGGCGGCACAGCTTCTGGTTCTTTCTTGCCCTTCTTCCCTTTCTTCTTCTTCTTGCTGGTGGTGGGAGCAAAAGAGCCCCAGTCGTCTTCGTCTGTTGGCGGTGGGGGATCTTCAACCGTTTTATCGGATGATTGCTCAGCGGTGACTTCTGGAGCTGGCTCTTCGACTGTCTCTTCTGGCTTGGGATCGCTCACGACTTCTTCTTGGGCTTCAGGTGCTGGTTCGTCCCATGCGCTCACATCAAACTCAGGATCTTCTGCGGGCTTGTCCTCTTTCGATGCGCTCGACTCTTCTTCCTGTTCAGCAACCGGCGCGCTCTCGACCGCAGGCTCCTGACTGGCTGATTCTTCCAAGGGAGCGTCTGCAGGCGCGTCGTTTGCCTCGTTAGCGTCAATTGGTGAGTCTAACGAGGGTGCGCTGTCGTCTGGTATCGAATCAGTGGGCGCGGTCTCTGGCGACAGTGGTAATGACGCAGGCACGGCAAGGACAGGCTCTTCTGGTACAGCTTTGGGGCTCGGAGGTGGAGAAGCCTCCACAGTCTGCTTCTGTGCCTGAGCCTTCTTGCCCTTCTTCTTCGCCATGTTTGCAACCGCGATGCTGCCTGTTTATAGCGGGGAAGAGAGGCCTGCGGACTGCTTGCTTAAAATGTTTGCGTCTTACAGATAACCGGAGGTAGTGTAAAGATGAGGCTAAGTGTAGCTAGGCGCACGCTTGCGTGGCACAATAGCGGGAGAACATGTAAAGGTGCACGACAGCGCAGTCGGGGCTATATACGGACAGGAGGATTCAAGAGCCGTGCAGGGCGACGACACGAACTGAAAACGCCAAATTGGCCAATGGGAGAGCGCCAGCGAGTAAGGAGATGCATATCAGAGTTAGCAGACTAATCTATGCGCCCCAATTGAAACGCGCCCGGCCTCCAACTATCGGTAGGAGAGCACGTGTGCGCCGCGGAAGAGGTGTGATGGTCCCGTTCTTCCGCCGTTGAGCCACGATTGGGGTCAGGAATGGAGCGCGGGAGCGAGCAGACTAAATGGAGAGGTTGGAGAACTGCTATAATCGGGATCTCGAGGAATATTGACTGGCTGTTGCGCGTAACGTGAAGCTCGACTTGACGAGCGCTCCAGAAAGCGGGTCTGGTGCGCATGCGTGGTCGCACTCGGTTGGTCGAAAATGCATGATGCGGCAGCTTCCCCGGTAGCCGAAATGCTCGAACACGCCGATTTCGCAGAATTCATGGGGCGCAGTCATCATCAGTGGCCGATTTGCGTGTGTCGCCGATGCAGGATGCTGTTGGCGGTGTGTGTTGTCACCTGCAAAGCGGCCCGTGCCCTTCCCGCCCGGGCCCTACAAGCTTAGCGCACGTGAATGCGCTCCGTGTACTTTCCTCGCCCCCACTACGCACCTTCACCGACGTCGACCAACCGGGCGCCTGCGACCGCGTTCGTTAAACAACGACCGAGATTACCAAGAATGACCTCTTGCCTCGGCGCACGCAATCACTCGAGGCGGCATGGTCAAGCCGCGGGCAGCGCGCAAGAAGCCCGTTGTGGTGTCCTCCGACAGCGATGAAGACGATCGCTACTCACCGCCTGCAAAGCGGACCAAGAGGGGCACACTATCGAGTATCGCAAATGGGTCCCGGCGATCCGGAGACGCGAAACCTTCCAAGTCGCAGACGCGACGCGCCTCGTCCCCAAAACCCTCTAGTATCGCCGTCAAGAAGTCGCCAGCAAAGTCGCCCGCGAAGTCGAAGGTTATCTCGAAGCCCATTACGTCCTTCTTCGGTGCCGTCCCGAAGCCGCAATTTTCCCAACCGACGCCAAGTCCAGAGAAGGCCTCTGTAGGCACACCGGTCGACGTCGACGATATCCTCGATTCTTCAGATGATGATCATGGGAAGGCACAATCGACCACCTTGCCGGTGCGGAGGGGCAAGCAGCTTGCGGCGGACAATGAGAACGGCTTGAAAGGAAGTCAACGCTTTCTTCGAAAATTCAGTGGAGGCCGTACCACTCCCACTCCGTCACCAGCGCCCGTCGTTGAAACTGTAGACAGACGTCCTTGGAACGAGAAATATGGCCCGACATCACTCGACGAGCTGGCGGTACACAAGAAGAAGGTTTCTGATGTCCGCACATGGCTCACTAATGTCTTTAGTGGTAAAGAGCGCAAGAGATTGCTGCTTCTGAAAGGTCCTGCCGGAAGCGGGAAGACCACAACCATGGCGCTCCTTTCGAAGGAGTTGGGCTTCTATATGCACGAATGGAAGAATCCTACAAGCACGACATCCTCTGAGGGCGGCTTCGTCTCTGCTACCGCGCAATTCGCAGACTTCGTCGGCAGGACTGGCACATTCGGTAGCCTGACCTTTGACGAACCCATCGAGGCTCGTCAACAAACGCCGAAACCGTCTGCGAACAGCCGGGAAAAGCAACTGATTCTAGTAGAAGAATTTCCCAATACATTCACGCGTACTTCTTCTGCTGTACAATCATTTCGATCATCTGTCCTTAATTATCTTGCAGCAGCCACCCCTTCGGCCACTTCTTTCTTCTCGGGGAAAGCTGATGCGCAAACCGTAACGCCGATCGTTATGGTGATCTCTGAGACGTTGCTATCAACAAACACCGCAGCAGCTGACAGCTTCACTGCCCATCGATTGCTCGGTCCTGAAATACTAACTCACCCAGGTGTTTCTGTAATCGAATTCAACCCCATCGCCGCAACATTCATGACGAAAGCATTGGATCATGTAGTTGTTAAGGAAGCGCGTCAGTCAGGTCGAAAGAAGACGGTTGGCCCGCAGGTAATACAACGTCTTACGGAGCTAGGCGATATACGCAGCGCCGTCTCATCACTTGAGTTTCTTTGCCTTAGAGGAGATGAGACGGAAGGGTGGGGTGCCAATGTCAATCTCACTAAAAAGAAAACGCCGAAGGGCTCCAAGGACACACCAATGACGCAGATGGAACAAGAGTCGCTGGAAATGGTCACGCAACGAGAGAGTACGCTCGGCATATTCCACGCCGTCGGCCGAGTGGTGTACAACAAACGACATCCTGAGGACCCGAACAAGCCCGTCGCTCAACCTCCCAACTTCTTTCCCGAACGGCGGAGGCCAAAGGCGTCCGAAGTCGATATCGAGACACTCATCGACGAACTAGGCACAGACACTCAAACCTTCGTCGCAGCGCTACACGAGAACTACGTACTGTCATGTGACGCAGGAGACAGCGAGGAAACTCTAGATTGCATCAACGGCTGTGTCGACGCCCTATCTGACGCCGACCTTCTCTCTCCCGACCGCTTCGGTGTGTCTGGCTTCGGCCAACGGAATTTCCAAGGGACATCTGCAGACAACCTCCGCCAAGATGAAATGAGCTTCCAAGCCAGCGTACGAGGCCTCCTCTACAACCTGCCAAACCCCGTCAAACGTCTCGCACCTCCTCCAGGCGTTATGGGGGCGAAAGCAAAAGGCGCAGGTGCCCCCGCCGCATCCGCAAGAGGCAGCGCTTTTGTGATGTACTACCCTTCATCGCTCCGCTTGTGGCGCCAGCAAGAAGAAATTGGCGGGCTACTAGAACTATGGATATCACGAGCACAGCGAGGCGAACTATTTGGTGCCCACGGCCCGCTGTCGAAACCCGCACCGACAGTCACAGGCGGTGTAGACACATGGCGCAAGGCCGCACCATTAGCCAAACTCACAACACCCTCACAGCCGCAAGAGAAATCCGAGGAAGACACACTCAATACTGTTCTCTTGGGCAGCGGCGGCTCCGCACGCTACGAAATGCTTCTCGAGCGTCTGCCCTACCTCCCCGCCATTTTACGCAAACGGTCTCCTTCTTCTACCATTACAATCCGCGAGATCCGCAAGATCACTGCGTTCACAGGGTCTAGTATACCCACGTCCCCCGAAGACGATGATGCGGATGACAACGAGGAGCCTGGTGAGGGGGAGATGTGGGCGACGGATAAGCCGACGCCTGATACGCCGAGGAAGAAGAGGAGGGTTAGGATCGAGAGTAAGGAGGAGTCTGCGATTCCTGGGGCAGAGGCGGGGGCGGGGAGTTTGGTGCTTAGTGATGATGATATCGAGGATTGAGGATGGACAGAGTGTAATATTTAGAGGCATACTATATCATATGGAGCGTTCGGCGCGTTGGGGTCCATGGATGGTGTTTTCGGTGTGGGTATGGCCAAAAAAGTCATTCGCGCAAAGCGGGCAGGACGAGTTAGTTCCAGATATTGTTGTGCTACATGTCACCTTCAAATATAATTAAACACAACTATAGCACCGACCAAAGGACATCTTAGTTGGGTTGGTCGTATTTGTATTGGGTATTCCTGGCTGTTTCTCCGTTCCTATCTTATCTTCACGATCCCGAAACCGTCCTACACAGACGGTGCACAATACTCAAAGCCCAAACGCCGAGCGAATGCTAACGAAGAAAACGAGCAGCCGCACTTCGACACGAAACCCAAACGCCATTGCCATGCTGAAACTCGAAAGCAGAGACCTCGCTAGAAACGACCGCTTACACAACGTCCTCCATCTCCTCGTCGTCGTCATCGACGTCCTCCACCTTGATGTTATCATCGGCCCTCCCCTCATTCGCCGACACTCTGTTGCTGAAGATATCCTGCCTCGTCCAATTGCTTGCGAACGGCCCGCTCTTGACTAACTGCGCAATACTCGGCAGGACCTCCTTGAGGTACGCCTCCGGCTGCCTCGTCTTCGCCTTGAGCGTCTTCATGCCCCAGAACCTATACTCGTCGAACAAGCCATGCAAGATATCCAGCAGCTCGTTGCGCGGCAGACGAGCGTACTTGTTCTGCTGGCTCTTAGGCTTCTTGTCGGGCCGGATGAAGGAGGTGAACTGGTCTTGCAAATTGTTCATGACGGTGACCTCGTCGACGGTTTCGGCGAGGATGTTTGTGCGGGAGTTGCGGCCTTCGATGGCGGCTTTTGTGCGCTGCTGGTTGAAGGCGATGAATTCGGCGGTGTTGAGGGGGTTCGCGAGATGCTGGGTGGTGACGCTGCCGATGAGGGCGGTTTGCTTGGGGACGGCGCGCTTGTACTTTGAGCGCGGCTTGTGAATGCGTGCTTTGGAGTCGTGCACTGCGCCGCCGAAGCTGCTGGACTTGCTCTGGCCGATGCCGTTTTGCTTGTAGCCTGGGAGATCTTTCTCGGTGAAGATGTATGTGTTGTGCAGCATGGTGTCGTTCGCGCTCTGGCCTTCGACTTCGAAAGCTGTCGGCAGCCCGGACTTATCTCGCCATGCGTTGTTGAAGAAGACGCGCATAGACGGCGCCACTGGCGGACCTTGTGGCTGGTTTTGCGACTGCTTTCCATTCTTGCCCTTATTTTTGTTCTTGTCATACGCATTGTCAGGAGGCAGTGACAAGACCTCGCCGAGTACGATCTGATCGTTGTCGTTGCCTTGCGCAAACTCATCCCAGTTCGAGATGTGCGCGTATAGCCAGTCTGGGATACGCGCGAGCATGACATGCTTTTCGCCTTCACGCGGCAACGATAGCTCGCCCGTGTCTTCGTAGAATTCATCGTCCATGTAGCCGCTGCCGCCAAAGGATGGCGAACCTCCCTCCGTTTTCATCATCTTCGGGATGCACCTCTGCTGTTTTTAGTGTGAAGTGAGGGCGTGATGTCCAGGTGCGAATAGCGAGTGGGTGCTGAACAGGCGCGTGTTCTTTCGAGGGTTGCGTGGGAAAGCGCGGGCTTTGTGGTTGTCTCGTTCAAAGAGCTGCGGTTCACAAGTGTTTGGTTACGGGAGTCCGCCCGCTCCTTAGCGTCTTGGCGCACGTTGAGGCTCTGCGGCGTGCTCGCGCAAAATCTCAGTTTTGATATTGTGTGATAATTTCTAATAGACGGCCTGAGAGGTCAGATTCCGGCGCAACAACTTGACATGAAGATAGAACAATCAAATTTTCTCTCCGTGCCTGTGCCTCTCTACACTCGTTCTACACATCCACGACATTCAAGAACTTATCGATAAGAAGCTCGCGCTAGCGACCGCGATGGTAACAACACTGTACATGCACCACTGCGGTCTCTCGTTTTCAAACACTCGACTGTTGCCAAGTTCAATCCCCGTGCTGTAACCTATCCGAAGGCTTCAACACAACCGGTACCCTAGTCTCGCCGCCCGCTTCGGTCAGACTTGCCTCTGCTGCCTGAAGCTCCCCCACCTCGACCCGCGGCGAACCACCACACCACACCCTCTACATTCCGCCAACTTCCCACGATGGCATCTGCAGAAGTCAATTCTGCTCTGCAGGAAATCCAAGCAGCTCCCGTCAGCGACAAACCTACTCAATACCACACTCTTCTCCAACAAATCACCGCTTCATCGAAGAACCTCGCCGACGATCTAAACGCCTACTCCCGTACCTTACTAGATGACAACCTTGGCGTCGTTATCCTCCGCCCTCTCGTCAGCAATTTCGTAGAACAGTTCCGCAACCTCAAAACCCCAGAGATCAAAATTGAAGTTGGCGAGAATGTGATTGCGCTCCTTCAGACCAAAGGCGTTGGCCAGTACGAGGAGCAGGACACGCTGATCAAGGAGGCGGTGGCAGAAGCTTGCGAAGAGATAGAAGACTACCGGAAGTCTGCGCGAGTGTTGGGGTCGATCAATCTAGAGTCGACGCAACGCTCATTATCCAACGACGACAAAGCGAAGGTCTGGATCCGGATCGTACGGTGCTACTTGGAAGAAGACGACCCAACAAGCGCACTCACACATCTCAACAAAGTCAAGAACGTCATCTACAGCGTTACGGACAAGGAGACACGGATACACTTCCAGCTCAGCCAAGCGCGCATCCACGACTCGCAGCGCAACTTCCTTGACGCAGCGAAGGCGTACTACACACTATCTCTCGAGTCTAGCATCGCGGAGGAAGAACGACATCAAGCACTTGGCTCCTCGATCGTGTGCGCCGTACTGTCCCCTGCAGGCCCACCCCGCTCGAAGATGCTCGCTACACTCTACAAAGACGACCGCGCGAGCTCCGTCGAGAATCACTCTGTGCTGGAGAAGATGTTCTTCGACCGTCTTATTCCTCCGCAAGAGACCAAAGCCTTCGCGGAGACACTGCAACCGCACCACCTCGCCCGCACAGCCGACGGATCCACCGTGCTCGACCAGGCTGTCCTCCAACACAACCTCGTCGGCGCGTCGAAGCTCTACAATAACATCGGCTTCGATCAGCTCGGCGAGCTTCTTGGTATCGACGCGGAGAAGGCGGAGGACTATGCGGCGAAGATGTTTGAGCAGGGCAGGCTGAGTGGGTACATTGATCAGATTGACCGGCTCATATTCTTTGAGGGCGAGGCCAGCGGGGAGCGGAAGACGGGGCAGTCGGAGCGTGTGGTGGGTAAGGAGCTGAGGAAGTGGGATGCGAATGTGCAGGGGTTGGCGGAGGAGGTGGAGAAGGTGACGACGATGATTCAGACACAGTATCCGGTGAGTCTTACCCTGTTCTCTTGCTCTATACTTGGGCTAATTGTCGTGCAGGAGTTCTACGCTGCGCAGACGGTGCATTGAGAGATTGGGTGTACGGACTTTGAGTCTTGAGGTACAACACCAAGCCAAAGCATGCCAACAACTTGTCGGTGACGTCATGGACATGAGGTAGCAGCTATGGGGACAAGCCGGCTGCAAATGGGGATTCTCGAAGCATAGCGAACGGAGTACCAGCATCCATCTGAAATACGTGGAATTCCAAGGATGTGTATGAAGCGGAAATGACCGCGCTTAGGATTGGTAGTTGATAATACAGAAGCACCATTCCCATCCATGTACCAAGACAACTCTACCATGCAATGCAACCTCTCATATCCTCACATATTGTACATCCGAAAGTATACAAACTTCTTCACTGCGCTTGTCTTCGTTTCTCTTTCGAGCGTTCTTTAAAACACCCGACACCCTCATTGCTTCTCCTCCTTCAATGCCTCCTCGTACTCCTCCAAACTCTTAACCTCCACCTCACCTACCCTCAACACTGTGTACTTGTGCTTGCTGTACACATGCCTCGTGTGCCTCTGCCTCCTCTTCGTCTTCTCTACCACGCGCATGGGCTCACTCTCGACCCCGACCACCGTCGCCCGGCACGTGAATAGCCGCTCATCCAGATAATGCACAATCTTCCCGTGGTCGGAGTTGCCCTTGATTGCCTCGGCAGCTTTGAGTGTGTAGTCCCGCGAGCCGATATGCGTCGCGCGGTTGAGGCGCAGGACATCGCCGGCTTTGACATGCGGCATGAGGAAGGGTAGGCGCAGAGTGTCGCCGGGTGTGAGGAGGTAGGGGCGCCCGTGGATGTGCGCGGTGATGTAGTGTGCGGGTTGGGAGTGGAGAAGAGGAAGCAGGGTCCGTATCGAAGGGGTGAGGTATTGGGATACGACGTCTTGCCGGGCGTTGGGCGATGCGGGTGTCGTTGATGATGGTGTCGATTGTGGTATTGAAGGAGCCGATTCGACTTTCTGCTTGAGATCTTGCGAGACGTGTTGGCCGGACTGGAGGAGCGGGTCGGGCACGTTGCCCGTCTCGAGGGTGTGCGATACGGTCGTCAGGCCTCTTCCAAAATGGGCGGATGGCCGTGCTTCGAGAAGCGGGCGGCGGATTGTGCGGACGAAAAGCGCCATTGTGGGTGTGGACGGCAATGCCTTGATGCTCATTGTCGTGGTCAGGATGTCGAGAAATCACGAAGTTTGGCGGAGCTGCAGGGATCAGATGACGCTAGATTAGCGTCCCGAAATCTTGGCGTGCGGGACTGGGACTTTTTCGCCCGCCGCCAGCCTCTCGAAGTATTCAACATCACGATAAGAGCAAGCGCTCGCCCTTCCTATTACGCCGAGAAACCCAGAGCAGTCGCTCACCCGCCACCGCCATGCCTCAGAACGAGTATATGGAACGTCACAAAAAACTCCACGGCGAGAGATTCGATGCCGCAGAGAGGAGACGCAAGCGCATTGCCCGAGAGGGCCACGAAGCCTCTAAGTACACTTGCCCAGTACTCCTACTTGCGATTTTGCCACTGACTTCTATTTCAGAAAAGCTCAGAACTTCCGCGGTTTGCGCGCGAAGCAGTATGCTGAGAAGAGGAGGAAGGAGAAGATCCAGATGAAGAAGCAGATCAAAGCGCACGAGGAACGCAATGTCAAGACGTCCGAGCCCGCCGAACCCTCTACCGAGGCCTTGCCGCAATACTTGCTGGATCGCAGCAACGACAAGAACGCCAAAGCACTGTCCAGCGCTATCAAAAACAAGAGGAAGGAATCGGCAGCACGATTTTCGGTTCCGCTGCCGAAGGTCAAGGGTATCTCTGAGGAAGAGATGTTCAGCGTAGTGAAGACGGGCAAGAAGACAGCGAAGAAGTCCTGGAAGCGAATGATCACAAAACCCACCTTTGTCGGTCCTGGATTCACCCGTCGTCCCGTCAAATATGAACGTTTCATTCGGCCAATGGGTCTTAGGTACAAGAAAGCCAACGTCACTCATCCGGAACTGGGCGTTACGGTGCAGCTGCCGATCATCTCTGTCAAGAAGAACCCACAGAATCCGCTCTATACTCAGTTGGGCGTCCTGACTAAAGGTAAGCACCCGAGTATCTTAATACTTGACGAGACTGACAATTAAAAGGAACGGTCATTGAGGTCAACGTGAGTGAGTTAGGTCTTGTCACGGCGGGAGGAAAAGTCGTCTGGGGTCGTTACGCTCAGGTCACCAATAACCCTGAAAATGACGGCTGCCTCAACGCTGTGCTTTTGGTCTAAGCATGTGCGTCACACGCGACAATGCATCGTTACGGCGTTCGGGTACCAAAATCGACTAGGCGTTGAGGGATTGAGAACATTGAAGTTATGGGGCTTACGCGCTAGGAGGGGGAACAAGAGACAGGGATGAATTCGCTAGCATCAGGACGAGGATGAATGATACCAAATAGACCAAATGGACAAGACCTGGGTTTTTGTACCATGCTTGAGAACGCAGATTCATAGGCCGTGCGGTACATTACGAGTTCCACTTCAACCGCAGCAGCGAAGTGATCCCCAACCTCAGTCCTCTGGCGACTTCCCATCCCTATACTCCCACAACCTCGAAAAGTCCCTCACCCTCGCTTTCTTCCCTCTTTCCCCCTTCCTCAGCGCAGTCACCACCCCATCCGCATCCCCCAACAATACACCCACGCTGCCGTCCCTGACATCCTCACACCCATCCCCCATGATCTCCACCCGCGTCTCCATGAATTCACAACCCTCCTTCACCCTCATGTCCTCATCTAGCGGAAACATAGCATTCAAATAATGCTGATTCAGCAGATGCCCCGTCCCAAGCCTCATAAACACACGGCCTGCGTAACGATTGGGAAGGCGCGAGAAATACAAGACGCCCCAGCGGGCGACGAATTCGCCGGTAGAGGCATAGTGCTCGATGTGGCGGACCGCGTAGGAATTTGAAACTGAATTTGGGGACTTCGGAGGTACATCTCCATTCGTAGTGATGCGGAGGGCATTTGCATTCGCATTCGCAACGGCTTGGGATGACATCTGTGATGGGTCGTGACGCGGCGGGTCGTTGAAGTGGTTTGCCGCGCTGCCAAAGGTGTAGATTTCGAGTTTGGAAGAAAGGGTGGTGTGGGGGACTTTGGGGTGTCAGTTTCACATACACACAGCTCTAACATTTGATATATGGAATAGCGGAACGAGCAGAGGGGGGGAGATTAGAGGACGTACGTTCCGTCAGTAGCCAATCCAGAATCAAGCCACCCTCGATGCCGCCCTGGCTGTGCAGTATCAAAACCACTTTTTTATTTTTCTCCTCGAGAAGGCTGGCTTTGATGGTAACGTACGAGCGGCGGATGTCGGTGGTGGCGTAGAGAAAGTCGCGCTCGAGGATGCATTGGAGGAGGTCGAAGACGATACCGTACGTGCGATTATGAACACCGGTTATGGGGCGGCGGAAGGTGAGGGCTAGGCGGTTGAGGTTCGATTGGAGCCAGTGTGAGCCGACTGAGACGCCGTTGAGGTAGATCCAACATTCTCCCTCGTGCTTGCTTTCGTCTTCTCCGAGGTCTACGGTGCTGTGCAGAACATCGATGTCGCCGTTTAAGAGAAAAGCTATCGCTAAAGTTATAGCGTATACAGCTGCGAAATACAGCCCTACAGCCCACAGTGGTAACACGATTGTGAAGGGTAAACTCAGTAAGAACAGCGGTTGGAACAATAACAGGATAGCGTGAAGGAATAGACAGTAAAGGTTGGATAGAGAGGGATAAAGTTCGTCAAGCGCGCCGCCCTTCCATTCTGTCAAAGGGATCAGAGTTCCTGGTATTGACCACGCGAGGCTGAAGATGAGACGGATGTCGGCGATAAAGAGGAGAAAGGGGGATCCCGTATAAGGGATCGGTGTGTGTGAGTTGGTGCGGCGAAGATTGGAGGGTTGCGGTGGAATGAGATCCACTGCCATAATTACAAGGCTGGTAAGGAATGAGTAGAGTCAAGATGTGAGCCTGCAATTCCAGTGAGACGAAAAGAAAGGTGGAGACATGTTATACGAAGCCATGTGATGTGAGCAGGCGGAGAGGCTGAAACTAGGCGGTGGAATGTGGGAGGGAACCTGAAGTATGTGTAGGTGCGGCTGGCCGGGAGCTTGTATATCGTTCGTTAGTCTGCGCGATGGCGCATGATAGCTGAGAAGACCTTGTGAGGATCTGACGTGCGCGTATCTAACCTGTGGCTGAGTTGGTGAGGTGTGGTTACACGGGAGGTTTGCCTGATCGTCTATGCGATCATCGCCCAGGGATAGATATAGCAGAGTGGTCATATGCCTGAGCTTGAGGCTTGAAAGGTGTTGGGATTCGTCGATTTGGGGCAACGTCGAAATTAAGGTTTCTGGCAAGTCAAGGTACGCGTCGCGCGTTGTGCGTGGATGTTTCGTTCGCGCATGCAGGGGTCAGGTGCAGCTGTCAAGAACGTCATCATGCATGTGACCACAGAAACCTAGCTAGTGTTCACACGACGTTGATTATATAGATCCCATCTCCACTCATCTCTTGACAAGGTGATGGTCAAGAGGGCTCATTATTTGAGCATGTCGAAAGTCATCTTCTCGCTGCCTGTTTTTGATGCATTCATCATGCCCACTCTTCGATACACTCCTCGCTGAACTTTTAGGCTCCTCCTGAAGATGAATTGTCTGTGATTTTGGCTTGCCACTGCGTGCTTCATTCGAGTAAAAAGTCGAACCTTCGGTCTAGCCAGATTTGGAGCGAGAAAGCGCTTTTATCGGATCCTTGCTTCAGGCATTTTCACGCACGGGTGGTGCGCTTAAGGACTTGGTTCGCTTGGAAACTGCATGGGCATGGCGGAGAGATGCAGGTGGATAGGACCTGGAAGACGAACCAAATCGGCTTTACACATGATGCATACCTCATTCTCACAAAGTTCTCAACAGCCCATCAGCTTATTCAGAGCTACCCAGGGCCCATTTGGAGAACCGTTCCGTATAGGATCAAGAACCGAATCAACCGGTGTAAGGGCCCCCTTCTGGAGGTACAGCAGCCCGCCATGGATGTCTTTAGCCCAGAGCCCGTACGCAAAGTCGACTTGGAGTCGCATTGCAAATTCTTTGGTATCTGGGGCTACGCGGGTAGAGGATCTGAAGCAAAGGCCAGACACATAAGAGGAGTCATTGAAGATGTACGGAGTGGATTTGGCAGAGTCAGGACGGTCTATGAGCGCCACTCATGAGAGAGGCTAACATCATCAGTGAGAACAGTTCTAAGCCTGACCTGGAAGTTGCGATCAACAGTATCTCTGAAGCCTTTCTCTAGAGGTGTATTCATCCATCCGCGTTGTTGATTATGCAGCGAGAAACTTTTAAAGATTGCTCAGTGGGAGTTAGGCAGCCAGTGTATGCTACCAAAGCCGCTTCTGACCCCTCAGATCTTCGCCATCTCCCTCCCTTCCGTATTGTACTCCATCAGCCCTTCAACAACCTCTCTCCATCTCCCTGCCATCTCAGGACTGATCGCACTCTCGTCGTAGCTCACCCCAAATTTCACTCTTCCCTCCGCATCCGTACTACTTCCCACCAAGAACTCGTCATCCCTTGCCCTAACACCCTGGCGAAAATCCCAGAAGTCTGCTGCAAAATCCTTCTCTTCAGCACCATTCCCAACAACACTCAGATCGTATGTTCCTGCTGCAAGCCATTGCGCCGTGCGTCCAATAGACGACACACCACACGTCGCTCTAAATTGAAAGGCTGGAGGAAGAAGTTCGCCGTGCGGATTGACTCCCCACTTCATATCATCAGGTAGCTTTGCGTCCGAGCGTTCAATGGCACTAAGGTATGCATTGGCGAGCAGTCGAGCCGGAGAATGCGGATCGAAACCGCCTTGCACATCAGAGTTCTTACCCTTCGCGCGTTTCTGATAAATGCGTAACTCGCGATTCGCATGACTCGCGATGAGCTTGAAGCGGCCTTCGATTGGGAGGGAAGAAGGTAAGAAGGGCATGACGATGCCTTCTGAAAACGCCAGCATACACGAATCAGCTGGGGTGTTCCAGCCGAAGAAAGCGCGTGGGTTTAGCGGAAACCCAGATGCGAAGGGGAGTCGCTTGTCGTCGGGTATATTGGGGAAACGCTCTTCGTGAACGGTCATCATAGCGAGGCCTGCGAGGGCGAAGCATCCGGCGCCGATGCTAACGTGAATGGAGCGGCAGAGGTCCCTCATGCGCTTTGATGCAAGAAGGGAGAGGCTTGCATAGACAGTACCTGCATTTAGGGGAGGCTTTGAGGCTTCGGAGTAGTCGAAGAGCTTAGAGAAGTGTGGCGGGAAGGTTATAACTTCTTTTCGTTCTTCTCTTCTGAGCGGATTGGTAAAGGATTGGGGGGTGGTCTTTCGCAGATGCCGCAGGACACGCATAATGGACCAAAACCATCTTTCTCTTGCTTTGTTTCTTGCAACCCGTGGGTATAGGTCTTCTTGTGCAGGTGGTAGCCTCTTTCTTATCTCGTCCTCTTGTCTGCCTATCTCTATCTCGCTTTCCAAGTCTTTCTCTGACAAATTGAGTATGCGAACGAAATCGCTGAACCAGTTGTACGCAGATAGACCGTCCGATATTTGATGACCCATCACAATCAAGAACCGCACTTCGGAGCTCCCATCAGGTCTCTTGACCAAAGGCAGCACATGAATCTTCGACATGCACTTCTCAGGCTCAACAATGCGACCCACATTGAAGGCGTGTCGATGCATCTCATTCCCGTCAACCTTTTCGTAGTGATCATCCACCCATACTACACTCCGCAGAACATCTTGAAGCACCTCTTCTATGCTACCGTGCAGATCAACAATGAACTTCCGATGTCTTTGTGAATCGTTGAACAACGTCCGGCTCATAAGCATAACATGACGCAGTCGCAGATTCGCCCACGCAAGCGCGATCCTCCGTCTGAAAGCTTCTTTCGAAAGCCTATGATTTATGCGCACAGAAAAGAGCGCCGTCATGTCTGCACGACCGCCGAAATATCTGCACGCAGACACCTCATCAGTTTAGATTATGCACGTCTTTCGATTCGAAGACTAACCGACCATCCGAATCGAAGGATGTCTCCACCAGACCAATAGGACGTTCGAAACTTGCTTCTCCATGGCGCTCAGTTCTCTTCCAGGCATAGTACCCATTGCCATAGCGATTGAGCCAATGCTCGCCTTCTCTTGCCATTGCGAGACGTGTTGTTGTAAGTAAGACTAGTGCAGCTTCAATAATGTGGGGAAGTAAAAATTGTACGAGTCATTCTTAGACCATCGCGGATTTGCGCGCCTAAACCCCAACGGGTATACCGGTACTGCCCGCGCACTACTTTGGTCTCTGGTACACTTTCTACCCCATCGATATTTGGAGGCCATGTTTGGAGATGTCAACATTGAAAGATCACAGCACCTGGGTATGCTACTTGTGATGTAGTAATGGCGTATGCGTCGAGCTCGGATCTAACCGGAATCGGAAATAGACATCCAGATGTCTGGAAGCTTGTTGTAGAATGGTAGGTGAGTCTCAAAACTTCTCATTGAATTAGTCCCATGCATCACAGAGATTGATAAATGCCAATGTGGAGTGACTTCAACAGTGAGAGCAACATTCGCGCTGCGAGACATATCTTTGGTATGGCACAAGTTTGTCGAGCTCGACGACAGAACTCGAGGTTTGTACGTTCCTCCATGTGGCGTCCCCTTCTGCATGGTCTTCAAGTCCTTGATATGTATGTTGCATTTCGTCTACTTCATTTGTCCTGTTCAAACTTGACAGTTCCATCATCGATAGCTCGATCCCGGTCTGGAGACAAGAAATTTTGTCACGCCATTAGACCATGCAACGCCCGGTCAAAAGCTCATATACCCGGTCAAAAATCATAGCCACTCAATTCCGTACCGACAACAACCCACCGCTGTTTCAGCGCATTGTGCTACCTTTTCAACCGTCCCGGAAGTCGATTCTGAGGTCCTCCCGGCTTCCGGTGCGCAGTTTTTCTTCAAGCTGAGACCTGGTGGCGATCATGCGGTCGTCAACAGAGAGCATGGAACCATGTAACAAAGCAAGAAGATCGCGAGTGAAATTCGCGAACACGGTGAGAAACCGGAGGTTCGGAAAGCTAGTGGCAGGCGGAGAGGTCGTTCCAAGACCGTCAGGTAACGAGCCGCTTTGTAGGAATATCGGGAAATGACGAGCTGAACGCGCTGCACCGCTTCGCGTTGGCCTTGGTGAAGCGAGCTGGCGAAGCCGTCAAACGAATCGCTCCAACTGAACTCGAACGTGTTTTCAGCATAGGCCATTGTGCATGTTTCGTTGTAGATTTGTCGGCACACAAGGAGAAGCTCCAGGTGAGGAGGGCCCCTAAAGTGGAGACGACCTGCCCGGATGTGAAGTGGTTCATTGCTGACCAACACGAAGCCAAAGATCTTGTCACGAAGTTCAGCTGGCAATCGCAGAAGAGGCGAATTAGTGGCGTTGTTCCTTGTACTGCCGCAAACTGTTAGCTCACATTAATCTTCTCGTTTCAAGCAGCGAGTAACTTACAAGTCCACGAGGCGACTCGGGGTTTTGAGCAGGCACAAGAGACCATTCGCTCGAAGAGCTGCCTTCTTTTTTTGCACCCGTGTACCCCAATTGACGATGCCAGGTGGCTGGACCACCTGTTTAGGGTGTGGACGCAAGCCGGATCGCGGCATGGTGTTTGAGGGCAAGGTGTGACGGCACTGCTGGGAGAGTGGTGAGTTGGTGGATTCGTATTGCGATGCAGATGTGCTTACGACGTCTTGATACTGGGGGACCTCGAGTCAGCAACCGTAGATCAATAAGGGCAACAATCGTACTGACCTTGAGTTGAAAGCCGAGGTTGGTTTGCAAAGGATTGGCAGTGACCTTGACAGCCTCGAGGCGGAAGGCGTCGAGGTAGGACACTGGTGCCGTGGCGACAGGCTTTATATACCTGAACGCCGAGGTGTATCTGAAGCTTTGGCGCTTCCCAAAGAAGATATTGCTCATATTTGAGTGATGCCATGGCGACGCCATTCATCTGGAAACTTTCTTAACTTCCCGGCCAGTGTCTGTTGTCATCAGCCAGGGATGGTCTCGGTCGAAAATCACTTTCCACGTATAGACGATAGGAACGAGTCAGTTGCAGCCAGCAGCCTTCAGTATACCCTTTCATGATTGAAATTTGATCTTGTCGAGGAAACGATTAGGCAGTAGGGGAGGGCTTATGCCACTATGCTAGCAGGTCCTGATTAGCTCGCGGAGAAATGGATCGGGACGCCTATCCACTCTACAACATCGACAACAGGCGTATCTTCCCAGTTCATGGCTATAGTACTGCAAATGTTGGATGCTTCGAATCCGAAGGAATTGCTGACATCCACTGTAGATGGCTTTTTTTTGAGGACCGTGGCTATCTCTAATGCAAAGTCGAGACTTTTGGAAATCTCCTCATCTTATGACATTGAGAGGCTAAGTGGCTTCTTTTTGCCGAGTCCTGATATTGGCCTCAGGCGCTGGAGCAAGTTCGAGCGCGCCCTGGGAGTGATGTATCAAGCAATACTTGTTTTTTCTGCGCATGACATGACTTGGAAAACAAATCTATCTATGTAATCAGTGCGTGTATCTGTGGCTGGGACCCATGATCTGACGCATCCTACTGAGCACAGATCATACCATCAGATACGCGCATATCCAATGGCTGACAACAACCCAATCGCAGACACCAACCCAAAGCCTCTCGGCTTTCTTACATACTCGTGGATTATCGCCAAAAATTTCTTCATTAAACTATTCGGCAGGAGGAAATCGCGACCGCAGAGCAATCTCGCCCGGAACGATCTAAAATACCCTCAAACTCAATACGATAAGCCACGGGATTCATACCAGACGTTGAAATTGTGCTCTTTGGGAACAGAGATGGTGGATGGGCTCCTTATGATTCTGATGAATCGTACGAGTGATGGTGAGCTCTCGGGACGCGAATATTGTTGCTCAGCGTTGGCTTCTCGGATGAAGACGATGCGTTGAGAGATCAAGATATCATAGGTATGATTAAGCGCGATGGCGAGTCTGTAGGTGGTGTCACAGTGCTAGGCAAAACTTAGAGTACTGCAATGCCCACCCTGGGGTAACTCAGAGAAACAAAGCTTTCAACGAGGTACTGTAATTAGAAGCAAATAGCATGAAATTGAAATGGATCAGATTGCCATCTCCCTTCTGCATGTGACTTACGCAAACGTATGAGCAAGCCGTTGGGTCATGTGCACAGTCCACAAGGACTTGATATATCCTCTCGCCAGCCCAGACAAGCACCGCAGCCTGACCCGTGTATGCCCTCTCAATGGATGATCCACACGATGAAAGCACACCTGCCTCCAGGTCATTCCGTGAATCTATAGGGCGTTTTCTCAATAAACGTCCATACTTCATTAGAAGGATAGGAAAGGGTCTGATCAACATCCTCGGATTAAGGAAGGACCAGCCGAAGAAGCCTCCCAACAAATTGAGAAAGCGGAGAAGGAGAAGAAATACCGTAGACAGATCGCCTCAACCTTCGCGATTTTCTAGAGATGAGGCAGTGCGTGAAAACGAGCATGAGGAATGTCAGGTGGTTGAAGATGAGGCTGAGCATGAAAGTAAATCTGAGGAAAGTCAGATAAGAAGCGAGTCCGAAAACCGAGAAGGCCTCTTACGCTTGCCTAGAACAGAGGACACGGATGCAATCACACCGATTAGGAAAGACTATCATATCCCCCAAAACCTCTCGCCGATTCCGGAGCAGGACAGTCCGGTCAAGACGAAGGACATGCAAAGACCATCTTCTTCAACATCAATACCGGCACAGGACAGCCCAGTCAAGACGAACGGCTTGCAGAGACCATTTTCTCCAACGCCCATAAAGGCTTCACGGGGACATAGCATGGGAGATGTGGACGCGATAACTCCGGCGGCGAAGCCTACCCGGCTCTCGACGGTGCAGGAGGTCTCATCCATCAAACCTAGTCTTACCAGTTTCCCGCCACTACCGGACAGTCCTATCAAAGGGAACGAAGACGAGGAGAAAGAAGTGAAACAAGAAGCAGTCAAAGAGCTGGATACTGACAGACCACAAGTTTCTCATGGTCCGGGCGCGTACAATATCGACACTATCAGGGGAAATCCGCGAAAGAAGTTCGTTATGGAGAGGAAGGGCCTTTTTGAAGCGATGGGAACCGGAGGACAACGGGAGCAGGATGGTAATGCTGTAGAAAGATCAGAAAGAACAAGAGAGCCATCCAGTCCGGAATTCTTTTGAGATGCGGTACGTTGATATTGGGGACTGTAGCCTTGTGCCTCGGTGGAGGGACTTCAGGATCGAAAGGACGGGCAGGCGCGAGGCAGGGTAGAAGGCTGCGATACATACAATGTTGTTGAAAGATTCGATAATCTACATTGGATCAATCCATCTTTATATTCAGTCCCGTCTCCGTAAACACACCCTTGTATACCCCACAGCCCAGCCATCAATCCCTTGCCCCCATCCTTCACTCTCACCTTCACCTCACCCCACGTCCCTTCTCCATACCCACCCCACGCCACCTCACTTTTCTTTCTCCCTCTACTCCCCAGCTTTACCTCCCCACCCTCATACAACCCAGCTCTTCAAGATCCAACAAAATGTCAGACCGCAACCCTCCCCTTCCGCCACGCCCTCAGCCGCTCAAAATCCTTCCTATCAAACAAGATCAAACTCAACCCGGGAAAGCCAAGCCCACCTCCCCAGCCAACAGCGAGGACACCGCCCAAGGTCATGACATATCCCCCACCACCGACAGGGAAGCCAACGCAAACTACAAACGCCGCATGCGCGTCATCGCCGCCTCCGAACGCACGGAGAATCCCCTGGAATTGGGCGAAAACGGGTGGGGCGCGCAGGCTTGGGGACGGGAGAAGAAAGAGAGGAGGCAGGTGGAGGAGCTGGAGGAGTTATGGGGGAGTATGCGTCGGGGTTCAGGTACGATTAATGTGAGGGAGAGGGTGCCGGATCGACGAGTGCTACTCCAGCGATCAGAGCGCGCGTCTACAGAACGCCAAGTCGTAAGTTCACAGGGAAGTCTCTCCAAGGGAGACGGAGACGGAGACGGAAGGGCAAAGAAAAGCAGCGGATCCCCAGCGCAGTTCATCCGTCCACTGCCCTTCAGACTGCATGAGGCATCCCCATCTCCATCTCCCTTCCCCCCTTACCGTCCCACGCGCACACCCGAACGACATACATCACCAACACAGCGAGCAAGAACAAGCGGTCCGTACCTCTCCCCCGAAAGCGCGGCCGACGTAGAAGCTCGTCTAGCCGCTCGTTCAGCATCTACCAACGCGTTGAGGACGCGCGCAGGCCCGAGACCGAATGTGCAGGGGAGGAGTGGGTATGCGGCTCAGGCGCAGGGGGTGCGCGTTACGCCGGGGAGCTATGGGGATAGGGAGAGGGAGGAGTATCTTGCGCGGATTGGTCTTGCTCGTGGGAGTGGTGGGTCGGGGTGATGGGACGGTGCATGGAGGATAGGACGCGTTGTTCAAGTTTGAATATTGAATGGAGCGCGGACCGTGTGGTAGGGGGGCAACGGAGTCTATAGGATTTCATACATGTTCGGGTTTATGAGAGATGGAGAGGGAAGTCAAATGGAAGATACGAGACCCTAGCGGTCTTCGGTTAGCTCCGTCCACCCACACTGCGTCGATCTCCCGCCCGTCACGCTGCAAGTCACGACGGGAGGATCCTACATCCCCACTCCACCTCTGCTTTAAACTCGCGAGGATGGAGATCTGACTTTGTCTGACCTTCTCACTCTCATTGGCACCCAGCCTCTTCAACCACACCATGGCGCCTCGCACAACCTACCGCCACCGCCCCATCACCGCCGCGACCATCTTCGGGACTCTCTCCTTCGTCCTTCCCATACTATCCTTTGTCCATCTGTACATTCACGTCGGCACGCTCCTTCCATTCATCTACACATGCGGTCTCAGCGCGGTTACATTTGTGCTGTACGGCTACGACAAGTTGCAAGCGCGCAACAATCAGTGGCGTGTCAAGGAGACGACGCTGCATGTGTGCGCTTTACTTGGGGGATGGCCGGGTGCACTCGTGGGGATGCACTACTTCCAGCATAAGACAAGGAAGCCGGCTTTTCTGGTGGTGTTTTGGGGGATTGTGATTGTGTGGGAGGGGTTTTGGTGGATCGTTTGGAGGTCGGATCTTGACTTGATGGGGTACTAGTCAGGCTGTTGGTCGCTTGGGGGGATAGAGGTTTTCGAGTCCGCCTCTGCATCGAAGAGGTCAATTAGGCCTGCGCGGAGAGCAAGTGGAAGGCTGAAACTTTTAGTGGAGGGCTGATATACTGGGAGACCGAAAGTGGCTGGTTTTGAGGAATCGTGGATCTGAATCATCAGCGTACCCAAATGCGATCGAAGAGTCAGGTCAAAAATAAGAGCGTGTCATTGTCGCTCGCCAGGTCATGCAGTCGTAGGTATCATGATGCTACCGTCAGGTCATGCAGTTGCAGGTATCGTGTGCTGCCGTCAACTCCCAAGCCTCCCTTCCGCCCTTATGTTCACTCCTGCGCCGTTGTGTATCCGTCTGCGATGTCCTTCGCCTTCAGCACTGGCTTAGCTTCCTTCAAGTCTCCCGACCTCTTCGCTGCCTCCTCTTTCGCATTCCTGGCCATGGTTGACACGCGTTCAAACAGGATCTTCGAGAAGTCCTCTACGCTGTCCCACGCTTGGCTTGCGGCTCGTCCTAGATCTCACCCTCAGATTAGCGACCAGTGAGCGGACTCGTCAAAGAATCCGCAGCTTCACCAGTGGCTTCTCCAAGAGGGTTTTTTGAGATGCCGCCAACGGCGTTGCCGAGACCTTTTTTGAGCTGCATAACGTCTTCTTGGTCGGAGGCGGGGATCTTGGAGATTTGGTCTGCGGGTAGTTAGCGGCTTGGGGCTGTGTTGCAGCGGGATGGCGGATTTAGGGCGGAGGGTGCTCCTGTGGGGTGGAAATGCTTGTGCTTACCCTTGGCCATGTAGGAGAGCTTGTTTTCACCCATGGTCTTGAGGGCAGATCGTTCGAGCTTGCGCTTGAGCTCTGGTGGGATGCCGAAGAGGTAGACGGCGAGGGCGAGGACACCAACGATGCCTGCGAGGACGGTGAAGGTTTGAGCGGCGGTCATGGTGTATGGGTATGTTGGTTTAGTCGACGAAGGTAAAGATTAAGGATTCAAGTTGTGTCAAGATGGTCGTGCGGAAAGAGGAATGATTGGCGTTGTGGTGGGAAGCCTAGATTTATGTGAGGTGTGGCAGGCGCATGACATCATTGCTCTACGAGTGACACAACGCGATCTTGCAACGCCCTTGCTTCAGGGCCCCGCAGATCCACTTGGCTTGGGAGTGAACACATTCGGACAATTTTCGCACTTGATGTTGGGACGAGCGCTAAGCCGCATCTCGCAAAACGTACACAATCTCACAGGGTGCTCCTGTGGCTTTGATGGTTAGAGGAGCGAGCCTTCACGCAGTCCCAGAGTCGGCGCTGCGGTCGCGATGCTGATACTGCACTCTGAGGCAACTCAGGTCAGAGTCTATTGACACATCGTTACCAGTCTCGTACTGTGTCGATGCCTGGCTGATAGGAAGGGTGGTGAAAGCGTTTAGATGTTCAGGCGCTAAGCATCAGCTACTCAGCCTCAGGAAACCGCAAGGCAGCCCCCACCAGCAAGAACGCCTAGCCGCGCCCCTCGACTAGGCCATTAATTCGGAGAGCTGACAGCTGCATTGGACCTCTCACATTCGCATCTACACGCACCTACGTTCCCTCCGTCCCCTTTCACATACATCGTTTTTCCTACGGTTCCGTATCTACCGCACGCTGGAATCGCTCGCCTACCCCTCCTCGAGAACCCCGCCAAACCCTCCGCCGTGCCAAACAGGCGCCTTCATCCAAACTTCAGCCTCAAGGACAGCGCAGCACTGCGCTGCGAGCGACAGCTGCAACTATGAGTTGGGCGCCCTCTCTTTGCATTGTTGCATCTACGTGGAATTGTCGCTAACGTATTGATTCAGTGACCAACATGTTGAACAAGCTGCACGGCCAGCCCGACAGCTATGACCGCAAGTTCGTGCCCCGCTCGTATGTTTTCAGCCAGCCCGAATGCTAAACAATACCCGCCAGATCTCGCTATCGCTTCGGAAAGACGCTGGGTGCCGGTACCTATGGTATCGTCAGAGAGGCTGACTGCCCCGAGGGCAAGGTCGCTGTCAAGATCATCCTGAAGAAGAACGTGCGCGGAAACGAGCAGATGGTATACGACGAGCTAGAGATGCTTCAGCGCATGCACCACCCGCACATTGTCAAGTTCCACGATTGGTTCGAGTCGAGGGTGAGCATATTTGCGGTATAGATAAGAGGCAAGAGCTGACGCGGCCAGGACAAATACTACATTGTGACCCAATTGGCCACTGGTGGTGAATTATTCGACCGCATTTGCGAGAAGGGAAAGTTTACAGAGAAAGACGCCGCAGAGACAATCCGACAAGTGCTCGATGCTGTCAACTACCTGCACCACAACAATGTCGTCCACAGGGGTATGTATCTGCTCACGCATACGATATTCCTGCTAAAATGCTTCCAGATCTCAAGCCGGAGAACCTGCTCTACCTCTCACAAGAACCCAACTCCTCACTCGTGCTCGCGGACTTCGGTATCGCCAAAATGCTCGACTCCAAGAACGAGGTTCTTACCACCATGGCCGGCTCGTTCGGTTATGCAGCACCGGAGGTGATGCTGAAGAAGGGACATGGCAAGCCGGTAGACATGTGGTCTATGGGTGTCATCACATACACCTTGCTTTGCGGATACTCGCCGTTCCGGTCTGAGAACTTGGCCGACCTGATTGAAGAGTGCAAGAATGGACGCGTGGTGTTCCACGAGCGCTACTGGAAAGATGTCAGCAAGGATGCGAAGGAATTCATTTCTTACCTGCTGCAGCCCGACCCGGCTAAGCGACCTACGAGCGAGGTATGTGTATAACCGTGCGGCTTGAAATTGACCGCTAACATCCGCACAGGATGCTCTCAATCACATCTGGGTCAGTGGAAAGACTGCGTCCGACCACAACTTACTACCTGAGATCCGCGCCTACGTTGCCAAGGCACGACTCAGGCGCGGTATCGAGCTGGTGAAACTAGCCAACCGCATCGAAGCACTGAAGATGCAAGAAGACGAAGAGGAAGGTGTGCCCGGCGAAGCAGACGTACCTGCAAACGCGACCGAGGCGGCGGGTGAGGCGTTAGCGGCACACGAGGAAGGCAAAGGTCTGACGACAACAGAGGCTGCAGCGCCTGGATCAAGCACAGGCAAAGGCCCTGGACGCTTGAGCAGATTGGCCAAGGGTGCCATCTTCCGCGAAGTAGTGCTTGCCAAGGTCCGCGAGATGAAGGAGACAGAAAAGCAGAAGGAGTTCGAGAAGCAGGCGACCGAGGCCAAGGCCTCCAAGAAGGCCTGAGCTGCGTCCCAACCAACTTGCTCTTCGCGTGGTTATGGTAGTCGAGATATTCCAAGGTTTGCAGCTTCTTTGGTTGGCTTCTCATCGTAGGATACCCTGGTTTGCAGTTGCCAGGGTGGTACTTAGACATGATTTTTGTGAATGAAACAAACATTGAGAGACGCAATCCCACGGGTCTTCCGAGTGATATCGAGTGGTTTGTACTGGTTGAGTGAATCACCCACGGGTCAGGCTGGGTCACGTGCACTAAGGGCGGCAGGGGCCGCACGCGAGCCGGGGTCTGCTTCGCAGTCGCGTCTGCAGCGAGCTGCCCAGAGTCCAACTGCACACCGCGCTGCACCCGCCCCAAACCTGTTACTGCAGGTATTGTTTGCTAAAACTCACTCAGAGACCCTACGCGACGGCGAATTTGCGCCATGGAAAGCGCAGCGAAGCGGAAAGCGGGTGGTGCTGCGGCGCCCGAGAGTGAGGGCCGACCGTCGAAGCGCCAGAAAGTACCGGTACGTGCACGCTCTGGTGGTGATTGCAGCATTTTCTGGGGGCGCGAGGGCAAGAAGACGGGCTTGCGACAAGTTGCGATGCGCGCGATGCGGGAACGCTGTGAGGGGAGCGCGCGACGGCCTGGTTCGAACCGCGACCTACCCTACACCACCCCACGTTGCCCGCAACAACACGCGCCCCTCCGCAATGCGCGCAGACAATGCTGGGCCAGAGAGGGCCAGGAGAGATGCAATGGGCAATGCTAACGATGGCTGCGTGTATAGGCCACTCCCACGGCGAAGGCCGACACAGAGACACCAGAATCCACGACGACCATGGGCTTGAAGTTCCTTGAGAGCTTAAAGCAGGCAAAGGACAAGACGTGAGTGCCTGGTCTCAGCATGCGCTAGCCGCGCGCCCCGGCTGCCAGAGACCCAAAGATGCTGTTACTGACCAGCACCAGTGGCCGTCCCATCTCAGTGCACTTCCTCTCCCTCCCTGACAAGGTATGCTCCTAGACGCGCTCCCCGCGACAGCCCCGCTAACCAGCCGCGCCCAGAACGAGCTCCCCGAATACTACGACGTGATCAAGCTGCCCATTGCGATTGATACTATCGAGGTACGCACCTGCCATTGCATGTCCCACGTCACTGCGCTCCTACGCTCGCCTATGAGGTGCACTTTGGCCCTCGAGCACACCGAAACACAGGACGCAGGATGAAGCCTAACAGCCGCACAGGACAGACTCAACAGCGGTGGATACACCAGCCTTGCGCAGGTCGAGAGCGATTGCAAGCGCCTCGTGAACAACGCCAAATCATACAATGACAGGAAGTCTGCCATATACGAAGATGCCGAGCGTCTGCGCAAGACAGCCTCCAACTGGATGGTCAAGCACAACCCAGCATACCGAAAAGAAGGCTACCAAGCCGTAGCTACGCCCATCCCAGGCGAGGAGCCCATTCCATACGGCAAGCCGATCCCGCGCGTCCATAATGGGACTCCGAAGGCGACCCCTTCCACCCCAGATTCTTCTTCTACAGATAGACCGCGACGAGCAGCAGCAGTCGCGGCCACGCAAGCGGTTACCCCAGCGCCGTCTAAGCTGCGACAGTCGGCTTCCGCTGCACCTGAAGAGGGGGATAGCACAGACTTCAATGACAAGAGCTTCCAGCAAGCACAGGAGCAGATCGTCAATGGTCTGATTAATTACGTGGAACCAGTCAGCGGACTGCAGATCTTCCAACCTTTTGTTAACCTGCCCAGCCGGGCCTTGAAGGATTACTATCAGCTGATCAAGGACCCGGTCTCGTTATCGGGGGTGCAGAAGAAGGTCCGCGGTGTCATCGGCCGCAACGCGCCCACTGGGCACACTGAATTGAAGAGCTGGGATGCGTTCGAGCAGATGACGAGCTTGATCTGGAAGAATGCCCGTGACTACAACGAGGACGGCAGCGACCTGTACAATTTATCCCTCGAGCTAGAGGAGATGTTCAACCAGCGACTTGCAGCAGCCAAGTCAAAAGTGGAAGAGCCGCCACAGCCAAAACTCAAGCTCAACATGTCCACTGCAGCACCATCTCCGGCACCACAGCCAAAGCAAGCACTGAAGCTGAAGCTGCGGCAAAGCCCTGTATCAGATCCAAATACTCCAGCTGCACGAAGCTCGGCCACACCTGGCGTCATAGTGGACAACGATGCACTGCTCAGGCAGCAAAGGCACGTTCTAGACAGCATGAACACTAAAAAGTCGTCAAGACCTCCTTCTGCTGGCCGAACGGGAACACCGACGAACCTAAGCAATCCATTCAGTGGACCGCGAGGCGCATCGGCGACATTGGCATCAGTACCAGCGGCGCAGACTAGGACAGCCGGATCGCCAGGCGTGAATGGCATCAAGAACGACGTGCAATCCCCAGCTCTGAATGCGATAAGGCCAGCAAGCAATGCCTCTGATGGCCAAAGCCAACGGCTGAGCATACCAGCGCACACGCCACATCCAGTCATGCCTCCACCACACGCAATGTCCCGTCCCACCAGCGGCAGTCCTCTTCCAAACGGGCCCGTCGGTCAACAGGCCGCCGGTTTCGCCACCCCCTACGCGCCTCCCGCTCCCTCATACTACGTCCCGCCCGTAATCCCGCACTTTGAAAACTTTCGCAAAGTGCCACTGAAGAGTGAGTGCCCGCCTCCATTTCTCAGCCATGTGTAGTGCTAACACCCAGCAGGCGCCAACGAAGCCCTCATCCCCAAAATCACACTGAACACGCACCCCGCGCTCAACCTCCCCAAACCCTGGACCGTGCAGATCCCCGCGCACAAATCCAAGACACAGCACTCCGTCACCATCCCGATTCCTACTTCACACTCGTACCTCCAGATCACGCCGCATGTCCCCATCGCGCACACCGCACGGCTCTACCGCCTCTTCGTCATGGTAAACGGAAACAAGACGTTCGAGGTGAACCGCATCCCCGTCACGGCGGGCATCAACGGGTCGGCATCGTCGCCGCAGCCTGGCATCGAGGCGGGCAAGAAGAAAGGCGAGCCGGTGTACGAGGCGAAGCTTGTGGCGGGGGTGAATCGCGTGGAGGTGGAGATTGTGGCGGAGAAGGATAGATCAAAGGGTGAAAAAGAGAGTGGGGTGCCGAGGGAGATGGTGGAGAGTGAGAGGTGTACTATCTTCTTGCATCTTTCCCGGTCTTTGTAGTGTGGGGACGAAAACGGGGATGAGAGGGGTGGCGAGGGTTTTAGTGGGGATATGAGACCGAAGGAAAAGGTGCAGAGTGGGGGGTTGTCGGATGTGGACTGAGACTAGACCTGACTTTTCTTTTCTACAGGAAGGAGGAATGGGATGGATGGGTGGAACGGGCATACCAATGGTTTGGTTTTTCATGGCGTTCATCGAGAAGTGGAAGGTCAACATTGGCCTTTGGAAGGAGAGCATTGCTTTTTTTACTTTTGCTACTCATGGATAAGCATTTGATTCGATAGGATAGCAGCGAACTTGTTGCTAGGGGAGTACAGTAGGAAAGAAAGAATGAAGTAGCTTTTAAAGAATTCGATGATGGACAGTGTAATAATAGCATCTGCAAAGGAACATTTTCCAGGGAAATGAACAACTGTGAGAGATGTAAGCAGGATGGGACGCATGCTGGTGCTGAGGTGGCTGGGGAAAATTGCGGGGAGTGCAGCATAAGGGCAGGCATGGTGTAGGTGGGAGGATTTATGGATAGAGTACCTATGGTAGGAAGGGGGATGGGTGAGGAGCGGATGAGGAGACGAGACAAATTTAGAACGTGTTGGCGACCTGAGGTCTAGTTGCTGGTATAGCGTGCAATGATGTTATTCTGCTTTACTTGCTATTTTCTCTCCGAGGCTTGTGATGAGGTTAGCTACTTACTTTTTCTATCCTACTTCTCTCGCTAACATCTCAGGGAAGAGGCTAAACCTAAAGGGGAGTCCCCAGACAGATATTACCGTGTGCTCAGGTTGACCTAGTGGAGATAGTGACCGATCGCAGACATTAGGGTGTTACAAGACACGGAATTGATGAAGGGATTAGTGCATCTTCCTCAAGAATATTTAAACGTTGGATCCGAGTGGATCGGAAACACGTCCAGAGCACTCATGGCCGCTCTTACCTGATCAGGGAGATACACACCGAGCAGGAAGGTGGCATGCTGGCCCTGCACGCAAGTATGGAACTCTTTCCGCACATCCGAAGCGCTCTTTCCTCCACGAGCAACAAGCGATAGACTGACGTAGGGCCTCCAGCCGGACGGCTGCACTCTTCTTCCACTCATGTCTTACACATTCTTGGACACATTTCTACACTTTCGTGAGCTGTTGGCACGCGCAGACTACACTACACTTACGGGCTCCCGCTTGCGATAGCCGGTTCGAACTTCACTCGTGGACGTCATGGCGACCAATTCTGATACCCGTGTACCTTTGCAAGTTCCCTGGACATTGTTCGAAAAGAGTCTCAACCTGCCTCCATGCCTGGGCATCCTGTGCGAATGCGCAGACCTTCCCACCCATCAAGGTTATCCGACCATCCACTTCACCACACCGTTCCCGATGGAATGCAACGGCTGTTTCAGTCGCATACATGGATTCATCCTAATCCGGGCCCTAGCGCAACGTCCCGCTGGGACTCAAGGCGTCCTTGAGGAGAAGCTGCCCGCACTCGAAATTCTCCGGAGGACTCACATTTTACTACAGTGCGTCACATGTCACCAGTTCATCACCGTCCGCTTCGAACCAGCATACAAAGATTACCTCTTGGAGAGCGGCGCAACAAGATTGCCTGAGACCATGTGGCATGATATGGAGGCGGGAAATGGAGCTGGGCCGAATGACCAAAATCACGATCCAAGGAAAAGATTCAGTTCGGATGTTGTTGAGCGGCACAGCAGGCTCAATCGAAGATTGGATTGGCAGAGGCAGTTCAAACGTACGTTGAAATGGATATTGAAGGAAGAGCGAAAGAAGCAAGAAGATCAGCTGGGCGAGCTTGATCAATTGTTCCGGGATGCGCAACAGAGCCGCGGGGAGGAGGTGACTGGCTTGCCGCAGGTATCGGAGATGGCGGTATTTCTTGGAGCACCCCCTAACTGGCACGATGGACTCGTGAGGACTGAGGCGGACGATATCCTAGATGGTCTGGAGCGAGAGGATCTGGAGCGAGAGAGCCTGACGCGAGAGGATCTGAATCCTATGGTAGTGGGGACAGGTCAGCAAACGGAATCTGGAACAGGATCGAAGAGGGAGAGAGAAGATGAGTCGCCGGATTCTTCCCGCAAGATGCGGAGGAGCGATTCTGTCTAGTATTATCCTGAGACTATGGCTTTCTTATTCTGGAGTTCGTATGACAGGGTAGTGGTCTCTGGTTAGCTTCAGGGGCGTTGGAGTATTTTTCACCAAGCTGCATCCTTGACTGGTTGATGCAACAGAATTGCATATTATGCTAACCTTCTTCGTCACTTTTCCAACCCATCTGCATACCTTGATTACGTGCATCGAATTTTCGTAGTGTTCTGGATAGTGCACCGTACGCTCTAAACCCGGGCCACGATACCCTCAGTCAACATACCCTCAGTCAACATACCCCTCAGCCAACATACCCTCAGCCAACATACCCTCAGCCAACATCTCCGCTACCTCCCAATTTCCCATGACCCAATCTCATCCCAATGTTCCACATAATCTCTCTCGGAAAGACACACACTCTCCACATAAGACTCACCCACTCCTCACAGTCCTCAACTTGTCATCGTACCCACCATCTAACCTATCCCTCTTCTCTCGCTGCTCCTGCATTGCGTCCTAGCAACGCGAGTAAAAATGACACGAAGATGATAATCCACCATGTTTTCTTGCCAGCTGGCGATTGCTCATCCATCGAGCTATCCGTTGCTAAGCTATACACTTCCTCATCTAAATTAACTGTCAAGCGCCTCGCTTGCGGCCACGCTTCGGTGTCCCGGTGTATGAATAAGGAAACGCGGCGGTATTCGGTCTAGCTTAAGGGACGCAGACATGCGCAGAGTCGCTTGAGGCGTGTGTACTAGGGGTGCTTAGTCTGAACCCTTTAGGACCAGGAGAGTCGTGAGGCACGTTTCTATATTTCCCCAACGGGTGTGCTTCTTGCGAAGTGATGGCGTAGATCGTGCGTATACCCTCGCTGTCGTCTCGTACCTTTCGATGATCATGCAAATATCTACTGTCTTGTAGTGGAGTTAGGCATTGCTAGGATGGGCCCACTACCAGACTGGACGCGGTAAGACAGCGACAGTATCGGTCCACGTTGCAAGGTCGAATTCGGTCCTTGCCATTGCTACATACACACAGACACTATGTACGATACAGAGTGACCATAGGCACAAGAACACTTGCTAGGGAAATTAAACACTAAATAGATACAGATACAGCGTAACGTCACCATACGCAAAAACGAACAATGCAAAGCGTAGACACGTAACACAATTGAATTCCATCGGTCGACAGGCACCGCCGACAAAGGCTATGCTCGTTGGCAACGAGGCGCTTACAAGTTATCCGCGCAGCCAAAGTACTGCTCGACGTTGTACGCGCCAGGCGCCTTCCAGCTATCATCCTGATAGCTGAAGATGCACGCATGGTCGCCCACCTTCTCAATGATGCTCTGCATAGCCTTCTTCTGCTCGGCCTTACCGGGGATAGCAGCGTTGTTGGCGTCGCCGCCAGCAGGCCAGCCGATCTCAGAGATGAACTTGCCCTTTGCAGCGGCCTCGGGGCACACCTTTGCGGCCTGCTCGAGCTGCTCGTAGGCGAAGTCGCCGGCCTGGGAGGCAGATTTGCCGCCGTCGAAGAAGGGCTGGACCTGTGCGGCGAAGATGTCGATGACGTCGCAGAGGGCGCTGCCGTACTGCTCCCATGCGGCCACGGTCTCGGTCGTGGTGATGGGGGCGGTGAAGCCAGCGGCGAGCCACTTGGTCTTGACGGCGGAGACGTACGAGGCGAGGGAGGCAGCGTCTCCACCGTGGCCGGAGATGTACTCGTTTCCGACAATCAGCATGGAGACAGTGTCCTTGGGAGCGTTGTCAATGATGTCCTGGAGCTGCTCGTTGGCGCCCTGGGAGTTGGGGGCGGTAGCAGCGTCGAGGAAGATGCCGTAGATGACCTGCATGCCGTGCTCCTGGGTAGCGGGCACGACGTTCTCGAAGACACCGCAGTCGGTGCTGTAGACGCGGATGGCAACGTAGCCGAGATCAGCGATCTTGCCAACGTCGGTCTTGACTTCCATCTCGGACTTGCAGTCACCGCCCTTGGTGTAGGGGGTGTAGGTAATGGCCCACTTCTTGCCATTGGGCTTGTTCCAGGTACCAGAACCACCATACGAGGGAGTGCTGGGCTTGCTAGGCTTGGGCTTGGGAGCAGCCTTGGAAGAGGATGCTGGAGGAGCAGCGTAGTAGCTGGAAACGGCCTCCTTTGAGGAGGAAGGCTTAGCCGGAACGTAGGCGGCAGGAGAGGATGATGGTGCCACCGGGACGTAGGCGGAAGATGGCACTACTGGCTTCTCGGAGGACGAGGGCGAGGGCATTGGCACCGCAGGGACGTAGGCAGAGGACGGCACTACTGGCATCTCCGAGGTCGAGGGCACAGGAGCCGGAGTGTACGCAGCAGACGTAGAGTGCTCTTCCTCAGTGCAGGAAGTAGAGGTCTCCGGGACGGGAGAAGGAACAACGACAACGGAGGTCATGTTCGCGGGGCCGGACGGGGCTAACACAGGTTAGAATGACGCTGCTTCCTGAAACCTAATCCACATACCCGGGCTGGCGGTCACGTAAACGGTGGTGGTCACCGTCTGGCAAAGGCCTTCCTCAACTGCGTAGCCACCATCGCGACGGAGGTGGAAACCAGCATGAGCCTTGTGGGATGCTGCGACCGCAGATCCAACGAGTGCTGCAACAATTGCGCCTTTCATCTTGTCTTTGTTTACTTGAGATTTAGATTGCCGAGGCAGTGATTATTCGTAATAGGTGTTGAGTGAGTGACGATTATTAGTATATGAGAACGTAACGCAAAACGAGTGACTGTGGCACAAAGGCCGGGTGAGTGAGGGCGTGCGAGGCTGTCGACGTACAGAAACCTTGTGCGAAGGAGCGCAGAGAGGGCAGATGGGTTGCTTTTGAGAGCGCACGGCTACAGTAGCGCATGGCAGCGATTAGGGGTCCGTCGAGTCGTAAATTAGGCACATTACACGCATTGCCGCAAGTGGTCTAAGCTGTGCCTGCAGGGCGCCAAACTACTGCTCGAACGAGGTCAGGATGAGCATGTCGGGTGCATCGTGAAATGAGCAGTCCGGGGCAAGAAGACGAGGGTGCTCAATCCGGCCTAGGGGGCTCGTGAATGCGGTTAGGCGGAGCCATTGTCGTTAGCTCAGCTCCCCTGACAGGCCGGGCAGGGTGCACAACACCGCACAACAGCATCACAATTCGCAGAGCAAGCACTCGCCTGCAATCGGTAGGATTGGCCTGGTGATGGGGGCCTCATGGCGGGGCGAATTGGGAGCTTGGGGTCCTCGGCACTCAATCTCCCAGCCGAGATGCTCTGCTCATCTCGGCGCAATCATATTTCCAGGCCTCTAGTCAGGAAGGTCTTGAACGGGTCCTCGTGATGCTTGCTACGCGCCAGTAATGCGAGTGATTCGCAGGCTAATGAATGCAGGTACCGAGTCGTTGCGCTGCAGGTCGGGGACTTGATTGAGCTGCTGCAGGAACAGAACACAAGAACCGCGTCTGTGCTCAGGGGCATCCCGGTCAAGTGTTAGCGGTAGTGGGGATAATTGTTTATTGGCGGTGAGGTTCGCACGCCGGATCGTGCACCATATCGACAAGCCGTGACTCGTGAGCGACCTTCCCCAACGGCTCTATCGTTTCATCGCAAGGCGGGACAGAGTTACTGCTGCGCCACTCCTTTCCATCGTCGCCATGCTTCTGTGGCTTGGGTCCTTGTCTTGCCTGTCGCTCTCTGTTGGCACGTTGACACGCCGAGAGAAGTTGTGCTCCCGTCGTGAAGTCTAGCTGCCGATGCGGGTGCAACGGCAAAAGCGGAACTGTGCCGTGTTGGCGTGTTGAACTTTGAAATCCGCAGGGTGCGAGGATGGTGCAGGGTGAATGTCGTGATATTGCGAGAGAGGAAGGAGTCGTGCGAGTGTGAAGAAGGGAAGCTGGTTGCGAGAGCATCCGCGCACCGTTACGTCATCCGTACTGCAAGGGAAGTCGCGACGCAGTACGCACATCTCAGTACGACTAAGCAACTTCAATCGTCTTACAAAGACGACTCTCGTACTCCAGCTCTGCAGACCACGAAGTGTACACGACAAGTTCTGTGTATGAAACTCTATCATTGTAATGGTTGGAGATGCAAGTTGCTGGAGATACAAGTGAGTTCTATTTGACTTTCTAAATCATATCACCTCTCTATCTTTGCGAGCATCAAAGAGTGACTCCATTCAATCCACAATCCTCCAATCCCAAGCTTCAACCACGCTTGCCATCTAGAAAAAGCTGAACTGCTGGTCAACATGATACCTCCCCTGGCTGTTCGAGCATCCACTCCCAGCGTTGTTGAACGGGTTGGAGTGCGCGAAGGAGTTGAAGCTGCCATCTAGGTTCTCGAGGTGGAACGCGTTGTTGCCGCAGTCCCTCATGAAGTCTATCCTTTTCGTCAGCATGCCGCAAATATACTTCAAAATCGCCTTGTTCCTTCCCCTGCTGCGGCAGTCATCGTGGCGAGTCATGACGTCTCAAACTCAGGCCTTTTGCACCGGTTTGATCAAAAGCAAAAAGAGAAGAGGAATACAACGCACACTGGACACCATTCTGCGCCTGGAATTTTCCACCATTGAAATCGCACGGGTTGTCGCTGTCGTGACCTTGGAAGACGTAGGTACACGCGTTCTCGCCGTCGATCCAAATGGCGTTGTCTACATTTCCACTGTCGTAGCGAGCTTTGCCGTAGTTGATGGTGGCGAAGGAGGTGCCGGCCATGAGGGCTGCTAGAAGAGCGGAGGTAAAGTGCATGGTTGCTGTAGCAGAGTCAATGTTTGATTCCACAGACGGAAAGCCCCGGAGATGTACTTGAAGGTGATCTGGGCTGGATCGAAGCTGAAAGTGGAGGATGCGATTGAGTTGCTTGGTGTTGTTGTTTCGGTGGACTTGAGATGGGTTTATATACATCTCTTGGGGAGGATGCTAGGCGACATGAATGCTTGAAAGGGCGTGAAGCGTCAGCGTGTGCAATTTTGGGTTCTTTCGCGAGGTCACGACACTGTTGTCGTTGGATCACTTCGGCCTCGAGACCATGGTCTGTGGTGGTTACCGCCTTTCCAGTGTAGCATCATCAGCATCAGCATCTCCACGCCTACAATCAGCACGACGTCCACCTCCTAAAAAAAACCGGAAGAAAGACTCAAGACGAGTCCAATCAGGAAGGCACATCGTGGGAGCAGAGTCACCATGGAGCAGAAACGGAAGAGAAGTATGTCCCGTCGGATTCACTCAAGGTGAGCTTTGCATCACGTTGATCGCATTCGGAAACCACTCATTACTGAAATGGTATTAGTATGATCGTTCTTGCCTATGCAGCCTTGCGTGACATCTCTATGAATTGCCCGATGCGGTTCGCAGTCGATGCCCGATGTAGTTAGTGGTTTTGCAAGACCATCTCAGAACATCAAGTACCATCAGCCTCGCCAGTGCTGACGGCCACTCGTATGGGCATGATTTCCACGCTTACCGAGGAACGATGCTGCGTAAGCGCCAGGAAGCTTTTAATTCGCGAGTGTTGTGATATAATCACTAAACAGTCCAACATCGAAAAGTTTGCGTCGATAGTTCGGCCTTTCAAGTCTACTTACTGAGACTAGGCGTTTGTAGGATCTACCCACCGTGCAACTTTGTAAAGTTGAAGGTGACTATAGAAATTTGAAGGGATACTGAAGAAGGCGTTGTCTACTTTGAAGCCTTGCAAGATAAAAATTGCTACTATCGCAGACTTCGACTGTATAGTGCGTCGAGTTACTTCAGGCTGAATGAACGTTCACCTAACAGAGGTCTCGCAATTGTACCACCAGTAAGGCAAACAGCAGAAAAAATTCCATTCGCAACTATTGTGATGCACTAAACATAAGCTCGATTGTCACGGAAATACCTCGTGCATTGCTCTCCGCTTCCATAGCTTGACGTTCTATGTTCACTGAAGTTGTGCATTCAGAGACTTGACCCATCGCGTACTTCGTGCGGAGATGATCCCTCGAGCTTTTATTCTCATCGCGTTGTATAGACTTTTAAGTGCACCCAGGCTAGGCATTTACAAAACCAATTCATGATGTATATTCAGTGTCTCATAGGCATCAAGGGGTCAGCATCACTAAGCCAGAGCAGCATCTCCAGAACAGCGAACATCACCAAGGTAGAGCAAATTCAAGCCAGAGAAGATTCGCGACGGCCAATTTGTGTAGAAGAGATCAGAGAAGCATATCTAAGGCCGATCAGGTACCTCAACGAGGACAGAGTAGTGCTCCCCAATCGCAGTATCTCTGCAATGATTAGTCAAGTCATCAGCATGCCAATTCCATTACTCAAGAGCAGAGTAGGGGCATCATCATCGACGGCATACCGAGCAGCATGGTAATCAGCATAGTAATCAAGTCAGATGATAGCAGCGGCCATGTAGCCTCACGTTAACTCAAGCTAGGCTGGAGCAAAAGTATCGTCATTGCACTACATAAGAGTATCGAATCGTTAAGCTAGACTGGAGTAGTACCACCAACCCAGAGCAGGTCACTACCTCATAAAGATTAGAGCAGCACCGCCAAATCAGCTTACTTAACTTGAATGAGATCAGAGTTCAAAAGAGCTCATCCCTCAGCCCATACGGTTCCTTTATCTAAGCTGTTGACAATACAAGCTACATGTACAAGTAAACTATCTTACAAGAGGGCCATTCTTGTAAAGGAAACCAGGCCATCCATACAAGCATGTCATCCCAGCATCTGCTCTCAGAATGCACTGCATCACAAACGGCCGCTCAAGGAGAGGTTCGCATCTGTCTGCTATAGCTGGGTCGGACCCACTTCACTACCCAACAAACCCATAAACCAAAGGCAGAGCAAACGGATCCCGTGAAGAAAATCGAATTCTGGGCCGGGATACCGGTATTCTGCAAAAGTCAAATTTCCTGGAATATCTAAACCCTCACGCAACCCGATCAAGCATCCAGTCATAAAGCAGTACTACTATACTGCTCTACCGTGTCTGTTCTTCGCCAGCCAGCCCTCAGTCACCGCAACATACACCGAGTCAACCCAGCCACTACTATCATCAAACCCCAGCGACAAGCACGCAAAAAACGATGAGGCTCTCTATCGCCCTGACTGCTGCGTTCTCCGCAATTGCCGTTGTCGCATCGCCCACGAAGCGCGACAGATACGTCAGCCTCGACGAGATGTCTCAGTACGACTGCGTTATAAGTCCTCCACATACCTTACCCGTCTTCACACTAACGCCATTCATAGAAATCCTGCGTAACTGCATACATGGACATCGAGTCCTACACGCAGCACGAATACTGCGAAAGCAAAGCTCCTGGTATTCGGCACACAAATAAGAAGAAGGTCATACCGTGTATGGCAGAGACGTGTTCACCTGGTGATCGAGAGGCTATTAAGTACGAGAGTCGCGTGTGGTTTTGTGGCTTTTGTGGGTGGTTGCCTAGTGATGCGGGGGTTGAGTGCTAGGTGGGAAGGGGAAGGGGAGGAGATTGAGGTGGGAAGGGTGCTAAGTTGTGAGGGAGGGTTTGGTAGATTGTGTTGGCCTAGGCTTAGATTCGCAGAATCGAATGGGGGAAATCGAGGTAGATGGGTGGACCAGAACGAGATGAGTGTCACTTTGGCATTCTCGTGTCCATACACACGCTTTACTCTAGCTATCATAGGTGTCCACGTATTCCTCCACTGGGGGTGGCGGTGGTTTGATAGGCTTCTTTTTTCCCATTTTCTTCTTTTTATACGCGGGAGTCCCAAAAAATGGGCCCCAGCCATCGTGGTCTCGTGGCTGTTCCGGAACTAGAGGTTCTTCCGGCTCCGAGACCGGCTTTACTTCAACAGGGCCAGGATATTGGACAGACCTGACACCGTTGACCAAAGACAGACTCTTGGTCGATTCTTCCAAATTTGCAGTTGTGAGCTTGTGAGGGACAGAGCTTGCTTCGAGGGAGGTCTCCTCACCCTGATTGTCTATAATTGTTCCAGTCTGATCTGTCTCGACCATCAGCGAAGGATTAGGGTACCTGGGCTGGTGACGACTCACCCTGGAACGTAGCTGGTGAAATCCCTTGGACACTCTTGAGTTCCCTCAGACCATTTTCCAGCACTTGGAGCTTCTCGCTGCATCGGGCTCGTTCCGCCGCGGACTCTTCATCTTCGGCGGCTAGGGTCGAGATCGTCTCCTCAGTAAGGTTGAACACATCTTCTGGGCAGAACAAGTTCGGGAGTTTCTCTATGAAACAAACCTCAACGGCCAGCACACTGAAGTCATCGATGACTTTCTTCAAGGCGACCTATTCTATGTAAGGTAATGTTTCAAGTGGGATGCAAGGGGTGAGGGATTACCTTGTAATATGCTTCCATGAAGTCTGTGGCCGTGGAGCTTGCATAGTTGTTCATGTCTGCTTCAGTCTTTGTAACAAGAAACTGGATCAAGTTGTTGACGTCGATGTTCATGAGCTGGGTTCCTTGAGATGTATAGTCATTGCCAAAGAATTTCTCAAGTGACTTCTTGATTTCGCGAGCGCGACGTTTATCTTGTGCTTTCTGAACGTTCTCGGTCAAGTAGTGATTGTACGTGATAGGATGACCTGTATCGTGGGGCTTGAGGAGCTCGTTGACTTTTCCACGTAGCTCTTTGGTCATTACTTCCAGCCGGGGATAGATGAAGTGTTTGAGAAGTGCATCAAGCGTGGAGAGATTGGAGAAGTGCGATAGGACCGAGCGTACAACGAAGTGGACCGCCTGCACAACCTTGTCCACAGTGTCATTAACCAGCTTGCTCCAAGGTTCACGCTGTTCATGAAAGAGCTGTCCAATGATAAGTGGGTCAAATGTTCCAGGTAGCTCGCGTCCCCTGCTTCGCTTCAAAAGGTTCTTGACCTTCGCTACGTAGGCTTGGCGGGTGATCTGACGAGGATGATTCGCTAGGTCCTCATCCACGATAGCGTATGCGTGCCCTTCCTTGCGCATCGCCTCCGCGAAGTCCGTCAATGTGTTCTGGAGAATCGCCCTCAGACGCCTTCGGTAACCGACCTCATTGGAGGCGTCTCCAAAGAAAGGATCGGAGTAGAGACCATCGGCAGCAGCTTTGACGAGTTTGCTGAAGGATTGACTCACATGGAGGAGATATCGCTGTTGCTCTTGCCGAGTAGTGCGGGACGCACCGAGTATCTCCAGCCTATGATTGCAGTCTTGTATGCCATCTTGTATCTGAGCCAGAACATCTGGAAGTTGAACAAGGATCTGGTCCTTGAGGATCTTGCTGAGTCTGGGCTTCAGACAGTGCACACCTACTTGTGTTGGATGAAGGGACGTCCATATACCAGAAGCGAAGAATTGTTCCTCTGCGAGGTTGCGTTCGTGTAGCGTGAAATGACTTGTGGCATATTCCCTATTGCGCAAGACATGCCATCCCAGTCGGAACTTGACATCCTTGTTCTGCGCGAGTTCGACGAAGAAGCGTTCGCTGTCGGAGCCCTTGTCTAAAGTGTCAGGCTTAGTGATCAACCCCAGGGTTCGAAGACCGTTCGGATCGATCTCACGCGAGTATTTGGTGATGGCTTGGTTGTTGAAATCATTTTTTGCGGATACAACGGCAATGATGATGCTTCGTGGACTTCTCATGTACTTGAGGACGAGAGACTTCACCGTGTCACTGTCCGCATCAGACTGTGCACGACTACCAGCTTGGAATAAACCCGGCAGATCAACAAGGGTTAGATGCGGTAGTTCCGGACTAGAAAGCTCCAGGCGAAGGATGTCTGAGCTGAAGACTTTGGTGCTGTCATCAATACCCATCGCCACTTTTGCAGACTCGATGATTTTGTCGAGCTGCAGAGCTTCTGCTGAGACCGCTATCTCATGCTTGAACTCTAACAGCTTGGTTTTCTCATCTTGTGAACGCTCCTCATTGGTTCCTGGGACGATGCGTATCTTGATGGGCGATTTTGGGCCGCGTCGGAGTATCAACTCAGTTGCAAACCTGGTACAAAGATTGTCCTTGCTGGGAAACGTCACTCCCGAGATCGCCTCGAGGACGGAGCTCTTTCCGGATGACTGTTCGCCGCATACGATGATCTCGGGAAGATCGATGTACCTGCTAATACCTTGGGAGCGAAGGTTGTCGACGATATCAAGAATGTTCCGCGTGTCGTTAGACTGGAGGATGGTACTAGCACCATTCGTACCGTTGACGAGAGTCGTATTGCTGTCACCTTCACCGTTGACGAGGTCGTCTTTAACCATGTCTACCAATCGAAACCGATCTCTTATATTGCTTCTGTCGAATGGTGAACTGTTAGCTCATCGGCCCAAAATTCAAGGGCGGACTTCACATACAAAGGTTCTTAAGGGCACAATCAGCCGGTAGGCGATGAGAAGATAAAGGGAAGAAGGTGCGAGGCTGAATATCTGCGCGCTGGATTGTTTGTGTTGTTACACAGGCCCACTTTGCCCGGACTCAACCCCGCGGTGACGAATGGCAAGCTGTTCCATTGCGCAGGGTGCTCCTTATCAGCAGCAGTGAGAAGTTACTGTAGCTGCAGAACAATTTCAAAACAAGCAGAATAACATTGGGTACGTCTCTGAGTCGTGAGTGCTGCATCGCTAGAGCTTTTCCATGTCTTGGGGCGTTCACTCACAGTCTCACGCAGAGTACCAGATCCAAAGTTTGGGCTCAAACCAGCGAGGTTGAATACCCTGTAGCTGCATGTAACCCCTCATTTGCAAGGCCAATAGCCAACAACGTGGTGAAGCCGCGGCGACGTGTCAAAAGAGTTGTGGTGAAAAAAAGATGAGCGCTGTTAAGAGTCGCAACTTGAACGGGTGTAAGAGAAGGAGGATAGTCTGGGAGCTAAGGCCCGGCTGTACTTGCGTTTACCTACAAGAGCTGTATGAGCTCATCGGTCAGACGTTAACTGCTTGATGCGACACTGAACCAGAAACGAATTAAGATTGCGCAAGATTAGAACCTGCCTCATGTTATACAGAAAGATCCGCTACCTTCTAATATTCAAGATACCTCCGGAAATGACGATGTGTGATCACGTGTTGTCGGCGAAACATAACCCTTCTCTTAACGCCGTTCCATGCAACCAACTTCGCAATATGCGTACAAATGCGTGACTCTTGCGACCCAAAGCCTGAAATCCACACTCTTACTGTTTCGGCTCTTCCACGACTAATGCAATCAAAGCGGCTATATCATCTGGCTTTCCACCGTGCCACGCCTCGCCTGGGAAATGTTTCTGCACCTCCTTCGCGAAGGGTCCATCTCGTCGCTGATTCAAGCCCGTCTCTTTTGCTTCTTTCGCAATGGCGGTGGCTAACCTCGCTTGCAATGAAGTGGGTCCTGCTTTTCCATCTTTACCAGCCTGCACCAAGCTGCGCAGCTCGCTTCCAACTTCCATGACACCGTCATTCTCCACCCACGCCCCAATATCCACCATGTTGCGGCTCACTATGCCAAGGACATCCTGGGGGCTAAGATTATCCCAGACCCCATCCGTGGCGAACACCAGCACGTCTCCGTGGCGCACACGGTGGTTCGTTACACTCGCCACCTTCGGAAGGTCTGACAACGTGCTAGGCCCGCCAAACACAGCCATCTGTACGAGCATGCGCTGTGGAGTCTTGGAAAGCTGATACGGCGTGTTGAAGCCGTGCGTCTGAGGTTCCGTAAAATGTCGTACGGCATTCAAGCCTAAGTGCATGAAGCCAGAATCTCCAAGATTGGCCACTTCCACATGGCCGTCCGGCTCTGCGACAGCCAGACATGCGGTGCTCCCACCACCGACAATGCTTTCGTCGTCTATGACGTGCTCGTAGCCAACCTGGAGCAGACTCTGCGGGTGCAGGGTGGAAGAGGTATTGGACTTGGGTGCCCACATGCGCGCTGCGCACGCCATGTACTCGCACAGGCCGTGGGAGAAATCGGCGGGGTCGATGCCGGACTCGACCCAGCCGCCCACCCCGTCTGCTACACCAAATGTAGTGCTCTTTGTGGTTCCGACTTGGCTGAAGAAGAAGGCATCCTGGCCACTCTTTGCGCGCGTGCGCTTTGCTTTTGCGCTCTTGCACTTCCTGAGGTCTGTCACCTCGCTCTTGCTGGGGTCATAGATCTCGTTCGTGTATATATTCCTGGCGGCGTTGAATTTGTCTTGTTTGGCGGAGTACGATGAGGCAACGTGGTATGTGAATTGCGGCGTGCTCTGCCAGTTATGCGACGAGGAGTGAAACGACCGCAAGCCAATCTCGGCAGGCGAGGAGTCGCGGTTCAATGGACATGTTTGCGGTGCATAGAGCGAGGATGCGCGAGACGTATGCGATGAATAGTTTCGTTGGGCGTGGACCGATGCTAGTAGTGACGAAGTCGAGATGCAAAAGATAACGAAACGCGCTGAGGCGGCTTGACGCGAGGCGCGCAATGAAAGGCCCGCAGCGCCAGTTATGGCAGATGACATGGCCGCAGCCCAGGCCTAGAAATGGGCTGTCAGTATGCGATTGCAGTGCAAGTAGGATGGGCCGGTAGGGGCGGGCATCGTAATGTACCTTTGCGGAGAGTGAAAGGGACTACTTTTTCGCAGGGGGGTGAGCATTGGCGTCATGCGGCTAGCTACGGTACCGTAACCGTTGCGTGGGTAGACTTACAATTGCAATGAAGATGTCCAGCATTGTTTGCGCAACTGCTGACCGCACACGATGAGATTGCTGGACGGGGCAGCGTGGCCTTACAACTCACGTCAGATTAGCTATCTGGCCCTTCTCGCTTTCTGAACCTTGCAGGTACATATCGCACATCGCATGTTTCACGCAGCCCTATCGGGAAAACACCGGCCCGCTAGGAACTTTTGGCAAGTGCATTGCAGCTCTAACCCCACGACGTGACATCCACACTCAACTCTCCACTCGCCGGAGAGCTCAGTCAAGATGAACGTGCACCCGTCGCGGCAGGCTTATGTGGAGGAGGACGCGGAGGTAAGCAGTACATCCTTTCATACAAATACATCGCATGCGCCAGGCGGCAGGCGGCAGTCGCAGTCGCGAGAGCTTCCCCTTCATATCAAATGCGAATGGCAAGGCTAAAGCTGACAGATGGCGGATGATACAGCATGTACCCATGGAGGGTATTGATCTGGCCAATGTGCCTCTCGATCGCAACTATTTCATGCCATCGGACACACCTGGAGGCGGGAACGAGCGAGCATCCGACATACTGGGCCAATTTGAGCGCAAGAAGCGAGCGCAGCAGATTCTAGTTCCTACGGCCGATCGCGACATTAAGTTGAAACTCCGCTCACTGGGTGAGCCCATCACTCTTTTCGGTGAAGGGTCTTCAGAGCGACGCGACCGATTACGAGCCATCTTGTTCGAGCAACAAGAAGCTGGAGGTGAAGATGCGGATATTCAAATGCAGGAGGCGGATGAAGCGCCGGGCGAAGGCGACGAGGAATTCTACACACAAGGCACTGCGCTGCTTCTAGATGTACGGAGAGACATGGCCAAGTACTCTCTGCCGCGGGCAAAGGAACGAGTTGCTTTCCAGCGACGCGAGTCAACTATACCGCTCAAAACCCATATCGATTTCCGCAACAAGATCAAGGATCGACTGAAGGGCTTCGAGCTGTATGGGTCGCAGACGTCGGACCGACCTGTCAGTATTGTGCGCTTCTCGCCCAATGGTCAGTACGTCGCGTATGGAAACTGGGGAGGGCAGGTTCGGCTGCTCGAGGTTCCTAGTCTGGAGCAGAAGAAGGCGTACCGAGGTGGTCATACCGAGCGAGCTACAGGAATCGACTGGGTTCCAGGTGCCACCTTGCCCGGCTCGACCGTTTCCTCGTCAAGCGCCAACTTCGCGTCAGGTGGAGCAGGCGGCAAGGTGCAACTCTGGTCACTAGATGACGACAAGCCACTACGATCTCTGGAAGGCCACGCGGACCGGGTGTGTCGGGTGGCATTTCACCCATCGGGACGCTATCTTGCATCGGCCTCCGACGACACGACATGGCGTCTCTGGGACGTGAACACCGGCCAGGAAGTAATTATCCAGGAGGGTCACTCCAAGGAAGTCTACACCGTCAGCTTCAACCAAGACGGGTCACTGGTGGCCAGCGGTGGTTTGGACAGTATCGGTCGAGTGTGGGATGTGCGAAGTGGGCGCGTTATCTTCTTGATGGAAAGTCATATCAAGCCCATCTACGGTCTCGACTGGAGCACGGACGGTCATCGACTCCTATCTGGTTCTGGAGACGGATTTATGAGATGTTGGGATGTGCGAGCTATGCGAGAGACGAATGCTATCGCCGCGAACACCGGCGGCGTTACCGATTTGAGATGGTATAAAGGTACTGACGGTCCTTTAGACGGTGTGCCGCTGCAAGGAAATGGCGACGGAGAGTTGGTCCCGAAGAAGGCTTCAACTTTTGTCATTTCCTCTGGATTTGATAAGAACATTCAAGTCTTCTCTGCGGACGACTGGGCGCATTGTAAGACACTGCAAGGTCATTCGCAGGCAGTGTTCAGCACCGACGTTACCAGCAATGCCGACTGGATCGTCAGTGGAGGCAAGGACCGCACAGTGAAATTATGGGCGAGGGACGACAACGAAGGAATATGAGTATATACCCCAAAAAGTTCTTCAACACACTACAGAAGCTGAGAGACAAATGACACGTCGACTGTCTCCATGCAGACATTGAGGGAGGAAAGGAAGTCGTTTCACGGCCTCTATGAGGGCACAAGAGCTAGTCCTGTCTGCGATCTCGTCACAGGAAAGTCCACACCAGCAAAGGGCACAACTTGCGGAGCTTCGCCTCATGGAAAATAGGCGCCCGCTTCTTTCTGCATCGATACTATACCCGTATCTGGATCTTCACACTACAATCTTACAATTGTCTTCGCAGCACATCCCTCACGTCCCTCTTTCATGTCTCTTTCCTATTCATCACTAACCACCATGCAACTGCCGGACATGTGCCAGAGCATACCGCCTCGGTACTGGGAGGATCGCAGAGGTCCGTCAGTTGCTAGTCGCCGGCATTGTCTTCCATGGTTATCAATGTCTAGATTTCAACCGGAAGATCTTATTACAAACGTCTTCGCAGGTCATCCTTTACGTCTCGTCGATCCGCTTCTAGCGCCCCTGATATCGGAGATAGGCAGCCGGCATGAGACAACGTGCCAGAGCATACCGCCTCGAGAGCTGTAGGATCACAATCGTCCGTCCACTGCCATGCGGCTACGTGCGCGCGGGCAGGTAACGGCTTCCAAAAGGGGGCCGGCATGCCATGAGGTTACCCCACCACCTGGTCGCACGAGACCATGTACGCTGCTACCCTTCCGTCGGCCCCGTAGTAGACGCAAGTCGTCTAATGCATACAGTTGTTTCAAACACACCGCAAGGGACATGGTGTCTAACAGACCATTCTCTATTACAATTCTTCACATGCTAGAACAATTGACCTTACCTGAACATACCATAGACAGTTGACGATCGCTCACCGCACAATGGATCAGGCGAAGCTCTGTCGGATGTTGACTCGTTGCTTGGACCATCAACAACAGTCCAAGCTCTAGCGTCCGGTGGAAGAATCAATTGGATCGCTCACCGCATATCCGTTCTGAAACCTGGGATCCACCAGCTTGTGAAAATAGAAAGCAGGAGCCGGCAAGCTACGGACGGGCGCTTACCGTCATTGCTCCAAGGTTAGGCCGGGGACAAATTCCTGAGCAGTGTTGAGAGTGTGGAGGTGACTCACATCTTGAAGAAAAACTACGTGTACAGGTCTGCCAAGCCAAGAAATCTTCCCTACAATTCCATCCAACAGCATGACAGCTCGTTCAAGCAGCATTAGTGGCCGAGTCCGTATGCAACCACGCGAGCTTGCAGCAAGTGGAAGCGCGGTGCAGAAGTGCGCTGCGAAAGGGTAGGGCCACTAAGCGGTCCATTCACACTACAGCCTCACATTTGTGGCAGCCACACTTGTAGCGCTGAAAATGGAAACTTTGTAACTTCTCGCCTCGCACGTTGGGCCTCAATGCTCTCCGGCGCATGAAGACTGGATTATTGCTTTCGGGTCGGTGAGGCGCTCGGTCAATGTCGCAATTGTCTCGGTTCTGTTTACCAAGAAGCCATTGAACGGATTGTGTGGACTGAGGCATCCTCAGCTTTAGCCTCCGACGATGATCCTGGCATAACATCGTCCGTACGCGTACGCGCGCAGAGAGGATCAACAAGCAACGGGCGATCTGATCCAGAGCAAGCAGCCCTTCGCACGCGGGCTCTAACAGCGGCTGTGCATTTCCACCGTCCTGGCACCGCCTCTTGATCTCCAAGAGCAACACTGGCGTCGTAGCCGAAGCTCGAGTGACCGCATCTCTGGCGTAACGCGTTGGTAGGGATGGATTGTCTTAGTCGCCCTACTATCCGTTACACCATTGCGGATAGCGGCTACAAACAGGAAAAGCAGAATCAATAGGCGGGGAGAAAGATCATTGGCGAGCGAAACGCGGCCCTCTGCTTGTCAGTTTTCTGACTACAATTTGACGGCTGTCAGGCGGAGCCTGGGGCAAACCCGTCGCATTTGCGTAGTTCCGGAAATACATCGAAGGGAATTAGGGGACCAGGTAGCGATGTGAGATTCAAGTTGCAATACCGTCTGGCTGGGACGTGAGTTCCGGATAGACTACAGTTGTGGGACAGAACGATTACACAGTGGCTGCAGTGTTTGCGTCGGATCGCCTCCAGGCAGGCCTGCACCAGCCGCATGGAGATGGCGGTGCTTGGTACCTTACACCAGGCTCTCCTCACGAAAATGAAAAAGAGTACAGAAGGGGTGAGGGGAGCAAAAGCAGGCTTCCCTGCGCATCGGCGAGTAGCGGTGAGATGACTCGTGCTCGCGGAAGTTGGCAGATGACACCATGGAAAGCGAGGAGAGAGGGAGCACCTAGCGAGCCACACAGACTGGCTCGGGCGAAAGTGGGAAGTTGGAATAGAGTCGGCTGACGTACGAAGACGAATCCATGATGGCGATGCCGCAGGAGGCTGCAAATGGTGTTGAGGCTGCGGGAGCATGCGGCCCGGCAGCGCCCTCCTCCCTCAGCAGACCTGGGGAGCGTCTCCTGATGGACACAACAGCACGCTTCACGATGGCAGACTCTCCACCACGTTTACGGCGCCATCCGCGGAACGCAGCTCGCGAGCCTGGCTTCAGAGTTTTCCGCGAGCGAGGACGCCTGGGCGGGCACAGACGAATCAGGCCGGCGGGACGTCGCAAGAAGGGCCGGCCCGCGCAGAGCCAGACCAGAAGCGTGCTATCGATACATGGAATGGTACTGGCGGCGGGCGCGCGGGTGTCGTACCAGACTACTCAGTGTTTACTACTGCAGCGTACGGTAGTGAATGGATAGCGCGTGAAGTGAAGGCGATGTCTGTCCGGCCGCACACGATGGTGACAGCGGCTTGCCATCAGGGCGACAAACGGCACACAATGGCGCTGACGGGCGGCGCTCGTTCATGGTGCGATTGAGCACGCGTCGGGGCAGACGGGCAGGCAAACAGGCTGGCGGACAGGTGAAGCGATGGCTGGCTGCATGGGGCCTCTCTTCGCAGCGCTCTGGCCGCGCTCCGCCGCTGCGAGCAGCGTACAGCCAGTCAATCCTTGCGAAGGTGCTTCCGTGATGCAGGCGTACCCGACCTGGCCGGGGCGCCGAATGGCAGGACGCGCTGGTGTTTCGCTGCATCCCACGGAAGTGAAGGCCCCTACACGCCCAGCGCTGCTAAAGGCACCCCCCGGCCGCCTAAACGCGCCGAAGCACACACCCCACCACACCCGCCTGGATCACTTATCAGCAGGCCCAGCCCGCGCCGGCTAGCTGCTCTCGCTCCCCACCACAGACTCACCACCATCGCCCTGCACCGCTGCCCACGCCCGGCAGTGCGAGCAGACAACGAGCACTCGCTTTTATCATCAATTAACACGACGAGCACACGCAGCGCAATCGCCGCTTTTTGGCCGCTGTCCACCGCCTGGAGCTCCCGCTTGCCCGAATAGGCTGCCCACACCGCCAGTCCCGCACCCACACCGGTACTTTGCTACAAGAGCCGCTTAGTCCGCCATGGACTTCTCCCAATTCCAACCACATGGACTTCCACCGCCCCTCCAGCACACTCAGCTCCGTCGACCGGAAGCCCAGCGTCTTCTTCGACGACGGCACCATCGACGGCCAGATCCTCGACACCCCCGTCCTCATGTCGCCCACCACCAGCACCCAGGGCATCTTCTCGCCCGATACCTCCATCTGGGAGGACTTCTCGCACCAGGGCCAGTTCATCGACCGGACCGCAACGAGCTCAGTCGTCAACACCAACGCGAACAACCCCTTCTTCACCGAGCAGAGCAACAACCCCTTCGCCCGTCTGCCCCCCAACCAGGCCGCCAGCTATGGCCAGCAGACCTCATGGCCCGTCCAAGAGCACTCCGGATCGCAGACGCCGACTGCCTCCAAGCCACTGAACCCCTTCGCCCCCTCAGACTTTGGTGCCGCTCCCCCGCCCTTCGTTGCGGACCCTCCCCAGCAGATGACCTTCCACGGACTGCCAGTGCAGAGCAACGTAAGGCCCAGCTCCGTCTTCCCACAGGCAGGCCCCGAGCAACCGCTGTCACCGCACACCAACTCGGAGTGGATGGCTTTCAACCAGCAAGAGATGGACGCCCGCCCAGGGCCCAAGCGTATGAGAGCCAGCTCCCCGGCCCGGTCCTTCACCCCTCAGCGTGGCGGTGGCATCAGGAAGAAGAACGCTCGCTTCGACATCCCCTCGGAACGGAATCTATTCAACATCGACCGACTCATCCAGGACTGCACCGACGAGCAAGAGCTGAAGGAGCTCAAGCAACAGAAACGACTCCTCCGGAACAGGCAGGCCGCGTACGTACCCCCTTTGGTTTTTGCGTCTGGACATCTGGTCTTGGATACCATTTGGTCACCGTTCTCCATTATGTCATCACCTGTATTCATCAGCTAACATCATCATAGTCTTGACTCCCGGCAACGAAAAAAAGAAGCACACTGAAGAGCTCGAGGAAGAGAAGAAGACCTGGTCTGATAAGATCTGCGGCCTACAGGACGACTTCAACAACCTCAGGGTCGAGTATGACCGTCTTCTTTCCGAGAAGGAGAACTGGCACCGCGAGCAGATGGAGATGCATCAGATCGTCAACCAGCTCCACTTCGACAAGGAAGAACTCGTCCGCACTCACACCCTTGAGACTGGCGAGCTTCGCAAGAAGGTCTCCGTCCTCACCGAGAGGCTTGAGTGTGCCACGACCAACACTGCCTCCATGGCGCCTAGCTCTGCCTTTACCGACTTCACTTCGGACATGGACAACCTCAACATGAGCAACAGCGAATGGGACAACTACATCTTCGTCAATGACTTCGATGAGCAGACCCCTGGTCAGCAACCCCAGGAGCAGCCCCTTGCTATTGTGCCGCGCGGCAAGGACGAGGAGAAGCCGGTCGCATCCGGCCTCCTGCTTATGCTGCTCCTCTGCGGCGCTTTCGTCGCAAGCAAATCCTCCGGCTCTGCTGCACCGCCCATTCCTCGTATGCCTGATGAGGTCCGTGCCGCTTCCACCCAGGTTCTTGACAGCATCTTCAAGGACGCTGGTGTTGCACCTACTGTTACCGAGCAGGGTGTTGTCGCCAACCGCGTCTCCATGGTAGAGCCTGGCCCATCCGGCATGGCTTGGGCTAAGTCTGGTGCTGACATCGATGCCCTTACCGGATCTGCTCTCGACCAGCTGCACACTCAGCTCACGACAACCAGTAAAGAGCAGGAACACGAACAGCTTTTCTCCATCACACCGGCCCAGTACAACAGCATGACTTCTATGGACTTCACTCGCACCCGATACAGCATCGCAAGCGACGACTTCAGCGACCCACTCTCGCCGGGTTCGCAGCCGTCTCACCGCCGCAACCTTGCCGCCACTCTCGCTGCCATGCGTGAGCAGAGCAAGAGCGACGGCGCCGCCGACATCTACACGCGGAGCTTGCTCTGGGACAAGATCTCACCCGAAGTCGTTGTGGAGTTTAAGCGCATGGTCGAAGAATCTGCCGCCGCCTCCCGCCCCGGCACATCCGACGGCCACCCCTCCAAGCTTGACAACATCGGCTGAACAACCAAACTAACTACCTTCCCTATGTTAATTCCTTACGACTTGCATCATCTGCTTTCAGCATAGCGTCTTGGCTTCTTCCGGCCCTCCATCCATCGCCTGGAGGGCCCCGTAGGGCAAACAAATCAAATCTGCATCATGGGCCGGGGACCTGTTTTCGCGTCGACCGCTCGCCCTTCACTGGGCTTCGCATTCGTCATCCGCGTTTTCCTTTGCGCCAGCTACCTTTTGGCTCGCTGCTTCTGAACACTTTGGACGGCAACGTCGACTCTTTTACGCATTCCTGTCTGCCTTTCCAGCATGCACCTGGGCGGATTCTGAACCGCGGGAATCTCAACAGATCTCCGCTTTATATTTACCTTCATCGTTAGCGCTGCGTCATAGGACCGCAAGCGACATTTTTTGCGCCTCTATTATTTCATTATCCTTTTGGTTTTTGTGTTTGAGAGCATAGCAAGCGAGCAAGCGAATTTGGCACATTTGGGACTGTTTCTGTTTTCCACCTCTCTACTTTTGTTTTTCATCTATTCCCTTGTCACATCTGAATTTGTCACGTCATGCAGAGCGTAGCGAGCGTGTTATTGCCACGAAATGACTGCTACGAAGAAGACCATGTATGCTACGACATCTAGCCATCTTGTATATGAGGCACGATTCGCACTGAAGATAACTTGTTTACTGTTTTGAGCGCCGGTACTTAGGTAGTTGCAATTTAGGAGGGGGCTTGGAAAGTAGTAGTAGTATCTATTGGATTTGGTTTGCTGTGCCCTTGGCTGGTTGGCCTGGGTATCACACGCAAGAGACGAGTTTTACGCTTCACGATGCACACAAATGCTTAACGACTATGATGGATTGGCGAGGATGAGATACCACGAGCGTTTGCTTGAGCTGTTTTTGGAAAGCATGTCCTGTCTATTCATTCAATCTATCTATCAATCAATCAATCAATCAGCGTTTCCACCTGCCATTCTATCCATCCATTCACCCCCTTCCCCTCGCCACGCAACGCACCTCCTCCGTGAACGAAGGATTCTAGACTCCGCCTCCAAGCATGATCCCACGCTTGACGCGTCCCTCGCATCCCATCGCGCTGCGTTGCTCAAGCGACGACGATACGCGCCGCCTCCGTCCTCCAGGAAGCGCTGCCGTCCCCGGCGCGCTCACCGAGCCCATACAATGCCCGTCCTCGGACAGAATCCACACAAGCCTTGCACCCGTTGGAGAGTCAATGTACACCAAGACTCCACTCGTCCCTTGTACATCCAACGGCTACTCGACCCAGCGTCACAGCGGAGTGGGTCTAGTTAATCCCTCGCCCGTGAAGAGCGTCTGCAAGAAGGTCTGTGTTGAAGCGGAGTGCATAAGCATGCAGACCTGCACCTATTGCTCGCCAAACCAGCAGACGTCTAAATGCGCGACTCCCGCGGTCGCAGCGGATCCACTCAGTAACCTTTGTGCTGCAGAACGTGGGGTGAGAGGGTGAGGGGATCCTTGATGGATGGCATCGTGCGAGCTCGTCAGCAATACATGTCTGTCTCTTTCGAGACGCATTTCCATTACGGGCTGGCAGGCAACATTGGCCCTTCGTTCCTGAGTCCAGACCTGATCTCCTCCCCCGTTGCCATTCATCACCGTTGATCAATCAGCCAGACGTACGAGTCTGCCGTCATGGCACGTACCCACGCGCTTCTTCCACGCTACCTCCTACATAGAGATCACCTCGTCCTGCATACGTCCCAGTTCTCTGAAACAAGATCACCGGTGCTAGAAAATCACACTGGCTTTTAGTCTTTATTGGTATTTTCTACGCTGCCGATAGGTCGGGCGGTGGAAAATCACCGCAGTAGTTAGGCTACGGAGGAAAGAAGGGGGGAGGAAGGATGCCAGTCGACCCTGACCGTCTATCTCATCTGCTCTCCTGACCCACCATCGCTTCTGCGAAAGGTGCATCATCTGGGACTCCAGCTTGAGGGAAAGTTTGCACGCACTGCTTACTGCCGCGGACGTGCCTCGGAGGGAGAAAACGGTGCTGCTGGATATGTACAGGGTCACGGATTCAGGAAGGAGAGTCGCACGGCAGAGGAGACAGCTCAGCTCAGCACAGCACAGCACGGCAACAGCACATCGCGGTCGAATCTCCCCTTCCCACTCCCCACGCTGGAAGACGAGGCATTAGATCGTTGTGGTACGACACAGCTGCCGTGCGACTTTCCCTCTTGGATACCCTGTACATCACGGAATGCGAGGCGTACTTCCCCGCACGGAGAGACTGGTGGATGAATACGAAGCAGATGGGCTGACATCCCCCACACAGCACGTCGGACCGGGCGTGAGACTGAGGGCTGAGTGCCGACGTGTAAGCCAGTACCGTGTAAGCCACGGAGCAAGACAGATGATGCGATAGGAGGTAGTAGACGACTCGGCATACGAGCACGAGTCGGAGAAAGGCATGTCTCAGCCACGCTGGCACGGCAGAGGGTAATCTGATCGATAGATAGACCGATGGTCCAGACAGATGAGCGAAACCTTCTACCAACCAACAATTTTGGACGGCCGAGCGTGAGCCGCAAGCAACGAGCAGCATTCCCGGTCCGCCACTGACCTGAACATCTGACTGACGCCCCGGAACAATACCTGTGATCGCATCGGGAAGACCGATCGAACGTCGCTTATTTCGGATTGTACTTGTCCTTCCATATCCTGTTGCACCGTTAGCACGTGCCTTTCACACCCTCACTGAGCATCCCTCTTTCTCCTCGGTCCAAAGTAGGTAGTCTAGTAGCATCGTGTGCGTCCCGCGCCGCACACCACCTTCCCACCCGCCCCTCCATCGCATCAACACCACGCCGTCCGTCAATAGACCAGCCAGCACGCACGCACACCAGCCATATTGCGCCGCCAGCGACAGCACGCCACGTGTATGCGCTCAACACGAGCGCGCGGGCCCGACGGAGCGGGTGTGCGCCAGACGGATAGTGTGACAGGGCAAGCGTGGTGGGGTGTGACTTCGGTGCTGCGGTCAGGACCGTACCGGCTAAGCGAAGGATGCATCCAGGTGCTGTACTTTCAACGCGTGGCAGCCAATCGATGATGCTTGGCGCATGCTCGCCGTAACGCTATGTATTGCCCAGCTGCCGTCCCTCATTCGGCGATGACGAGCTCAATCGTAGTCATCGTGGGCAGGTGTTGGTGTTGAAGCGATAGCGGGATGATGAAGGCGGCGGTGCTCCGTTGTAACGTGCGCAGATTACGCCTAAGTGAGATCGCCTTGGATCTCGATGGGCTCCCCGATCGCGATGCTTTCATTCAACGGGATAGAAAACGAGGGCTGCTTACCACGTGTTGCCTATTGTCTTACTTCCCTTTGACTCTGCGAGGCGGAGGAACTGTGCCGCTTTGAACTGTGGGCGTTAGCAATAGCCGGCTTTCCTGATGCGTATGCTGCCCGACAAATGAGGCTGAACGATTCAAGAATAGATGGCGATGTGTCTTGGGATCCTCCGCGTGATGGTGGGATCGTTTATTGATGTTGACCGTTCGGACATTTTGCAGGTGGCCTTGGCGCAGACCGGTCAAAGTCGTTGTAGACGGAGAACAGCGACGAGGTATGTACAGATTTCATGGACCAGACATGGACCGAGGAAATGCCGGGGCAGCAGTCGAACCGACATGCCGTTATGAGCAAGTCGATAGCACTCTGAGTGCTCTCGGCCCGTTCATGCATCGTGGCGATGTCGGGAGGTTTTCCGGCACGCTCGGTATTAGCCATCGGTTTGCAGGCTAATTTGCTTGAACTGCATTCGGGCGCTGAGGTTCCCCAACAGACTGAGGAGAGAGAAGTGTTGAGGGGCGGAGGCTTGAGCGTGAGGTTGAGGAGCGGGAGGTGACTCTTTGATACGGTGACGAGGACGTCCGAATATGGGGGAGGGAATGAATGATTTTCCCATACACCGACAATGACGCCCCCGTCAAGACACGCAGTAGGCAAGCTGGCAATGGCAACGTCGGAAGACTTGTCGAGAAAAGGACGGAGACACGCGATAGAAAGAAAAGCTCTGAACGTACCTTATCCTTCTTCGTCCCAAAGCCTTCCACATAGCACCAGGCCACCTCATTCATAGCATCCGTATCCCCCAAATTCGCAGCCGTCTCATAATACTGCTTCGCAGCCACCGGATCCTTCTTCGTGCCCCATGCATACCGAAAGCAATTGCCCAGCTCAAACATCGCAATGACCAACTCCCCCTTCGCAGCACCGCCCTTTTTCATGCCTGCCTGCAGCGCCAGTCTTTCTACTTCCGCGCTGTTCGACGCCGCAACGGAGAGGTAGCGCACGGCTTGCGACATGTCTGGCTCGCAGCCCCAACCATGGCGCAACGCAAGGCCGTAGAGGACCTGAGAAAGTGCGTTATTCGCGCCGTTTGGGTCGGCAAGTTTGCCGAAGATCTTCGTGCTGGCCGCGAAGTCGCCGGCCTCGTGCAGCCGGATCGCCTCCTGGATGTCCGCATCATCTGGGGCGGCGCTCACGCTGTGACTTCCACTTCTACTCCTCCCACCTTGCTGTTGTGCCGGCGCCAGAGGATCGCTAACTTCGATGGTGGGCGTGTTTGCCCCGCTCTTCAGCACCGTGTTGCCTGATATCAGCACCGTGGCGCGCTTCTCCCAATTTGCTTCTTCTTCCTCGTTGCGCGCGACGCCGTCGCCTGTTACAGCTGGTAAATTCTCTGGCACGTTGACGCTGGAGGCGCTGCGCGTGCGGCCAAAGTGTAGCCTGTGTCCGCCCTTCTCGTTGTCCTGTCCGCCCCCCGATTCCGCTGCATTGCTGTGCCGCCTGAATCTGCCTTTGAAGCCTCGGTGTTCTGGAGCGGGGGAGAGGAAGGGTTGCGACGCGCGCGTAGGGTCGCCGGGGAAGGCGGGAGGCTCGATGGATTCGTGCGTTGTGGTTGTGGTGCGGTAGAATTGGAATTCTGGCACATCTGGGCTCAGCGTGGGCCCTTGCTCTGCGACGTTCCCCTCGTCTCTGACTTTGTCCTTCTTTTTCAGTAGGTCCTTGAGCGTCATTTTGAGCCTGGGATATGTGATTGCGGCCTCAGACGCGTCGATGCGGCGTGTATGCGGCTGGTTTCCGCAGGTAATGCTTCGTAGAGTAATGTGCTTTGCAACGCACTGCTTTGAGATATGTTACGGGATTCTAAGGAACGTCTTATATTTTCGTAAGGTGCCGGTGAGACTATCTACACGCATAGAGGGTGGCTGTAGGCGCTGCGGTGTCTTCGCAGGCAGCTTCGTTGTATGTGGTGCGGCTGTGCTTGGCTCTGCGAGCCGCCTCAGCCTCCAACATCAGCCCAGCGCTTGCGTTTGCATGATGGTTTCGATCAAACAAGCAAAAGCCGAACGACCCTGCTGACAAATTTATGCGTGTATCAAGCCTTCATTCATCACTTGAAGGCAAAGCGCAGAAATCTCGAAATATTTTGCATTGTATGTTCATTCAATGCGCGGCGCTCACTCAACGGTATTGGAGCTGCCTCGCAAAATCTCGGAGTATTTCCAAATTGCTGGATGCTCCCATATTCAAGATGCATTCCAAGCACCCAAAGCCATCATCGTACAAGAAAGAACCTTTAGCGCCAAACGCTGAAGCGGGTATCAAGAAATTGTGAGAACGCCTCAAGCCCGGTATGGAAGTCGCTGCTGATGCAACGACATCTAGTAGAAAGGTCCGCGAGAGATACTTACCTTAGTCGACCAGAAACGGCCAAACCGGTAGGAACTTGAATGCGACCAAGACATTAGGAAATAATCGAAGGAGAAGGACCGGAAACCTACATAGTCAGAAGGGACAAGCATATATACAAGGACGACGGCTTAGTCCTGTGATTCGAAAGCAACGTAGTCATGTTGCTGCGTGATAGCATGGTTTTGGATCTCGTCTGGAGAGCTCATAGCGTCTCTCATGATGTATTCCTCACCATCCACGGCGCTCTCCGGTGATCCAACGCCGGAAGAGCCAAGTGCAGCTGCCTTCATGCGAGAAGCGTGATGGACGTGCCTCAGCGGACATGACTCACCCGCGTCACAGGACCCGTTGTTAGCAAAACTTGGACATTCGTAGACGTGGAGACAGGGACAAGCTTCTCCTGCGCTGCAATAACCGAGCCGCCCAAAGGACCCGCAGACCGGTGCATTTCGGTCGATCTGGACATGGGCAAACATGCACGGTGAATTGGTGCATCGGTTCTCCAGGAAATAGACACAGTGCGGCGTGTTGTTGGGGGTCGTCTCGTGTGACAAAGAGCAGAGAGTGTCTTTGGTGCAAACATTTTGGTATAGAAATCGCTTGCAGAGAGCTAGCTTGCTGACGTCGTGGATGTCGGGGCACCGGAGCCGGGCGCATTTGCCTATTAAAGTGTCAGACAACAGATGATGGGAAGTATATCACTTTTGGAGCCCGATGAAAGATACCTGTGGATGTAAAGTTCGGGCACGGTGTGTTCGAACTCTTGGCTCGGTTGATCCGCTGTTCAGCTACGGTCAGTCTATTGTTCGTAGTGTTCAAAGAGATTTGGTTGATTTTTACAGTGCTGGACTCGTTCCAAGCCGCGGAGTCCTTGGCCCGATTCGATCGCGCGTGGCGAGACGTCGAGTAGGGCTCATGACCCGCGTATGCCCTCCTCTCTGCACGAGTGCGCGATCGTATGCGTTGAGGGCCAACAGCGTTGCCACCAGGAGATGTTTCGTTTTCATCGTTTGATTCTACATCGGGCGTATCGCTGAAGCAAGGGGTAGAAGCGCGGCGATAGCCGACAGCCGCACCATTGTTGTTGTTCGTCAGCTTGTAGTTGGGTGCACCTATCAGGCCTTGGTCGCGGAGATCTGCCAGCTTGTGACCCGTAACGTAGCCTACAAATCATGAGCCAGCTGCTCCGAAAATCCGTCTCTTACATACTTCTAAGTTCTGCCCGAGCCTTGAACCTGGCTTCCGGCGTGGCTAGAAGGGCAATCTCCTCCGCAGAATAAGGTGGCGGACCCGGTGGACGCGACATTTTGCGGTGGATTAAACTTGAACCTGTGCGATATGATAAGTATGTTAATCAAGTTGCGTACAACAAGAAAGAAAAGCGTAGACAGGGGCGAACGGAGGAGGCAGGGGAGCAGTATGTCTGCGCGACGGGGAGCAAGAGGAGAGCTGTCGCGCGGGGTTGACAAAGAATAACAGGGTCCACTGAGCTGGTGGCTCGTGCGCAGCGCGTCTCGCTGTCACATGATCGGTACTACTCCAGGGCTGGGCAGCTCGAAGTTCAATCCTAGTATACAGGATAAGCACACATCAACACTTTGTCAATCCATTGTAGTGAAGTCATTCTGAAATCAAATTCAGTTCCATTATCTATCTAGTGTCGTACACAAGACTTAGAAGCTTGCCGAGAGGATTCAATCCCTCCTCAGCTGTGACTATACGTTTCGGAATTTCGAACTCAACTTCGGGATCCTTCTTCAACTCTCTGTTCAGTTCCGTATCAAGGAGCGCAGTGTAAGAGTGGTCTAAGAAATCTTCAAGATTGTAGGACCGTTTCGTGAACTGCTCCGCGATAATCTTCGCTAGCGTCGCAACATTAGGGTGGTAGTGCGACTGTAGCGTCTCCAGTTCCCATACGCTACTCTCAATGGCATCTGTAAGAAGCGGGTCCTGCTCATCCATGTCGAATGGATCTTCCATGCCGTTTTCTTCCATTTCTTGCTTCAGAGCCGGGTCTCGTATCTCGCGATGCATCATGAAAGTACATGCAGGATGGCGCTTGAACATGTTGTATACCCATGGGATGACGACGACAATACCAGCCGGTGGTGCATACAACGCTAACCGGGAGAGCCGCTTGATAAAGCTTGCTACAAGCGTCGCTGGTAAATGTGTGGAGGACATGAATGTGTCTAGTAATCTGAAGAAGCGTGATCGGTGTTTTGAGTGCAGCAGGCCATCATCCAGTAACGAGTAGAGTTTCTGGTAGAAAGATGGGTAGTCGAGGTTCTTCTCGGACATGAGATAGTACAGTCCGGAAAGCGCCAGAAGAGATGTAGCGCCCCCAACATCGTATGAGTCTGTAAGGAAGTCCATGAGCATTTCGGGCTGCGCAAACCATGGTGCAATCTGGTGAGAGAAAACAGTCAAAACGGACTTTCGCTGCTCCTTTGTGATGCCTGATCGCAATGTTGCCAGCCAAGCTTCTTGTGCTTGCGATTTGTACGAGCTCAAAGAAGGCACCGGACTCTTGCCCTGGACCTCTGTGTAGAAATTCTGGACGTCGTCTTTCGATGCTGGGACGGCCTCAAGACTGAGAAGAAGTGACAAGCTGTTGCGGGCCACACGTTCCTTTTCTGAATCGGCGAGTTCGGATTGAAGTAGCGTTTTGATGGATCGAAAAGTAGAGTATCGGATGTCGTCGTAGGTGCCAAAAAACTTCTCCGCAAATTCGTCTCTCGAGCCATCTCCTTCAGGCAGTAAGAGAAGCGCCTCCACGGTCCTATGAAGGGGGCTATTCTTGATACTGAAGTCTTTCTGTGCTTTTGATTCTTCCTTGACCAGCCGTAAGAGCAGAGTCAACGCCACAGACTGCTTGGGTGGGTGCTCGCTGCTGAGGAAGTCGCGCAGCAGCACCTCTAAGTATTCCTGATATCTTTGCTTCAACCATGTAATGATCAAAGTCTCAGCCTCAGTCATCCTCTTGCTCTTGACCATGTCTCCGGTAGACAGGAGTCGTGTGAATACTCGACATAGTGCGACGGCTGCGAGAACGGATGCTTCGTCGTCGGGGTCTGAAGCTTTCGAAAGCTTCAAAAGGGTCGCAATATTGTTGTAGTGCTTTCGCGACTCTAAGATTTGCGATTCGAGGCGTAGAATCTCTTCCTGGGGGTCTTCGTCCTCGTCGCTGGAAGGCTTTGGGCGGGGTTTTGACTTGGTTGCGCGGCGCTCTGTTTCTCCCGATTTTCTCTTCCTCTTCACACCAGCTACGGCAGTGGATTTTATACCCGACATCGCAGCGGCAGGGCAATGGATCGTTGTGGGCGAATGTCGTGTTGCTGTTCGTCGTCGCACTTGCTGGTCGTGAACTTTTTCCCAAACGCCGGGCCGTGTTCGGCTAGTCGGCTTGGCGCGTTGATTCTGCACCGGCGAAGCTCTCAACTCCATCAACGACACCGCCCAAACCTCCCCACTCTCATCCACAGCAATGGCTTCTCGTCTGGCAAGGAGCGCGGTCGGTACGTACAAGCTCCCCGACGCGATTGCGGTGCCATTGACCTGCATACTCACCCGTAACAGGCGCCGCCCGTCTCCGCCCATCGCTCCCTCTCCGCACCCTCCCCAGCATCACGGCCCAGATCACCCCGGCCCGCTATCAGTCCAACCTGCCCGAGGACCCCAAGAAGAAGGCCCAGTCACTGCTCGATGCGATCCCCGTGCCCGGCAACAGCCCCATCACCAAGGCCGCCGTCCTCTCCGCCGCCGCCGGTGTGAGCACCTTCGCCATCAGCAACGAGCTCTACGTCGTCAACGAGGAGTCCATCGTCGCCCTATCGCTTCTGACCATCTTCTGGGCTGTCGCCAAGTACGCCGGCCCGGCCTGGTCCGACTATGCGCAGTCGCAGATTGACAAGATCTCCGGCATCTTGAACTCGGCCCGCGCCGACCACACCACGGCCGTCAAGCAGCGCATTGAGAGCGTACAGGACCTCGGCGGTGTCATTGACATCACCAAGAACCTCTTCGCTGTTTCCAAGGTACGACACAGGAGATGGAAATGAGATGGATAATCCGCTGGACCGATGGGGGCTGACTGCGTGTAGGAAACCGCCCAGCTTGAGGCTCAGGCCTACGAGCTCGAGCAGAAGACGGCCATCGCCCACGAGGCCAAGACCGTCCTTGACTCCTGGGTCCGCTACGAGGGCCAGGTCAAGGCGAGGCAGCAGCGCGAGCTTGCCGAGAGCATCATCGCCAAGATCGAGAAGGAGCTTGAGAACCCCAAGACCCTCAAGCAGATCCTCGACCAGAGCGTCGTCGATGTTGAGAGTGCGTCATGCCATGCTGCTTAGATGCTTCCCACTAACAGCTCACAGGAATCGTTTCGCAAAAGGCATAAGCTACCTAAAACGTCTCCTTTCTCATCGATTAGCATCATCCAATGTTACATAAATCTGTGCTATAGTCAACCGGGTCGGATAGAGTACCCAAAGTCAATTTCATTTGGTCGAAGCATCTTTGCGATCTATTCGTGTTGCATTCGCAAGCTTACGTAGCGGCACGTTGTCTCTCAGTTCATAAGTGAATCAACGCCGCAGATCTAAAATGCCCACTATTACCATGATAACTAAATGTCTGCAGCATGAAGGCCCATAGAAACAGCGCTATGGATACACAAAGCTCTACTCGCGCCGTATCTCAGAATCGCTCACTGTCACGTGGCAGGAAGAGTAGAAAGACAACTACAAGCATCATTCAGTGATCCCGGTGCATGTACTTTTGGATGCTGGAGCTCGCAGAGCTGACACCTAACATCCCGACTGATTGAAGTCGAGTATCGCAGGCTTTTATCAACCTCCGGCAGTTTTGAATTTTGAATGGCTAGAACGATCGAAAAGTTCACGCTTTATGCATTGGTCTCAAGATACACGTATAGTTATCATTGAGTGGAAAGATGGTGCTCATCACCACCACCGCTGCGATGGAAGAGTCGACATGGACGGGAATATCCGATCTTTGTGCATCGGCGGGAAAGTTCTTAAGGGAAGTACAGTCGATGACTTCCAATCCGGCTCCTACAATGATGGGCCACCAGTGGTATTTCCGGAAAAAAATGATACGATTTACGGGCTCTGTTGTGGATGTGTAAAACCATGACGCAGAGGAAGAGCCACGAGCGGAAGTTGCAGCAGTTTATGGTGTAATTACGCCAACATACATTGATTGCGCAAAACTTTTGCAAAGGGAGAGTGTGTGGTAAGTTAAGTCTGGACATGGACAAGTCGACTCCGAGATTTCGGACATGCACTTCTGGTGTGCACGTTTGTCGAAGTGCGGAGAGCATCGCCAGCACATACTGTTTGAGTACGTCTCTTTGATCTCCAACAGAACAGAACACATAAAATCTTGGACGGCGATTTTTAGTATCCGAGTGAGGGATGTTCACAGCTGGACTGTAATCGCCAGAAGTCCGCATTGACAAGTTTTAAAAGCGATGACGTCCGAAACCAGCACATGTCACTTTCTTCAATTGCGTTTAGTCACTACACGACACCGAGACATAAACTGCTGCTCTTTCCTCTTTCAAGACCCGAGGACCGATCCTCACAGTTCGAAATAATCGCTTGGAGAGCGGCTTGAACTTATCTAGAGAACAACCGCGTCCAACTTCCGCACATCAAAGTGTTTGTCGCGCTTTTTGGTATCCACACAAAGCAAGCCATAGCATTTTATGTTGCAGTCTTAGTACGAAGATGTTGCTTCGCCATGGTTCAGGGACGGGCGCACACACAAGCGCAACATGCCACATTATCTTCTGGAGTTTGTAGACAGCGGAGTTCTTCCCATATTTCCCACCCATTCGAGTATTGACTCCAACAGACCTAAATACATAGACAGCTGGCCATTGTGACTTGAGTGTGTTGAATGCGGTTTTTCTTTCTTTCTGAAAATGCGAGCGCACGCGGACACCGGCGCAGCATGGTACAGAGGTTGGAGTAATTTCAGACAGCGGAAGGCCCACATGAATGACACTTTTCCGAGGCGTGGCGTTTCTGCGACCCGAAAGAGCAAGAAAGCCTTGTTGCTCAGAAGCGGAAGCACACACCCACTCAACATATGAGGTCGTCTTCTGAATCTGTAGACAACGAATGGGCCCACATGCCAGAAGCTGTTCCTTCTTGTGAAGTCTTCCGAAAGACATCGGATGTGGCTGCAGCGATTTCAAATCTACTCGGAAACTGCAGGGGCGTGTGTGGAGAGAAGGCAGGCCTGAGACTGGTCTTTGTATGGCGCCCTGTGGCTCCGTCCATCGTAGTCCATCGTAGTTGGTTGTTTTGAGTTGAAGCTCCCAGACACAATGTGAGACTTGCTACATCTTTGGTGCAGTACGGCAAGGTCCCCGACAAGGCGAAGGCCCGTTGGTGTTATAGATGCTTTTATTGAAGAAATACAAAACATAGAGATCCCACCAACATGTTCATATCCGCCGTGTGGTCTTTTCCTCTCGCAACATGGCTCAATCTTGGTCGTAGTCGTCGAGCGGATTGTCCTCCCATGTGTAGACGAATGCAGACTTTGAGATCTACAAGATCTTTAGACCCCTCGAGTAGTGAACATAAAAGCTAAGATAGTCAAGTACTGTCTAGGTAAGTTAAAAGTTCACCTTGCGTGGCTCCTCTCCGTGCACTTCTGGACTTTGGGACGGTAGAGGGACCACATGACATGTCACTGTTTTGGTCGTCCACGCATTGCAGTGATTGTCCTCGTTTTCGATTGTAAGCAAAGACGACAGACGAGAGGGAAACATGTCTCTAGAGTGACATCAAGCCTGTCACGGACGTTCGATTTCGACACGAAAAGCAGCCAACATGAAGTTTCTTGTACTCGTTTTCGAGATCTCTGCCCATGAGATGTGATTCAATTCGCTTTTAGTCTCCGAAGCGGAGACATAGTGAGACCGGAAAACGAATTTTCTTTCATGACCGTGGACAAGCCTGCAAGTTCACCAGAGACCGCCTCATTTCTCTGTAACCACACCCTACTAAATATGCACAGGCAGCATCTTTGGAAGAGGAGCCGGTCCATTCGAAGTGTTTTGAGTTACCCTAGCGTAGCCGTATATATTGTATCAAGATCACGCCTCCGTGAATCTTATTGGGTTTCTATAACACGACCAGCCAGAATCATGGCTTTCCGATCAGATATCTGGACTTCCGAACATATTGGGTGGTGGTGTGATTTTGAGTGCTCTGGAGCAAAGTACATGAAAGTGTAGTACGATGTCTTGGTCGAGGCTATTTACAGGCTTTATGGTCCTCAGGCTGTAGCTATCCTCCATTCCCTGATGTTCTGACGATTTTGAATACCCAGGGCAGGACCCAAGTAGGGTTGTGAATGCTTCTGAGCCCCACATGCCGAGGTTCTGGGATCTTTTGGTGCTTCAGAAGAAGGGATGTGATACTGTCGTAAAACCATCTTGAGCAAAGATAAGGAGATTCAAGTCACCTTCTTATCCATGCTTTTATGGTTGAAAAGCTTGGGGTTTCCAGCGCAGGCGCCATGGTACAATTGTTGTCTTGTTTGAGACTCCGCATAAAGGTGTTCAAACTCTATGTTTTGTGTCGAGAGTAGAGCGCATAACAGAGGGCGACCACGCAGATGTGGATATTTTGAATGTACGTCATCGCGCAGGACACAGAATCTGGCTGCGATGTGCTTCAGTCCTCCGCATAAAAATGACCGGTGATGTCCTAGAATCTCGGAGCGAAGGACATTGTCTGTCTTTGAGTCGGTTTTAGTCAGGTGCGAGTGCTTCCAATCTCCTGCTCTTCTCATGATTAATCAAGCTCATGATCTGAAGTCCACATACGCGGCCACTATGAAATGGTGGAGCTAATCTCTGGGGCCCCTTGCACATGTGTGTTTCGACATACATCTTTGGTCTTTGGCGCACAAGACATACTCCGCAGCGGTGATAGTTTTGTTCAAGCTTAGGAGAACGTTCTGGAAGGTGCAGGCCGTGCCAAAGGAAACGTAGGCTTTAAATAGACTCTCAGAAATCCTCCATCTCGATATCAAGCTAAGGGCCCACGGGTAGGTCCAGGTGCGAAGCAGGTCACATGACTCCAAGTTCAGATGTACCCCTCCGCCCATGATATTCCGTTCTAGAGATTTTGCTTCCCTACTCAATGAAAAAGGTTCTTTCTCGTTCACGTCCCAAAACCTCCCCATCCATCATTCCATGACAATAGGCCTCGCCCAAGAAGGTATGCCTGTCTTCTTCGCCCCGTGCTCTCAAAACGTACGGAAGCCTAGCACCACAGAAGACAACCACCGAGTCACCTGCAACTGCTGGATCAGGACACATACCGAGATATCCTCGGCGAGTGATATATAGCCGCTTCCCGTCCATACCACTCATGCTATTACGGTATCTCCCAGATGGAGACCGGCGTATCTCCTCAGCAGTCAACTGCCGCTCTCCTGCCACTATTATTTCGGAGATCTTCACACATTCGTGATATGCATCTTCAACGAGTGGCTTCCTGGCACGAATGTAGTCAACCTCAGGATCCCAGTACAGATCTCCGATCGGCACTCGCCATGTCGCTTCGGCTCGTCGGAGTGGGTTCTCGTAGATAAGTTCGTCCTTGGTGGCAGACTTACTGCAGAACTCTTGAAGTGTTTTGAAAAGGTGGAGGTATGATGCGTGATCGTCCGAAGCATGCCACACATTCCCCACTTCCTCGATTGAATCAATCAAGTACCCCCGGATACTAAGAACATCTTGAACCATTTTCGGCAACATAGAGACCTGAGTGCTGCCAGATGCACCCAACAGGTGCTCCTCTGCAGATTCAAAGATGGTGTAATATGACGGCGCAAGATTTGGCCGCCAGTCCGGAACCCAAGTTGGTAGTCCTTCAATATCTTTCTCCTTCGGGAACTGGGAGAAGCTAAGGATCTCAATGCGTCCCTGTCGGATCATTGCTCGAGCCACATGCGTGAAGATTGAAGCGACATTCAAGGTCGTATAGTCGGGCCTTATCCCCAGCTGCTCGGCATCAACAGCCAGAGCGAGTAGCCCATATATACGATCCCGATTTTGCGTTGCTCTCGTATCGCTTTCAACAAAGAGCTTTCTAAGCAAGTGGAAAAGCTCTTCTCCCTCCCCTTTGCTGTTTGCGTACCTTTGACGGCGCTTTCGAGTACTCAGTAGCGGCCCCAAACGGTGTGACTGTGCTTGCAAAGCGAGCTGGGCAAAGCTAATTCCTGGATTCGACCTCATAGATTGCTTCAACGCTGCCGCAAATATGTTGCTCGCTTGTCTGACAAAATCCACAGGAACGATCTTGTGTCCGCAGACGAGGACCGTGTCCGGGCACAAGCTGACCTCCTGCACAATCCAGACACGATGGAACCAGGGTCTCTCATCCAGATCAACGATCGCCTGCATCAAGTCCTCGAATCGAGGCCGCGCTTCATCGACGAGCTGGTGATACGGTTCCGTCAAAGGATCGTCCACCGAACGGCTTTCCATGATCTCGAGTAGACGGTGAATTTTCTCCTTCGTAAAGTAGGATTCCAAGCCACCTGCAGTTTTCTCCGCCTTCTGCCCGATGTCCAGCCACAGGTCCATCAGTTCGTCTGATCTATCTGCGGCGGGACCAAGCCAGACGAGGGTTTGCTCAGCTTTGCGGTATATGTCGGACATTAGTAGCACCTGTTCTGATTTTTCGGCGCCATTGCTCTGATCGATACAGACTTGATCGACCCATAGATAGATGTCCTCCTGTTGACTGGCGATGTATTGAAGAGCAGTGTGAAGGGATGGGGTGATGTTGAGCTGGGTTCTGTTCAATTTGAGGAAACTTGTTTTCTCTGCGGTCCCCCAGGTGTACGAGAGAGCTTTGAATTTCAGTGGTGCTGCTATAGGTGTCGTCAAAAGCTCGCAAACAAGGCTGCCGTTTGAAGGCGACGTGGTACTCTTGGGAGTCGTTGTCGGTTCGGCTAAGCGGAGCTGAAGTAGGCGAATATGCGTCGTTGACGACGGCAGTGCACAAGACTTGTAGTCAAATTTGGACATCTTCTAAGACTTCAGCATGCAGATTCATGTGGATTGCATTGTGCAGCAGGTTCTGGTACACGGAGGATACTCGTATTTAGTCAGGCTCCCTTGCCTACTTCTGACCTAGGGCGGGTGGTGACACCTGGGCAAGCTGAACACGAGTTCTTTCGTATTCAGCTCTCGAACCGAGCCAGAATCCTGCAACTGCATGAGCATTCTTGTTCTTGGAACGCCTAACACAGGCCGCATAAAATCATCGAATATTCGTATATGGTCCACATTTGCCTTCACATTCAAGCTTGAGCTTTTCAGGATTCCCCACAAGCGCAGTATATGCCTCCTTCTTTGGAGAGGTCCACCCAAGTTGAAGGGAGTGTCTTCGAAATTCTGCGCAGCGCTTGTGCAAGCAAGGCAGCGCCGTGCTTGATAGGAATACTTGTCTACGTTTGCATACATAGGCTGACGAGACACCCACTGAACAGAACAATCACATCGAACTGATTTTCCGGGCTGGGAACCCTCCACACTTGAACTTGTCGAGATTGGCTTTCCAATAAGACATGACTGTTTGGCCAAATCCCTTTAGTCAAGCCAGGAAGCATCGTTTGTGTTGTGCGGAGTCTGCTAAGAGCACGTAGCACTGCATGTGTCGGTAGCATGGACTTGTCCACATCATCTTCAAGTACTACCTTTTGAACACCTAAGACACACGACATTGCTCTTTGTGCATACAATTTCCGTACCGCCTCATATGCAAGGTTATGCCGACATCCTTCTAGTCTCCAGAGCAAGAGGCATAAGGTTTTGCTTCGTGTATTTTAGTGAGGTAAACAATTAAAGAAATGTGCAGAGGCGGAGGAGCAGCTGAAGTGTACTCTTCTAAGGACCGTCTTCTCCCAATCCGGCGACGTACTTCGTTCTTTCGCTGGGCTTGTGTTCGTCTTTCGATCCTCCCCACGCAGGGTATTTACTTGAGAAGTGGGGTTCTGTTTGGGCACAAAGTGCCACGCGTTACCGTCGCACCGCACTCGTTGTATGATGTGATGAGTTTAAGCCGCACGGAGCGCTTCTTGGTGTTTGGTTCTTCCCCGCACCGGTTCATTATTTCGTCAGTAAGCACGGTCATCCACTCCTCGCTTCTATAGCAAATATATGACGGGACCTCTGCAAGTAGATCCTGAAACTCTTGCCGAAGGACCTCCCGAAGCACTTCCTACGCAAGGACTTCCTGGTATACTTGTGAAGTTCAGTGGCTTTCAAGGTTATAGCTCGAAGCACCAGTCTTATCCATCTAGAAAGACGCCTTATCACCAATTCGCATCTTCCGGACAGCTGGGGCACTCATGACGAATTGAAACGATTGTGAGTGTATATGCCTTTGAAAAGCGTTGCTTCAACGTGGGAAAGCTGAATCCATGCCACGTCTCAAATCGGAAACGAAGAGTTATTGGGTGCCCATACGAGGAGATGAAACAAATAGTTCAAGAGATCCCTATCTTCGAGAAGTTTGGAAGCTGACTCCAAGGTAGAGAGTATGGCGTATCAACGACCAAAACCGAATATCGACACATCCAACACTCTCAGTAGCGTGGAAGAGATGCTGGAACGGAGTTCAAGGAACATTGAGAGTTTGCCACCGGACTCCCTCTCTCTCCTACGAGTTCTCTCAATGCTCGATGGTGATTCCATACTTGATGAGATGTTGACAAAAGGCGCAGAGAAAGTTCGACTGGCAGATTATCCTTCGGATATGATACAGTACTATGACTCTGGAGAGGCACTCTTGAGATCCTCTCTTGTCACTTGGAATAATGAGTTGACTGGTCTTCATGTTCATCGCATAGTCCAGGACGCGGTATGCGGAAAGCTAGGTCTAGCTCTGTTCAAGGACGTCTTCAGCGCAGCAACAGTACTTCAAAGCGCTGTCTGGCCGTTTATTGACAACAGGAATCTGAATGAAGTTGAACGGCTACATAAAGTTCAGCTATATCAACCCCACGTCTCTCGCTTGCGGACGGTACTCAAAGAACGTGGAGTGGAAAAGGTCAAGCCCTCACTCACGATCGCATCAATCTTCAATGAGGCTAGTTGGTAAGTCATTCAACATGTTTAAAAATCGAAACTGAGAACCACAGGACATATCAGCTCCAAGAAACGGGCTATGGCCTAGTAACAGGCGACGATTATGCTGTTCTAGCCCAAAGAATTGCGGCCATCGAAGGAAACGATGAAGACGAGAACGACAGAAGCAAGATCTTGTCAGATAGCTACCGTTTCCAGGGCATCATAGGAAGCTATCTTGGCACTGAGAAGGGCGTTAGCTGCACGAAGAAGTGGATCGAGCTGCTCGTAGAACGCATTGCGAAACATCAACTCAAGGAAGACATTGATACCCTACCCATTGCTTACAATGAGTACGGTCGGGCTCTAATGCGTATTCCGAACGAGAAAAAGGCATTGCGCTCGTGGGAGGTTTCGAGCGATATCATCACAAAAAGGACTCCACCTGGAGAGTTACCCTTCCCATTCCCATGGTTCCATCGAGCACTCATCTATGCGTTTGGAGGGCAAGCCGATCTTGCAGACAGTCTGATCTCTCCCATTCTTGAGCAAAGAGAAAACAAGCTTGGCACAGATGACACTAAGACCTACGAGTACGTCGCAAAGGCAAATCGATTTCCGGAGAAAGCGCTGACCAGTTCAGAACGGGAATGATACTTACCTGCTTGGGGCACGTTCGGCGGGCTCAAGACAAGAAGAACGAATCGTATGACTACAATCAACGCGCCGAAAAGGTGGTTCCCAAAACTACCGGAGATCGATCTCTTGCATCGCTCACTGCGTACTACCGTCTCGCTTGCGATGAGTTCGACCGTGAACGATACAAAGAAGCACGGTAAGTATATCGGTCCACTGGCATGTATACTCTAACAATGATCAGTACCCTTCTAGAGAAGATAGTCTCCTTCATTGGTGAAGACAAGTGGTTCAAGCCAATCGCAGCTCGCGGATACTGGAAGCTAGGTCGTACGCTTTTGCGTGAAGGTGGTGATGATAACGAGGACGAGGCGCAGACGCAAATTGACAAAGCAATGAGCCTTCGACATGAGATTGCTCCAGGCGATGATCGTAAGGAGAGAGACTTGAATGACCGTGATTGGGATAATCTGGTGTTCTACTTGTTCAGATAAACCTAATTTGACGTGACACACCTCGGCCCGAAGCCAAGGGTGCAAACACTACCATACAGAAACCAGATCTCACCCGTTACAGAAGCATATCCGTGCGTTGTAACAACTCGAGGCGAACCCTTGAGCACTGAAACCAGTCACAAACGTTCGGGTAAAGGCAACAACGAGCGAGCCCGCACCCTCGTCCTGTGACTTGCCTGCGCCATGGAACGAACGCACCGCTCAAACAGCAGATACCAAAATCACAGACTCCAAGTTGCGAGCGTCCGCTATTATGGAGCCGAGGCTCAGGACGACCTCTCGCCCACATATGTCCTCGGCCCCACCCTTTCTTAACACCCCAGCCAGAACACATCGACCTGTCCTACTATCCCACTAACCTCCCGCAAACATGGTGTTCTTGCCATCAACTTTCAGACCCGGAGCAGGACACAGATAATCTTGATCGGGCTTTTAGTCCCCGGACATGTCTTTTTCGATTCTCCGTTTTGGTCTCCCAGGGCTCAGCACAAGCCATGTAGCAACGTTTTGGTGGCTTTAGTCAGACTTAGGAAAGCCTTTGAGATGCTGAGTGCAGGTTGTGTGCAGACACCCCGGACAGAACATAGTCCCATCCCGCCATCCCTTGAACCTCCCGCACACATCGTGTTCTTGCCATCGACTTGTAGACCCGGAGCGGGACACATGGTCATTCTTGAACGGGTTTTCAGTCCCCGAACATGAGCTTCCTCTCATACTTGTTTAGTCTCCCAGAACGCGGACCAAACCATATAGTGGTGCTTGGGAGGTTTTAGTCAAGCTTGGGAAAGCTTTGAGATGCAGAGTGCGGAGTGTGAGCAGAACTTGAGGATGAATTTATACATTCGCCCTGTAAGACGGCTTGTCATCTGGTTGGGAGACGGAGCATGCAGTTGTAGAGACGAAGTTCAGAAAGGCTTCGGTCTACATGACCCTTCTCAGTCAGTGTTTTTTGGAAATACCAGGAACAGAGACATGGCTGCGTTCTTGTCTGAATTTGGCTCTCTACATTGTTTCGTCCATCGAGGTATTGCAGACCCGGAGCAAGACACATAAGAGATTGTTGAACTGCTTTCTAGTCCCCGAACATAATCTCTTTGTTGATCAGTTTTGGTCTCCCAGAGCCCAGCACAAGACATGATCAGGGCTGCTCTATGTTTTTAGACGAGCTCGGAAACGTCTTCGAGATGCTGTGTAGATCGAGAGTAGAAGTTGAGGATGTAATTATATGCATTCCCCATGGGAAACAGCTGCTTGAAATTCGGCTCAGAGATGGACATTGAAATTGTACAGTATCCGGCAAGCGCTCGCTCTGGTACGCGTGAAGCTCAAACAGGTTTCTCGTCCACATGAGTCGTCTAGCGTCTCTTTTTTTTAACACTCCAGGAAAAGAGACATGGCACCGCTTTTGCTGGATTTCGGTTCTCCACACTTCTCCAGTCCAATTTCTAGGTCTTGCAAACCCAGAGCAGGAGACATGTTGAGCTTTGGGAATACCTGTTAGTCCCCCGCACATGCATTCGCCTCGCTGATGTTTTAGTCTCCCAAAGCCCAGGACATGGTGTCCTTGGCGGCTGATTTAGTCAAGACCCTAACCAACCTTCGGAGTTGTGTACAGTGCAGAGTAGCAGGTTGATGGGGTTTTTATACCTCTTGTGGCAGACTCGGGGTATTTGAGGTAGCAACGATGGTTTTTTGTGACGAAGGCTGAAGTTCGACGAGCACTCAGTAATCGAAGCGCTAGTCCACAGAGCACCCTCTCTCCCATATTCGCCATCGTAACGATCTTGAGACACGCAGCGCAGAAGCCACAGTCGGGTTGGGACGCCATTTGCGAGTCCCGCACACATGTCTCTTTTATCCAACATCTTTGGACACCCGGGACAGCATGGACTCTATGTCTTCATGGCCTCTTTTAGTCCTCCACCCTTGGTATTGGTTGACTTGCATTTTAGTCTCTCCAAGCCCAAGCCATATTGCGCCAAGTGACCTCTTTTTAGTCCCGCTCGTAGAGAACTTGAGGAGTTGTGTGCAGACTTCGACAGAACCTAGGAGGGTATTTATACGCCCACGAGCGAGGCTGAGTAATCGACCATGCTGGTTGGTGACACTGAGTAAGGCGGGATGTACTTCGACGAGCGTCGGTGTTGAAGAGATAATTTTCGAAACACGCTCTCCCACATGCTTAGTCGGGGTTTTCCGTTTATAGAAATCCGGCGCAGGGGATATAGGTCACAGTCTCATCTTTTAGTCCCCACATGATATCTTCCGCGAAGACTTTTTGAACGCACCCAAGCAGGACACAGTACTACTGTGCCCACGCTTTCTCCCCCACACATGGCTCAGGGTCTGTTTGCTTTTAGTCCCCGCACATGGATTCATCTTGAGGTTCTTTTTGAACACCCAGAGCAGGACACATCACTGCTTGGTCCCACACTTATAGTCCCGCACATTCCTCTCCCTATCTTGGGCTTTAGTCCCCCCAAGAACCGAGACATGGTCCTATCTCTTGGAACTTTTGATCAACCCCACGGAACACCTTTCAAATCTGTGCAGAGCCAGAGATCCTATCGAGGTGGTATCTATACATCCCCGGAATGCTAATTAGCGTTCGAGTGCAGGTCCACGGACGAATATGTGACTCAGGCGGTGCTCCGCATTCTCCATGACGTTAACATATGTCCCTTTCGAAGCACGCCGTCTTCCACATGTCATTGTCTTGATGATCATTTTGACACCCCAACACCGGAGACATCGTACTGGCCGATCAGAACTTTTAGTCCCCAGACATACGAAAAGCGGGCTAGCTTTAAGGATCCCACATGCTCCATACATTGGAATGGGCTGCCTTTCGAAAGCACGCCCTCATCCACATAGGCACGTCTGTTGCCGAGTTTAAACACCCCAGCGCCGGAGACATCGCCTTGGCGTACCAGGATTTTCTTCCGCGGACATATGAAAAGCCGTCTAGCTTTGAGTGTTCCGCATCCTCCATGAAGTGGATTGAGTGTGGATTTTTGAAAGCACGCCGTCGTCCACATGATGGGGTAAGGAATCTGATTTTTAACACCCCAGCGCCGGAGACATGCCTGGAACGATGAACGCTTTCAGTCCTCCAGCCATATAAAGACCGGGGTGGGGTTTTAGTCCCCAAGAGCCCGCACAGGACATCACTCGGATCTCCAGGTCTTTTGATCAAGGCCATGGAGAACCCTTGAGAGGTTGTGTGGAGAGCTAAAGATGCTATTGAGGCGGTATTTATACCTTCCTGTCGCGGGACGTCGGCGCATTCGGTCCGTGGTGATGATCATCGTCGTCAGAAGAGCGGTGATACACATACCATCTATGCGGTAGCGCCCCAAGATGCACAAGAAACCCATCTTTCAAGCATAGCATCACATTGCATTACCACCCTCAGAACACATCTTGCGAACACTTCATATGGTCATCCAAACAAGCCTCGGCCATTCATTTTATCTATCATATGCACATATCATCCATCAAATTAGGGTATTATATCCTCTCGTCTCCTCTACACCAGCGACTCTACGACAATCGCCGACGCACCTCCACCACCATTGCAAATACCAGCGCACCCAATCTTGCCCTTCTTCTCCCTCAGCACACCAAGCAGCGTCGTCGTGATACGTGCACCCGAGGCACCGAGCGCGTGGCCGAGCGCAACAGCGCCGCCGTGCAGGTTGACCTTGTCCTCGCTCAGGTTGAGGATCTTCATGTTGGCGAGAGCGACAACGCTGAAAGCCTCGTTGATCTCGAAAGCGTCGACGGCGCTCTGGTCGACGCCAGCGTGCTTGAGGGCCTTGGGTATGGCGAGGGCAGGTGCGGTGGTGAACTTGGAGGGGTTCTGTGCTGCGTCGCCCCAGCCGAGGATCTTGCCGATGGGCTTGAGGTTGTGCTGCTTGAGGGCGGCTTCGGAGACGAGGACGAGGGCGGCGGCGCCATCGGAGAGGGGCGAGGCGTTTGCGGCGGTGACGGTGCCGTCTTTGGGCTTGAAGGAGGGGCGGAGGGTGCGGGTCTTGGACTCGTTGAACTGTGAAGATTAGTGAACGGCTTAAATGATTACTGAGCGGTCCAAGTGGTCGCTGATGTGCCTGTTGTTGGGACGACTCACGTTCTTGGGCTCATCGTCCTGGTCGATGACCTTCGCGGGCTTGCCGCGGCCGCCAGAAACCTCAATGGGAGCAATCTCCTCCTTAAACCAGCCGGCGTCCGCAGCGGCGTTGGCCTTCTTGTAGGAGCGGATGGCGTAGTCGTCCTGCTGCTCGCGGTTGAAGCCGTGGTCATCGGCGCACTCCTCTCCCTGCACGCCCATATGTTCGTTCTTGTATGCGTCGGTGAGGCCGTCCTTCAGCAGGCCATCGACGAGGGGCTGATCACCGAACTTGGCGCCAGTGCGGAGGTTGGGGAGGTAGTGGGGGGTGTTGGACATGCTCTCGGCTCCTCCAGCGACGACGATGTCGGCATTGCCGGTGATGATGGTTTGGGCGCCGACGATGAGGGCCTTGATCGAGGAGGCGCAGACCTTGTTCACGGTGGTGCAGACGACGGACTCGGGGAGGCCTGCTCCGAGAGCACACTGGCGGGCGGGGTTCTGGCCGAGGCTGCGATGCGTTGTCAGAACGTGACCAATGTCTGTATGATCTGGAGACTCACTTGGCGGAGAGCACGTTGCCCATGAAGACCTCTTGAACATCTTCCGACTTGAGGCCGGCGCGCTCAACAGCAGCTGTCACAAGTCAGTCAGTATTCTCGGTAATAATGAACATTTTGGATTTCACGTACCCTTGATAGCATGGGAACCGAGCTGGGTAGCACTCAGACTCGAAAGTGAGCTGGCAAAACAATCAGCTCATGTATGCAGCTCCCCGCGTTGATACAAACATACCCCAAGAACTGGCCCGTAGGCGTCCGGACAGCGGAAACGATGTAGACAGGAGGAAGAGAAGACATGTTGGGTATCTAGAAAACGGGTTCGAGAAGGGAGAGTGAATTGACGCCGCAGCACGCGAGGGGCAACTGCTTTAATTGTCTAGCAGTCGTCGTGGCGTCCATGTTAGGAAAAGTCCGAGTGGGGTGTTCCTGAACCTTTTCGCTCCGATAGCGGCTCCGATTGGGCGGAGCCTTGACATTGTTGACCGCCTTTGCTTTCCTCCCTCGGCGTCACGTTTCGCCGCTGCCTAGTCGAACGCGCCAAGACATAGACTGAACATTTTGGGTAGCTCATGCAAGCTTCGCGCGCGCAACTGCGGCCATTCACCCCCACAGCCATGGACGACCTATACGACGAGTGAGTGTGCGGCCTGTTGATATGAATGGTCTCGCGATTCTAATTGTAACAGGTTCGGTAACTTCATCGGCGAAGCCGAGTCCGACGACGATGTGCAGTCCACCGGCGAGGCAGCAGACGCCTACGTGCTCGACGATGAGGCCGAAGAAGAGGAGGCGCATGACCAGCTGATGGAGGTGGATGAGGGGCCCTCGAATGCTGTCATATTACACGAAGACAAGCAGTATTACCCATCCGCGACCGACGTATACGGCCCCGATGTCGAAGTCTTGGTGCAAGAGGAGGATACGCAGGCCCTGTCACAGCCTATAATTGCGCCCGTAGTGCAAAAGAAGTTTACAGTGCAAGAGGAGGACCTGCCGCCAGTGCACTACTCGCGCGAGCTTATGACAGATTTGATGAACTACCCGGACCAGATACGGAACATTGCCATTGCGGGACATTTGCACCACGGAAAGACGGCGTTCATGGATATGCTGGTCATGGAGACACACGACATTCAAGATCGCCTAGACTCAAAGCGGGGGAAGAAGCGCGAGGAACAACTGCGGTATACCGACGTACACGTGGTCGAGCGCGAGCGAGGGCTCTCGATCAAGGCTGCGCCCATGACGCTTGTTCTCCAGAACACGTCCATGAAGTCGCATCTCTTCAACATCATCGATACACCGGGACACGTCAATTTTGCAGACGAGGTGGCAGCCTCATTGCGGTTGGTCGACGGCGTGGTACTGGTTGTCGATGTCGTCGAGGGCGTGCAGGTGACGACAGAGCTCGCTATCAAGCATGCCGTGCTAGAGGATTTGCCTCTGACACTGGTTGTCAACAAGATGGATCGCCTTATCCTGGAGTTGAAACTGCCCCCGCGCGACGCATACTTCAAGATAAAGCACGTCATCGAGGAGGTCAACACTGTCATCGAGAACACCATTCCTGGCCGCGGCGAGCGCAGACGTGTAAGCCCTGAAAGAGGCAACGTCGCTTTCGCTTGTTCGAGCATGCGATGGTGTTTCACGCTGCAGTCGTTTGCGAAAATGTATGCCGAATTCTATCCTGGACCCGCGAAAGCGCCGGGATTCGGCAAGCCTATGAAAAACCTCGACGTGGAGAAGTTTGCAGTGCGCCTCTGGGGAGACGTCTTTTACAACCCTGGAAGTCGCAAGTTCAGCCGCAAGGCGCAAGAAGAAGACTCAAAACGCTCGTTTGTGCACTGGATATTAGAACCCATCTATAAGCTCTATGCGCATACGCTTAGCGAGAGCGCAGAAGATCTGAAAGACACCCTGGACCAGCTAGGCATCCGGCTGAAGCCATCAGAATACAAGACGGATGCGAAAGAGCTGATGCGGTTAGTTTGTCAACAGTACTTCGGGCCTTCAACCGGATTCGTGGACATGATTACACAGCACGTTCCATCACCTGCGGACGGCGCAAAGAGGATGCTCGAAAGACATTATACAGGTCCTCTGGACTCCAAAACAGCGGAAGCCATGGAGAAGTGCGACCAGAACGGCCCGCTGGTCATCCATGTCTCGAAACTGTACAACACCACAGACGCAAAGTCGTTCCACGCTTTAGGACGGGTTTTGAGCGGTACAGCTACAACAGCCACCTCCGTTCGAGTGCTCGGAGAAGGTTATACCATCGAAGACGAAGAAGACATGGTAGTCGCCACCATCACCGACACATGGATTGCCGAGTCGAGATACAACGTTCCGACGAGTGGCGTGCCCGCGGGTAACTGGGTGCTCCTAGGCGGCGTCGACAACTCAATAGTCAAGACCGCTACCATAGTCTCGCAAAAGCTACCAGATGATGAAGACGCTTACATCTTCCGCCCGATCCGCCATTTCTTCGAATCCGTCTTCAAAGTCGCCGTCGAACCCATCAATCCATCTGAACTCCCCAAGATGCTTGACGGTCTCCGCAAAATCAACAAGTCATATCCGCTCATCACCACCAAAGTCGAAGAATCCGGCGAACATGTCATCCTCGGCACTGGCGAACTGTACATGGACTGCGTACTCCACGATCTACGCCGACTATACGCGGACATGGAAATCAAGATCTCCGACCCAGTGACTCGCTTCTGCGAGACCGTCGTCGAAATGTCCGCCATAAAGTGCTACGCCCTCACCCCCAACAAGAAAAACAAGATCACCATGGTCGCAGAACAGCTCGACCCAGGCATCGCAGAGGACATCGAAGCCGGCAAAGTCTCCATCAAAGACCCCGTCCGCGTCGTCGGCAGATTCTTCGAAGAACACTACGGCTACGACCTCCTCGCCGCACGCAACATCTGGGCGTTCGGCCCCGACGACATGGGCGCCAATATCCTGCAGAACGACACCCTCCCCTCGGAAGTAGATACCAAGTCGCTGCGCTCCGTCCGCGACACCATCCGCCAGGGCTTCAGCTGGGCAACCCGCGAAGGCCCCCTCTGCGAAGAACCCATTCGCAATACGAAGTTCCGCATTACAGACGTCGAACTCGCGTCTGAAGCTATCTTCCGTGGCGGCGGGCAGATCATTCCAACCGCCAGACGCGCGTGCTACTCCAGCTTCCTGATGGCGAGCCCGCGCCTCATGGAGCCCGTGTACAGCTGCAGTATGATCGGGCCCGCGGACACGAAGTCCAGCCTGTACACCGTGCTTGCGCGAAGGAGAGGGCATGTCCTGCAAGATGGGCCTATAGCCGGTACGCCGCTGTATAACGTCCGCGGACTGATTCCCGTCATCGACTCCTTTGGCTTTGAGACGGATCTGCGCGTGAGTTCCCTCCCCTTTACCCTCCCCTCTTTCCTTCCCCTTTCTTCTTTTAGACAGGGTTAAATGCTAATGCAACCAGATCCACACCCAAGGCCAAGTCTCGCTCTCCCTCGTCTTCGACCGCTGGAGCATCGTCCCCGGCGACCCGCTCGACAAGGACGTCACATTACGCCCGCTCGAGCCCGCTTCAGCACAAGCTACCGCGCGGGACTTCGTGCTGAAGACGCGCCGGCGCAAGGGGCTCGCGGAGGATGTGACGATCAGCAAGTTTTTGAGCCGGAGCTGTTCAGGCAGTTGAGGGAGAGTGGGGTGTTGGAGGGGGCAATGAGGGGTACGATGAGGGATGAGATGGCATGGGATGTGTAAGGCGTTTGGGCGTTTAGACAAGCGCGAAAAGTATGAGTGGAATATACCCAGTCGATGTCCTACGTACGATGCGATGCGCGAGCGAGGCTGGCGCGAGGCCAGGCCTCCGCGAAGACCCGTGATGGCACATGCATATGCGCATCGAACAAACAAATCCTCCGCGCGGACGGCCGTCGCACAGCAGCGACATGCCGACGAGTCTAAATGTAGCAACCCATTGTACCCCACCAGCGTCGATCGTCTACACTTGGCGTCGGAGTACGGAGATTGTGGCAGGTGGGTGGGCAGGTTGGACGGGAGGGCAGTGTGGCTGGTGTGCCGTGTTGTAAACAATGGAAAAGGAAGTGGATAGTAGGTAGTGGAAAACTTTATGCCTCTGAAGAAATGGGAGTGAGTTGAAGTGGATGAGAAGGTGGCTGTGGTTGGTTCTGGCGGAAGGGCAGATGGGCAAGGTGGGGGCGAGGGCGAGGTGTTTCGCGTTGGGACGTATGCTATAGCTACGATGTTGGCCCGAGGTGTACTTTAGTGGTACTTTAGTGAAGGGGCGCAGGTGAGCGTTAAGCGGAAAGTGTAGCGCTGATTTAAGCTATGTATTGGCTTGAATGGGAGTGTTTACCTGAGAAGCTGTTCGATGGGTATGGGTGGGCTGGACTGTGCGGCTGGCTATCGAGATATCGTGTCCGTTTGAATAGCTGCTGCCCAGATGCAGGTGCCCAGGTGTACGAAAGGTCACGTGGGATAGATACCATTCAGCTACTGCGGAACGTTTAGTAACAGAGCCATTCTGTGCAAATAACTTCGACATGGAGTGTCGTGCGCACTCAGACAGGTAAATAGCACTTCGCAGGCTCGCCGAGTGGGGTCCACAGCGCGCCTAACTTCAGACCCGAGTGAACGGACTTCGCGTATAGCAAGCAAATCTATCTTATAGATAGCATTGCATTCTCAGCGCCTCGGCATCAGTCGTCCCCGGCAGCGCCGGCACATCTCGTGCTTTTCTCGGTGTGCCGGCGCTCCGAGGACTGCGCGCGTGCGACGGAGCGCGGGAGGGGGATCAAACAGATTATAAGCTGTCCGCGAGGCTGTGCTAATCTATAATGCCATTTCAGCGCGTTTGTTTTAGCAAAACGAAACGAGCAGGGCTTGGGTAAGCGGTCGCGCGATTAAGGTTGCTGCACTGTGCCTCTGGGTCGCGTCGGGCGTAGAGCTTCGCGCGATATGGTGCTGATGGTGTGGAGCGATCCGGTACGCCCGCTTGAGCGAGAGGTCGCACCGCAGACCAGGTGGAAGCTTAAACCTACCTTTGGCACGACAGGTCTGCGATTTTTTTTTCTTTTCGCTATCGTTAACTCTCCAGGTCATCGCATCTGGTGTTTGAGGCGCGCACCCGCGGACTCGACTTCCACATGCGACTGGTGGCCGCAAGACATCTCTCATGTTGCCTGAGACGAACCAGCCTCCCGCGCTTCAGCAGTCCGTGAAGGCCTGGCGCAGATCATGCTCCAAGAGGAGAGTGAACGGTGGATTAGCTAAGCTACGGGGCGTTGCGGAAGGTCCGAAGCGCAGACTGCGCAGGGTTGTTGTGTGAAGTCCGGCTTGGGCGATGCATGCCACGGCCGGAGGTGGTTGGCGAGGAAGACGGCTGCTGTGAAATCATGTGAATGTGGTTTATGGTGTTGCGCTACGTTATTGGGAGGTGTGAGATTAAAGCAAGTAGTGTAGCGCGTACTCTACTGCAGGAAAGTTGATGGGGGTAGTGATGGCGAAGTGCTGGTGCGTTAGATGGTTTCAAGGTTACGGCGCTTCGCCACGTTCGCAGATTAACATACAAGTAGTTCATCGTTAGTGGCCCGCTTGAGCCGTAGTGCAGTGCCTGAAAGGGCAGGTTTCGCTCTGAGTTGCTGACGAGCCATAAATTACGCGGGGATAAGAACTAAGCCCTGAAGCCACCGACCGTGTCTCCACCAATCCACCCCCGATGCGACCTGACATGTCTTTGCCGCTGTTTCAACACAATCCGGCAGATTTTCCCCAGGGTCATCGCTGTCTCGCCTAGGGTGCCTCTCCAAGCGTTGCTGTTCCTGTTTCATGCAGCCACCACTCACATCCGGTCTGGCTCCCAAGTCAGCCTGCTCAATGTCCTTGAAACAGGCATCCTCTGACCTCCACATCCGCGCTTCTTTGCGCCTGCCTTAGACAGCTATCCGTCCCGGGGTACCCGTGCACCTTAGTGGCTCATGCGTCTTACCTGAATATCTTTAGGACAGTACGGTAATGAGGGTGGAGCTTAGGACCTACTTTCTACCCTTGCGGGAAGATGGGCTAGAGTCCGGATGCGAAACAATGCTTGAACGAACGATGGACATCAGCCGCGAGCGGCTCCACCGCTGCGTTTGGAAACCAGACCCTTGATGGCGAGTCTGGAGAGTCCGTCTGGACGGTGGGCCTAGGAGGCTATATGTACAAGCGGGCCACGCTTATGCTCACTCTTCATCTCTTTAGTAGAGGACATCTGACTCTGTAGCAGCATCTTTGCTTTGCTTCGTTCCTTCTTTTCCCTTCATTCGTTCTTTTACATTGCGTTTTTACGCACGTCACTCATTTCAAACAGCTTCGAAATCATCTTGACGATGCATTTCTCTACAATCGTTTCTACCGCGGCGTTTGCTGCCCCGGCACTAGCTGGCTATGTGCTCCAGGATGATTACATGACCGACTTTTACGGTCACTTCAACTTCTTCACTGGAGGTGACCCAACGCATGGGTTTGTCCAGTATGTGGACGAGGCGACTGCGCGCTCCTCGAACTTGATTGACACTTCGGGACCGCCAGTGCCAGTCAAGTGGGGTGTTGATACTGTCAACAAGGACCCGGCGGGTAGGGCTAGTATGAGGCTTGAGAGCAAGTCGCTCTACAACAAGGGGCTTGTGGTTATCGATGTCGAGCACATGCCTTTCGGCTGTGGTACATGGCCTGCGTAAGTGCTCTCAAATCACGACAGTAGACCAGAGGTATTGACATGGGATGCAGCTTTTGGATGTTCGGACCGAACTGGCCGATGCAGGGTGAGATCGATATCATCGAAGGTGTGCACGAGCAGGAGACCAATGCCCTCACTCTTCACACGAGCACGGGCTGCGCCGTTGGCTCGGACACCAGCCTCTTCTCCGGCTCTGTCGAGACTCAGAACTGTGACGTGAAGGCTGAAGGCCAGGCCGAAAACGCCGGCTGCTCTATCAAGTCGCCAGACAACAAGTCGTATGGTGCCGGCCTGAACGACAACGGCGGCGGTGTCTATGCTACAGAGTGGACCAAGGATGCCATCGCCATCTGGTTCTTCCCCCGCGGCTCCGTCCCTGACGGCGTCACGGGTGATAACCCCGACCCGAGCAGCTGGGGGAAACCCACTGCGAAGTGGGTGAGCGATTCCTGCGACGTCGACGGCATCTTCAAGGACCTGAACATCATCTTCGACACCACCTTCTGCGGTGACTGGGCCGGCAACACGTGGTCCACTAGCTCTTGCGCCTCCAAGGCGTCTACCTGCAACGACTACGTCCAGAACAACCCGGATGCGTTCACCAACGCTTTCTGGACCGTCAACGCCCTCAAGGTCTACGAGCAGGGTGATGCTCCCGCTTCCGCTCCCGCTGAATCCCAGGCCCCTGAGGAGCAGCCCTCCGCCACTGATGCTCCTGCAGACCAGCCCGCCTCTACTGACGCACCTGCTGCCACTGACACGCCTGTCGATGCTCCCGCCTCATCTGATGCCCCCGTATCATCTGAGGCTCCTGTCGATGCCCCCGTCTCCTCGGCTCCTCTCGAAGCCATGCCCTCTGCCACCGATGCCCCCGTCGACAACTCCACCGCCGCAACCTCCCTCTCGACCAGCGCCCCCGTCCAGCAAAACCCCGACGGCACCCTAAACATCCCCGTCGGCCCTTGGGGCTCCAACGGCGAAGGCGGCGGCAACGGCGGCAACAGCGGCGCAGAGGGTTCCCCTGACGCCGATTCTGACGCTCTCCCCTCGGTCGCTGTGCCCGTTTCCTCAGCCCCAGCACCCGCCTCCACACCCGCTGCCGACGGCGGCTTCAACTGGCCCGGCGCCGCACAAGGCTCAGGCGCACCCCAAGGCACAGGCTCACCCAGCCTCGCACCCCTCCCCTCCTTCCCGGCTGGAAACTCAACAGGCTACCCCACCATGCCTTCCGGCACAGGCCTCTCCTCCATAAACTTCGCCACGGTGCCTACCTTCCCGACTAGCCTTCCCACGGACCTCGCGTCCAACTCGGACATCGCCAACGTCTGGGAAACAATCTACACAACGAACGTCGTCACCGTGCCGGGCGTCGGGCCCGCGCCAACGCTCGGTACAGATGATGGGAGCGACCCCATTGCCACCGTGCAGCAGACCGTGCAGCAGACCGTGATGGTCACCGTGCAGGGCGGCGGAGCGCAGGCAACGGGTGCGCCGGCCGCGAAGCGGTGGGCTCGGCGGGAGATAGCCCGTGAGAGGAGGAGGCTGCGTAACCATTTCTAGGTTTGAGCTTGATCAAACTAAGCTTAGTTTAAGCACTGAAGGGAGGGAGAGTTGAGCTTTGCTGATACCCATTTTGTATATACTTTCTTGCCCACGAGGCTTTGGATTTAGGCCTAGGGTGTACATTGGTGGAGTTTACATTTAAGATAGGGGGATATATGGGTTTGGTTTGGGGAGATAGACGTGCGTATCATATCATATCATATGAGCATACAGTATACCATTTCAGTCATTCATGTGCTCTCCTATGTCACTTGGGATGCACATCTGCCGTGAGCCTGCGTCACTATCGATTCGATTTCTAGAATTATGCTAGCTGTACAGGAGTCATGCTAGTTGGTGTACTCGTATACCGCGATGAGGAAGCCCTGGGATGGATTGCACTCGCCCTGTCACCAAGTATCACCGTCTCTTCCTCGCTATCATTCTCCGCTCCTTCGATCCACGCACAACGTCCGTATACCTTGCTTGGAAACAGATACGCACCCTCGTCCCTTAGCACAACGCTGTTCATAAACGGAGCAATCTTCTCCCACGCACTAGTAACATCACCGTGAAAAGAACGCGTACACGAAGCATCTTCCACAGTGCTGAAAGCGTGGTAGGAGTAGTCGAAGGAGCTACAATATACCGTACCTATGGTACCGTAAACTTTAGTCGACTCTCAGGCCCACGTCTTCCCTTCAGTTAGTTTCCGTTTGGATCGCTTGGGAGTAGGTTAACCAGCGTGGGCAAAAGTCACGGTAACATACAGAGTTATTAGCCACAAGTCGATAGGGAGAGACACAAGGCAGGTAATTCCGAAGTCAAGGGGACTTCCATTGGTTAACGGGGTAGATTGCAAGTAATTCCCCAGGTAGAGATCAAAGCATTCACTTTGGTGGGGTACACGCCGTTAGTAAGCCGTTCTGCTTACAAACACTCGCACGACGATGTATGGGATTGTCTACAAGAAGGTCTACGTTGAACGAAGCTGGTAGATAGCGTGGTGCTCCAGTATACACATCTCCAACAGCACGAAACGCTCCAATATCAACCACTCGACATCTCCCTGCGCTTCTGAACCGAGCCCAACTTCCCCTCTCACTTCCCAACTCCCATCACCATGCGCTTCTCCCGCAAACTCGACGTAATCGGCGTCCATGCCGAAGGCGAAGTCGGCGACGTCGTCGTCAGCGGCGTCCTCGACGTCCCAGGCGAAACAATGTACGACAAAATGATACATATGTGGTCCACCAACGACCACATCCGGCAACTCCTCCTCAATGAACCCCGCGGCCGCTCCTCAATATGCACGAACCTCGTCCTCCCGCCTTGCAACCCCAAGGCAGACGCGGGGTTCTTGATCATGGAGGCAGAGGAGTGGGTACCCATGTCAGGATCAAACACGATTTGTACCGTCACTGCGCTGCTGGAGACGGGGATGCTGAAGATGGACGAGCCTGAGACGAAGGTAGTGTTGGACACAGCAGCCGGCCTCGTCACCGTAACCGCCTCCTGCGAAAGCGGGAAGTGCAAGAGCGTAGAGTTTGAAAACGCGCCGTCGTTCGTATTTGGACTCGACATCCCCATTACCGTACCCGACCTCGGCACGCTGAAAGTTGACATCGCCTACGGCGGGATGATGTTTGCGTTCGTCGATGTTTCGGCCGTAGGGCTCAGATTGGAAGATCATTATGAAAATGGAACGAAGCTTGTTGAATTGGGGGAGAGGGTTAAGAAAGCTGTGAGGGAGCAGTTCACGCCGGTGCATCCGGAGAACGCGGCTATCCGGGGGGTGACGAATGTTGTTTTTACCATGCCATTGACGACAGACCCACTTCGCGATTGCAAAGTCACAAAGAATGCTACGGTGGTGATGCCCGGCCGGCTCGATCGCAGCCCTTGCGGAACTGGGACGTGTGCACGTATGGCGGTTCTCTATGCGCGAGGACTTCTCAGTGTTGGCGAGAGTTGGATTAACAAGAGTATGATTGATACGGAATTCACTGGACGGATTGTGACAACGACACAGGTCGGCGAATACGACGCCATCATTCCTGCAGTTAAGGGGAGAGGTTGGATTACCAGCTTCAAACAGGTAGTTCTTGATCCCCAGGATCCGTTCCCCGAGGGTTTCCGAGTTGGTGATGCATGGCTGCCTCCGAATCTTGGGGTCAAGGAGGGAGTCTTCAAAGCCTACAAAGAGGCCAGGGAAGGCTAATGCGATGGTGAATCATATGAGTATATCGTTCGGCCTTTCGGCGAGGGGCTGGATCGGGAGTTTCTCGTATGGCCTGTAGCTGCCATTTCAGCTCTTCCGGAATATCAAAATATACGGAACGCTGGCGAGCATGGCGTCCGAGGGTGAGGCGTGGGTCCCGAAGCTGGCTCCCGACGTACTCAAACTCGAAGTCAGGTGTCGAGAGGCGTGGTTTCCTGGATCCTCCACTTGGACGAGATGGCGATTCTCGCGGTTCAAGGAGCTTATGACTCGGACGGTGTGTCGGCGGAAGTGGTTGTGGTGTCGGTGCTTTGTGTCAAGAGGCTCAATGGGGTCAGGGAGTTCTGGTCCGATGTCAACTTCCTCTTCTTCCCTTTCTTTCATGTCTCCCAATGACATATTATGTTTCTAGGAAGACAACTTCGGCAGCAATGGAATTTTATTTTCTTTCCTATTGTAGCCGTGGCCGATTTGCACGCACCGCTCCGTGCACCGGCTTATGTTTATAGCATCTTTTTCCAGCTAGAACTTAGTACTAGCAGTTAGAGATGCTATCGGTAAGAATTCCCCGAAGGGTATTAGATGGCTGTAGTAGCGTCCATGAGAGCGGAGCGTCGCATAAGAGTAAGGGAAATGACCTCATAATGCTTTGTTGACGTCTGGCGCAATGCGCAAGTTTCGCGTAACCACGTTATATTGTTATACATATCGTCCAGTATCAAGCGGACGAACATAAAGATCGGAAGCCCGACCAGCGCGTTCTTGTCGTACAGGCGGACTGTCAGCTCTGGGCAGCGATAGTGTCGTTGGAAGAGGACCTGAGGCCTAATCACGGACCGCGCGGCCATCGAGGTATGAAGTCATGAGGCATCCATGGCCGCAAAGAGGTTTGAATGGATGGTAGAGACGCGTGGCGGGCGAGATGTGACGCTCTACGACGTCGGCTGGGTGATTGAACCAAGCGGTGTCCTCCCAAGACTCTTCCACCAGGTTGTACCCGTCGAGACGGGTTCTATCAATCACCCATTCTAGACATTCTCTTTTGATTAGACCTGTTCGCAGATAGCACTGTAACACTACCGCATATAGAACGGGCTGTTGTGGGGAAAGACCTAGAGCGCCAAGCGTCAGCAACCATCAGCAAGCATTGAGTAATCCAGTGCAAGCATCACAAGGAAAACACTTACGAAGCCGTTTCCGGATTCAAAAAGACCATTGTTTCCCTCGAAGGGCGAGCCCATAAACCCTCCAGGCGAAGTAATTGTCTCGGTGATTGAACTTGTCAATGTAGACCAATCGATGTTCTGCCAATCTGTGAAGTCTGGCGAGTTCACCTTGCCTTGAAGAGGCCCAGCTGCGTTCTCATCGAAGGAGGGCTCGAGCCTACCATCCATATTCATGTATAAGTAAAGGCACGAATCGGTGAGAAATTTCGGTTCTCTAACCTGAGATCAACAACATGCTCCCAAAGGTAGCCTACAGCTTCGTCAAGCTTGAAGCTGACCCAACCGCAGAGCCGCAACCGATCGAGCAGCGCGTCTGCGCTTAGAATGTGGAACTCCGCACAAGCCAGAGATACCTGATAAGCGAACCACGGACCTTTCGCTGAACCTTCTGCGGATATGGCACCGATGGCCAAAATCCATATAAGAAGATCGGGACACAAACGCCAATTGGTGCAGCTCGTGGCACTGAGCGCCTTTTCGAGCCGTTCGCTCGCTTGAAAATGAAGCAAGTGGACGTGGTTTCGGCCTCTGAAGGCTTCTGTCACTCGAATAGTAAAGATTAAGAGTGCAACGCACAGGGCATCCTCGAGGGGGGCGACCAAATGCTCCCTGTCGCGCAGCCACTTCAGTAGCATGCACTCCAGAACGCAAGAGAAATTCTGCATGTCTAGTGGGTCGAGAGGACTGTATGGGTCACCAAACCATGCATTAAGGTCAGCAATCAAGATCAAAGCAGACTCGACTAGGGTAGTCAGGGACTCCTGAACTCGTGCAACTGCACAGCATTCAAGGAGGTGTCGAGATATACGCGGCTGGTAGCCAGGAGGGTGGCGCGGACTGCATGCTGCGCTGAGAAGATCGCTCGTGGAGAGGTACGGCGCATCGAACGACGCGACTGCATGTGCCGTGGCATGCCTATGCTCAGTAAGCAGATGCTAAGCGTATCTGGGCTGGCTTGTACATAATCAAACAAGGCAGTAGAGCATCGTGTATCAACGCCAATAGAACGTAGCGGCTTTCGGTCCATTGGACGCCATCCCACCTTTTGGAGCGCTGAAATGCCATTGCCTTGTTTGGTATCGAATCGGAGCCAAACCACGTACCATAGTATAAAGGCCTGCAATATTCGATTCGAGCCCATCGCCATTAATCCCCCGCGTAACTCAACCATCCTGAGCAGCCCATTGAGGTGTATTGCGCGTTGATGCGGGTTGTCACCGTGCGGCCGCAGGTGCCCAAAGAATGGAGAGGCGAGGGTTTCTTCGACACTGAGTAAATTGAACACCGCGCCAATGTTCGCGTCTGAGATCCCTGTGATCATGTCCGGATTCGCTATAGCACTGTTTACAGATGCTATCGCATGCGCTCTGTGGAACAAGACGGTATCGAGAGGGCCTCGTCCGAATACGTGTCGATGAAGGGCGATCGTGCTGAGCAAGCTATGCATGAACCCTAGGTTGCCCATAGCTGTGCCAAACCATTGCGATCTCATCAGGTGAGAAGTATTGCGAATATCGACCGCAATGATTCCTGGAGCCATTTCGGTGACGACTTAGAGAAGATATCAGCACATGTCGCAGATTGGGACAGGCCAACTGTACGCTGGGTGCACAGATAACGAGAGCCGACAGAAAACTTGCGCATGGCTAGTGAGTACATATGCGGTGTTTCTTGGTATCCTCTCCCATGCTGTGAAACTGCGACTGGCAACGGGCCCCCGGTTCCGCAGTCTTGGGAACCACGCACAGTAAAAGCAAAGACAGAGAATAGACTTACAATGTTCCAGTAACACCGACACATCTCCATTCATATCCATCGGCATAGTTCCAAAAGGGTCAAACAGACTGTTGTCAGGTTCTTCGGTTGGCCCCGGCGGCTGAAAGAGCATGCACAATGGGCATAGGTATTGTCCAGGGCGACAGAGTAGGATCTGGCACTCAGGACACAGCTCTTGCTTGACTACCAGGAGGTTACTTGAATCCACCAGTGGGAAGTATTCCGTTCCAGGATATACGATAGGCGGGCTTGGGGTGGAAGTTATCGGGGTGGTTGACAGGTCGGGCGTACCAATCGTTGTAGGGCTTGTGCTCTCAGGGCTTTTTCGTTGCTTTGCTGCGTGTTTACTCGTTGACCATGGACGCTCCCTTCGAGCTTTCTGCATAACGAAAGAACGAGCATTGCGGCGTCCTTGTTTAGAGCTCTTTGCTTTAGCCGCGTCAACGAACAGAAACTCCTGTTGGACAGTAACGACGGGCGGAAATCCCCGCTTCGCCGTGGCGGGCTCCCGCTGGCTCGCCATGAGGTCCACCCCACGTAGACCTGGCGGGCCGGGACGTCGCTGCCCTGTTGTTCCCAGTTTCCAAGAAGGCGGTGGGTGGAGGTGCCTAGCAGCTGGTAACGATCATTTTGTCGCAACAAGTGGCTGTGCAGAAACTTCCTGATCCAAACGTCACTGTTATCATCTTTGAATTTGATAATACTGGGGTTGCCGCGCTGCTCGTAGGCCGAAGCCGCCTAGAGTGCCGCTGAAGGCAACTGGAGGGGTCCGCGATGCCAAAACTATCAAAGACCCGATTAGTATTAGTCCGCAGCAGCGTACCTTTGGGTATCTGCAGCCGAAGTTAGCCTTCGCATCCGATCAGGTACGCGGCTGAAAGTACCTTCTTGCCTTATAGACGCGCGTTCCTTTCTTTACAGAGATAATGCAAGGTGTCCAGGATGGAGTTCACGAGGGCCACTGATGTATATGTACAGAGGTAGGAGTCATGCACGATGTTTCTGCTGCGTTAGGTGCAAAAATAGAAGCGTTCCTGAACTATTGATGCGGATCACTGAAGCGGAGACTGGGGCAGGCTCTGGGATGCTGACTGATAGGCCCAGGGTTATCTTCATTCGTACATCGTAGAGAGAATCTGACCAGACGTCATGCTGGGCTGAGGCGAGCTGGTGAGCATGGGCTTTAGCTGAGGGTTGTTCGGAATTTCCGACCAACGAGGCTGCAGTGGCTTCCGCATGTGTTGCTAGGTATAAGGCCGGGCACTGGACGCCGAACAGAGTGATGCAGCGGCACTTCAAGAATAGACACTACGACAAGGACGAGTCTGTTCAGACCGAAATTGTGAATGTTCTCCGGCTCTTGTTCCTCGTGTCGTCGAAATAATGTTTCTAAAGATACACGTTAGCAACCTGTTCGCGGGCCAGCTGCAGGTCCAACCGGCGCACCCGCTACGCCAAGCGTCCCCAGACGGATGCGCGAAGGATGAGATGTGTTTCGAGCCGGCTCATGCAAACACCACCACGCAGCGAGCGTGTTCGACGATCAACAAGCAAAGACAATGCAATTGTGCGAGGTGAAGCAACGGGTGAGGTGAGGAAAAGAGGGTCCGCTCCGAACTAGCAGCTACGACATCATTGCGGCCACTCGCGGCTTCCTTGTGAGTCGCCTACAACGATGGATGTGTCGGCGGGCAACCTGGATGCGCGGGCTGGTGCTGGTGAGCCGCACCTCTCTGGCGACAGTGTAGCATGACTAAATTTATCTCAGGCCTGCAATGGGTTGACATCCCTACAAATCTACTGCGCGCCGAACTGCTCCGCAGGCAAGAGCATGAGCGTCCAGAATGCGGGACGAAGGGCAATCGCGGCTACTACAACACGCCCCTCCATGTCTTTGCCCTAGTACTCATCCTCACTGTGAGCACTGCCGGTACGTTGTGTATTCGCGACCAAACTATATTCGTACTGAACATTCCAAGCATGCTCCTTCCCCATCGTCGCCAAGCGCTTTCCTCGATTCCCCGTACCGCACCACTTCCTCTTCATCTCGAGGCATTTCGGCACCGGAGTCCTGATCGCGACGGCTTTCGTACACCTCCTGCCCACGGCCTTCATCTCCCTCACCGACCCATGTCTCCCACCGTTCTGGAACAAGGGCTACGAAGCCATGCCTGGCCTGATTGCCATGGTGGCCGTCTTCGTGGTTGTGGGCATTGAGATGTTCTTTGCTTCCAAAGGTGCCGGCCACGTCCACTCCACGGGTTTTGAAGCGTTTGGTGCAGATCATCATGAGGGACATTTGCGTCCTGGGCACAAAAGAAGTAGCAGTTACAGCAGATTCAAGGCAAACGGGCACCATCACCCGCCAGACATTGTGCTGCACGACATGGAGTCTTCGGATAATCTCATGGCTGGCCGATCGCCTTCCTTCATCGCTTCGCCTATGACGCCTCAGCCGGACCCACGGAGTGGAAGCTCGGGGCGAAGTTACAAAGACGGCGATGATGAGGACTCAGACCTCGATATAGATCCTGATGAGCTGGGTCCGCGCGTTTCGAACGGCTCCGAAGACGAGTCCCGCTTGTTATCACAGCCGTCTGCACACAAGGATACCCACCGTTCGACCTCGCCATATGCTGAGCACACGCCGGACATGACGGAAGCGCAGCGCAAGAAGCAATTGTTACAGTGTCTACTGCTCGAAGCAGGCATTCTGTTCCACAGTGTCTTCATAGGCATGGCTCTTTCGGTCGCCACTGGCACATCCTTCATTGTGCTTCTGGTGGCTATAACATTCCATCAGACATTTGAGGGCTTCGCACTGGGATCGCGCATCAGCGCTATTGCTTTCCCTCCCGGTTCGGCGAGACCATGGTTGATGGCGTTAGCATACGGAACGACGACCCCAGTTGGACAGGCGATCGGTCTCGGTATCCACACGCTCTACGATCCTGCCAGTCAGACTGGCTTGCTAATGGTCGGATTCATGAACGCAATCTCAAGTGGGTTACTTTTGTTCGCAGGCCTAGTTGAGCTTCTTGCAGAGGACTTCTTGAGCGATGAGAGCTACGTGACTCTGCAAGGCAAGAGACGTTTGCAGGCATGTGGGAGCGTGGTCGGTGGAGCAGCACTAATGGCACTTGTAGGCGCATGGGCATAGATCTATTTGTAAATACTGATCAGCATTTCAAGCCATTCGCGGTCGATTTGCATACTATGGGAATTATCTTTCGACCTATTTAGACGGTGCTTCATCCGAACGTGTTCACGTAGAGTGCGTCGTTCAGGTCTGGTATACGTCCCATATCCAGAAGCAAAGATGCATCTTGCTCGAACGTCGTCGATGGCTTCATTATCGTAGCATCCGGGATCAAAGTGGCATCCGTCCAATTGGAGACCTTGTCGTCCAGTCGAAAACCTGAATCCAGATAGTCAGGCGCGAACGTGTCCCAGCTACACATGGTGGCATTCGCATCGAACGGGTCGCCAAACCCATCCCAAGACAGCATCACCGGCTCAGCTACAACCCCATCCCCACCTAATCCAGCGTCCACATCAAAATCCACAAGCTCGTTGAAGTTGAATGCATCCAGATTGAACTCGCCAACCTCCGGCGGACTATCCAGCACCAGACTCGGCGTCCTCTCCTCACCCTGCCCATCTTTCTCTGCCATCTTGCCCTTCGCCCACTCCTTCGGCGACATCCCCATCTTCTCTTTGAATATCTTATGAAAATACCTCGGCGTCAACCCCACCTTCTTCGCCAGATCCTGCAACCTCAATCCCTCTTTACCATTCTCACCACCAGCCTTGATAGCCTCCTCAATCAACACGCACGCCTTTGCGACAGCTTTCTCCTGCGGGTCTTCCATCTCCGCGACGTTGGGCTTGCAGCGTTTACAAGCGCGGAAGCCCAGAGCGGCGGCTTCCGCGGGAGTAGCGCAGAAGCCAACATTTGCGCGGCGCGCGAGACGCGCGGGACAGGTTGGGCGACAGTAGACGTGTGTGGATTTTACGGTGTAGACAAATTTGTTGTTGGCGGCGGGGTCGCGCGTGCTGAGGGCGCGCCAGCGGGAGGCGTCGGTGGTGTAGGACATGCTGGAGATGTAGAGGGGACGGTCGGACTCCAAGTTTGGTTTGAGGGGAGGCCGCTGAGGATGGGAGAGCTTTTTGAACTGGTATGACTCTGCTCTGGGGTAAGCACGCGTTATCTATTGAACTGTGGTTGAAGGCTTGATCGGTCGCTGGTAGCGGAGATGCTGAGTGCTGATTGGTTACTTTAGGAGCATCTTACATGCATCCTTCGGTGACGTATGTGGGGATAATCCCGCGGTGTCACTTGGACTCTGAAAGCCCACAAGATCGACGCAACTATCTCCTGCTAATTCACTAGCATAATATTAAACTTGCAGTTTGGGGAATGTCACCTGATACCGCGATGAGGTCGCGTCGTCGTCGCTTCCGTCTAAGACGCGGACCTACTGAACGAAGCAGGCACGAATGAGGCAGGCAAGACCAAGCTGTCAAGATGGCTTACACAATATTTCTCATCATTCTTGAGACCCGATGTTTCCCAACCTTACTCCCATCTGGGCACAATGGCTAATGCCAATGTCGCTCCCTTACAGGGCATTGCAGCCCTCCCACCGACAACAGTGCGTCAACTTGGGTCGACCAATGTCCTCCGTGACCCCAGTTCAGTCGTCAAAGAACTCATCGATAACGCTCTCGATGCTCGTACAAATGCCATTTTCGTAGACATCTCCGCGAACACACTCGACTCCATTCAGGTCAAAGATACTGGCCACGGCATCTCAGCTGAAGATCGCCCATTGGTTTGCCGCAGGTATTGCACCAGCAAGATTCGCGACTTCCATGATCTTGAAGAAATCGGTGGCAAATGGCTCGGCTTTCGTGGTGAGGCTCTGGCGAGTATGGCTGAGATGAGCGGCACGCTGGAAGTCACCACCAGGGTTGAGGGTGAGCCGGTGGCGGCGAGGCTGAAGTACGGAAAGGATGGCGAATTGACCTCGTGAGTATCAGATCACCAGAAACTAATGCCAATTTTATCCTGACCCTCGACAGGACCGAGCATGCATCTGCACCAGTTGGAACAACGGTGAAGGTTACCAACTTTCTGCAAACCCTCCCAGTGCGAAAGGAAACAGCGCTCAAAGAATCCTCAAAGACGCTTGCCAAGATCAAGCGCCTTATACAGTCCTACGCTTTCGCAAGGCCATCTGTTCGTTTTAGCCTACGCGTGCTCAAAGCAAAGTCGAGCAAGGGCGACTTCGCGTACGTCCCGAAGAAAGGTGGTAACGTTGAGGACGCTGTGTTGAAGATCATCGGCAAGGATTGCGCCCTGCAATGCGACTGGACGGCCATAGAGTCTGACGGCTTCGAGATCCATGCCTTCCTGCCCAAGCCCGACGCAACTGGTGCCAAGATTGCCAACGTTGGTTCGTTCCTGTCCGTGGATAGAAGACCTATGTCGACCAGCCGAGGCACTCCGAAGAAGATCACTGCGGTTTTCAAAGAGCGAATTCGCAAAGCCAATGCCAATTGCAGTTCGGTGAAAGATCCTTTCCTCTGTATGAACATCCTGTGTCCGCCCGGAAGCTATGATTCGAACATCGAGCCTGCCAAAGATGATGTTCTTTTCGAGAGGGAGGATGTCATTATAAATGTTGTAACCGAGCTCTTCGTGGCCTACTATCCTGAGGCAGTCGTTATCAGCGACGTAAATGATCATAGGCCGCCAGTTTCTGCGCAACAAACGATCCTTACAAATGCCGGAAGCATGGTCAGTCGTCCCGATACTGCCTTCTCGATCCTCGAAGAAGCGACGGCAGTTCACTCAAAGCTTCCCGAAACTGCCTTCTCAATCCTTGAGGAGGCTGCTCCAAATGAGGTGTCTGGTCCAAACAGAGGCGTCCACACTACTGTCGGTTCTCCAACGCGCTGGCGATCAACAATGTACGGCATCGATGAAGAGGATCTGGAGCTACTTGACTCTGAAGATCAGCCTCCAGTGATCGAGGAAGAAGAGGACGGACGACGAGCCGCGAATATCTCAAATCCCTGGGCAATTGCTCGTATGAACGCTTCTGTCAAGCCGAAACAGCTGACACGCAATGCTCAGCTCATGACTCCAGCCAAGGGTTCGGGAGATATAACGATAGGTTCTAGCTCACCTGTCCCAGCAACTAACACGCGTCAGAGGCTACCATTGGAGCCACTGACGCCCAAGACCTCATCGAGATTGAATGTGACACAACCATCGCGAGATGCGGTCGTTCAACAAAGCATTGAACGAGGATCGCAAAACTCTGGACAGGCCTTCCTGGTAAGTGACCCCAGGTCAGTTTTATGCATGATCCCTACTCATGGTATATACTATTAGGTACCCGAACAGGAAAACGTGGTCACTGGAAGACTCTCTGTTACCCGCAAGGCCAGAGCGACCATTGTTCATGACTTGAGCCCCTCATCATCGCCAGTTCCGCATCGTACTGGGAGGTACCAGAAGCCTCCCAAAGATCAACAGTCGCTACATGCCTTCGAAGGCCGTCCTGGGGGTAACGACTGGTTTGGCAAACCTATGCGCGGCCAACCTCCGTCCAGATCATCCCGTCCTCAAAAACAGAAGCGGGTTCAGAACCTAGATACACCGGCGTTCGACCCCGACAGCCCATCGCACCCGTTGACTTCCAAAAACAACTTTGACATCCGTGACTTCCTTGGACGAGACAGGTCTCAACTTCAAGGGAGCAATTCATTTGAGCCGACACCAGGTGCATCGTCTTTCACACCCATCAATCGTCCTTTCATACCACCCAGGATCCTTGACGTCGAACAGAACATGCAGCATCAAGGATCACGGTCAACAACACGTGGTCCCAAGTTTCGAGCCTCATCCACTGAACCACCGCGGCGCCCGCGACATAGTAGGAAACAACTGCCATACAACTCAGACGGCTCCGAACCCAACTTCATAGGCCAACTACCTGCCTACGCCGAAGGAGAAGATCTAATCGCACGAGCTAGAGCATCATCTTTAAACTCGAACAGCATGCCTATCACAGCTCACGCGGCAGCCCGTCCTTCGTCACCAGTAGAACAGCCTCGTCTTTCGACCGCGCGTCCAGCAACATCCGCCCAAGAGATGGCCGCCATGTTCGCAGCATACAGCGACCTTCCTGATGCCTCTGCAAGGAATTCCCATGCTACTAGAGCCCCACCTACTCCACCTGTGCCCGAAGCATCAGCCAAAGCCCGTCCACAACGCCGCCGCGGCACAACCGACGGCCTCCAACGCACAAAGTCCTCACACCTCCCACTCGAGCGCGTGCCCTACGAGTACCGCATACACAACGTTGTTCTCCAGATATACGTTCCTACCACACGCATCATTAAGGTCATGCTCAAGCTCGACATGCAGAGGGACAGTGTAGAATGGGGATGCCCCGCCGATGCATCTGCTTACGACGCCTTCTGCACGGCAGTGACAGTTGGTAGGTTGAAGGCGTGGGTCCTGCGGATTGATGGCATGCTTGAGGGATTCGACACAGTAATAGATAGGGAAGGTGCACTGGGGACGCTTGAGTGTAGTATTAGAAAGGCACTGGGGAAGGAGAGTAATGGCCGTGAGGTTGAGCATGGGCGAATTGGAGGAGCTGCATCAAGTGTTGAGGAGTGTATCGACAGCCTGGCTCAGGACCACTGTGCGCTTCCGACATGGGAATCGTCCGCAGGACTCCTACAACGCACTTCTCCAGCCCTCGCTGATCCGCAGACTAAGACTACTGCGTGTCTTGTTCAAGGATCTGGTGACGAGTTCGGGGGTGCGGATCTCGATGACGAGGCGATGCTTATGGATTTCTAAGAAGCGACAGGGAACTTATCTGTATGATAAAGGTGAAGGCAAATGGCAGACTGATCTCTTGCCGGGAATGTATCGTGCATGATCTCAAGAGAGTAAGGCAAGAAAAGAATAGGCTGTGTGCATAGGGCCCGTGATTAGTTGCCGAGGAAAGGCTATACATGTAAGTATGGATATGAACCGTGCTTGTTCTATATCCAGTCACCAACTTGCCCACTTTGTGAACGCAAGAACATCCGCGGCGTTTCTGCGATATGATTTGCCCCGCCGTCGAGCTCCGAGCTACCCCTCCAACACATGTACTCGTAAACAACCCTCCCACCTACCATTCCTCCAACCATCCCTACGACTGCCACCGACCAAAGACAACATGGCAGACCACGAAAAGCAAATCGAAGAGTTCGGCAAAAACGACGACTTCTGGCTCTTCGGCTATGGGTTTGTCTCCTCATTCCACACACCGGTCCCGCGCTCACGCATCACAGGAGTCTGATATGGAAACCGCCGCCACATTTCGGTACACCTTTCCCCCTTCCACAAAGGGGTTACATACTGAGCGCAAACCAGACGAGCGCATACCAGGCTACATAGAAGGCTACGTGCGCCGCTTCTGGCAGGTATGAAGCCCATGTATCTGCCGTGCACTGGGCTAAGTACATACACAGGCAAGGTACGCCTGCGGGCTGCTCTCCCCTCCCATATAGAGTTGACAAGCAGTAGCGAAGACCACCGCGGAACACCCTCCGCACCCGGCCGCGTCGCCACGCTGATCGACCGCGCGCACTGGGAGACATTGAGCGACACGCACGAACCCACCGAGCGCGTGTGGGGCGCTGCATATCATATTCCTAAGGCCAGAGTGCCTGAGGTAAGGGAATATCTTGGTGCGTAGTTCTGCCTCGGTTTTGTCTACCAAATGGAGGACGGACTGACGTCTTGGTGTATGATAGATATCCGCGAGATCAACGGGTACAGCATCCAGTTTACGAACTTCGTTCCGTCTTCTGACCCCGAAGCGCCGGTGAATACACTCGTTTACATTGGCCTTCCTTCGAATCCTCAGTTTCTCGGTCCTCAGGACCCAGAGGCCCTCGCCGCACACATACTGAAGAGTAAAGGGCCAAGCGGGGAGAATAGAGAGTATCTTTTCCAGCTGGAGGAGGCGCTGAGGGGTTTGGGGAGGGGCTGGGGATGCGCATATTAGTGATTTAGTGGCGAGGTGTCGGAGGATAGAAGGGGAAAAGAGAGTGAGAGGTGAGGGGCAGGTGGGGACGAAGTTGCACAAGGTGGGGAGTACGGAGGAGCAGGAGGAGGTGGAGAAGTAGATGGCAGTATGTCGTACGATGGCGTCAAGTCATCATTACGAAGCCTAGAAGTCGCGACCAAGTCATAGCAAGTCATACAAGTGTATGTATTCACAGTTGATTTTACATGTGCTATTACAACAGGGTATTTTTACGCACCACCAGCAGCTCTGTTCATGAAGAACCCCTTCAGCGGACCCATTGCATCCACCGCCCTTAATCCTAAACTCCTTAGCCCTACGATCGGTCCCGACTCCACGCTATACAAGCGGTGTAGCTTATCACACACGCCCAGCATCGCATTATTCTCCGCATACCGCGCGCTATTGTAGCTCTCCAGCGCCAATGTACTTCCGATATCCTGACCCGTCTCCACCGCATGCGATATCGTGCGGACGAGGGCCGCGGCGTCGCCTTGACCTTGGTTCAGACCTTGGCCTGCCAGTGGATGTATGGTGTGTGCGGCGTCTCCGACAAGGGCAACGCGTTCGCCGGTGTAGGTATCTGCGTGGCGCATACGGAGCGGGAAGGAGGCGACGGTGCCCGCTTGAACATCTGCCACGCGGACGGGGATGGATCGTTCGTTGACGGGTGTATGTTGTTCTCGCCATGCAACCTCCTCCTCTTGGCCGGAAGGAAGGGTGTGTAGGTATTCGAGGTCGGTGGGGGATAGTCTGAAGCCTGCGTTCACCATAGCGACAAAGTCCGTGGAAGATAATGACTTGAGCTTCGCGGCGCGCTCAGGAGTCGTGCTCCATACGAGTGTCGCAAAGTTGCCGGGCATGGGGAGCATGGCCATCGGTCCACTGGGCAGAAAGCGCTGGTATGCGATCTTGTGATCCGGACCACCCCAGCCTGGCCCTGAGAGCTTCAGTGTTGCGACAACGCCATGTCTGCTGTAGTCGAAGCCTCGAGAAGGTATTCCAGCGAAAGTTCGCACCGGGCTGTTCGCGCCATCTGCACCCACGAGCAGTCTGGCTGCTAGTGACCTGCCATTTGATAATGAGAGGACGGGCCACGATGACAGGTCAAGCTGTTCTGTATCCTTTCCAAGCTCAATGGAGTCTACCTTGGTAGAAGAGAAGATGTCCACTCCTCCCAGCTCTTCGAGACGGCCCAGAAGCGCGGAGACCGTGTTGACGTTCTCAATCATGTACGCGATAGTCGTGGGCTGGGTGGGTTTACGAGGGCCGAGGGATCGCGCGGTGTCCCAATCAAAAGATATGCGAGCGTCGGATACGCCGTCCCATACCTGCATCTCTTGGTAAGGTTGGATTCGGGAGGTGTTCGCGTGTCGCCATGCTCCAATCTCTACAATCACGCATCAGCAACTGCACATAATACGAATAGAGCGCGCTTGCCCTGTAGGTTCTTCACGGACGCCGGTGTCAGCGAGCTGCACCTGTTGGAGAAGCTGTCCAAATTCGCATCTTTCTGCAAGCGGTTTCTCTGTAAATCTTGCCCCTCAATGAGCGCGACCTTGAGCCCATTGGTAATTGGGGAGGCTTTCAGGCCAGCTAACAGGCTGAGCCCGGCTGGTCCACCACCAACACATACTACATCGTAAATCTCAGGTGCACTCGGAGAGGTCGAAGCATACCTCCGCTGCAACCGTAAGCGAAATCGTACGGCAGGTGGAGGGATGGCCTGATGCGCTCTTAAAGGTATCCGAGGCGGCATCGCGGGCCTTTCAGATGATTCGCATGGGTGAGAAGTTATGTGCCGTGGCTACCGAGAGGAATGTTGGGAGCGTGGTGTTCGCGCTGTTTGCAGCGGCGATGATGGCACGATAAGCTCAACGCCCGCTAGCCGCTCCTGGGTAGCTTTCCCGAAAGCTCCCTTCACGTGCCCGTCCTTCCTTCTCACCTTGGGCAATCACGCACGCGTGTGACCTTCACCTCCATCATGTCCCCCACGTCCTCAATTGCCTCATCTCGCGTCCTAGTGACGATGTTACATGTTGCAGGTCCGCTCTGCGGGATATGTCGTCTGAAGACACCAAAATATCGTCGAAGTCACCATTCTCAGATCTAGCTAATCAACAGACAGCCCCTCATCACCAACCATGGAAGATGACCATCGAGCAATGGCAGTAGATAGAGCGGATTGCAACGCTATAAACACCACTCGTTCACAGCACAGCTTTGCAACGTTGACTCGCGCCGCTATTCCATCATGACAGCCTTCATTGGCAGCTTGCATCTGTTCAACTAAACTATCATGACGCGAACGCAACCTAGAAGCAGTTCATAGCATGACAAGAGGAAGAAAGTGCGGATTCCCATAAATGTTCAAACTCCGTTTCAGAATCGCTTTATGCTTCTGAACGGTGAACTCTGGTCTCCATTCCGAAGATCTCTTATCTTGCATTCCTTCTTCGGTCTTTCACTTTCTCTGACGTTTATATTCCATCACTGCATCTCGATTACCCTTTGCCCTTCACTCGATGGCACTTCCCTCTTATTTTAAGTCCGTCCCGAGGAGTGGCCGCGAATCCCAAGCACACCGCCAGTGCCCTGCGGTCGCACAAGACGGGATCGCACCCGACGAGTATCCAACGTTCACGCGACCCAGCAGTCCGGAACTGGATGGATCCAAGCGATACACGGATGATGCGCCCAAGAGGAAACGCACGCACCCCTGGACATTCCGCCGTGATTCGAATTCAGAAAGCGGAGATGACTGCGACCGGCCACTAGCAAGAAGACTCTCTCGGAAGGCTTCCACGGTTCTCCACAAGTTCACTCCCCAGCGTACTCGCAGCGATGCATCTTCTGCACGAGCACAGAGCCTCCCAGAGGGACCGGAAGAGGCCGACGAGCATGTAGAGCCAGTTGCAAAGAGAAGACACTTCTCTGCAGAAAGGCGGCGCTCGTCACTGCAGAAACTGAAGGATCTCATCAACAAAGTACACAAAGACTCTGCAGCGCCGACTAAAACCTTCCTCCCGGCCCCTCCGCTGGATGAAGATGATCGTGACATGGGCTTGATGCAAAGATCTTGTTCTGGGAAGGCCCCATCCCTCGCAGCTGAGGATCCCGAGCTGATCTACATGGCTGGCGCCCTGCCAGCGCCCGCGTCAGAAGACAGCTCGGGGGATGGAAATGGAATCGGAAATGGAAACATCAGCCTAGATCCTCTCTTGAACCCCAACTTAACGGAGAGTAAACATCGAAAGGCATCCACTGCCGCCGCTAGCCTGGACTCCGACTATTGGGTCAATGCAGCTACAGCAGCTACTAGTATCGACGTTGATATGGACGATGGGCGTGAGGTTGGGCTTCTTCCACCAGCGAGCCTCACCGGCTACAGCCCTCCACCTAACCCCAAGAACAAGCGCGCTCGCCACTACCCATACAATGCACTGCCCAACTTTCCCAACCGTCGTAACTCCCTCAAGAGGCAATTTTCACTTTCTTCCAAGTCTCAACGCCGCGACATGACCACCGCCCTGTCCAACCGCCACATCGCCCCCTGGGACCCTCTCTCAACCACTTCCTCAGTTACTCAACCCGATTCCACCTCCGTAATCGGCGTCCTTCCCTCCCTCTCCTCTGAGACAACTATATCACACATCAGCATCCCCACCTTCAACCTCCCACAATCTCCTGCAAGTCATCCCGAGGGCACCGATCAGTGTCCAGCCTCTCCGTCCAACCCTCCCACCGAGGCCTCGGAGGAGAAAGCGGGATCCACCTTCACGCCGCCGAGCCCGTGTACAGTACCTCCCCCTTCCACAGAGCCACACGTGTCAGAGACGTACGTCTCGCTCCCAGCCCTCCACCAACGCGATACACTCAACGTCCCTGACGTCGACACGCACCCCTCCACGGCCGCGGACTCTACGTTCTCGGGCGAGGAGTTGCGGCTGAGAAGGTCCGGCAGTTTGAGGCGCTCGGCGAGTGCGTTGACGTTGGATGGAATGGAGGGGTTAGAGGGTTTTGAGTATGTACAGAGGGCGCTGGGGTGGTCCGGGAATTGTGGATGTGTGAGGGAGGGGTGTGGGTGTGAGGAGAGGGGAAGACGGTAGAGAGGACGAGAAGGGATGGTAGAGAATTGGGGTTGGGGTGTAGAGAGTTTATAGAGGAAATGTAGATTTGGTGTTGTGTAATAAGGCGAATGGTCTTTTGCTAGCTGCACTGGAGCTGCTTCTTGAACGACTAGACTCGATCTGCGTGCTGAAGGTAATGCTCACTGTTATCGTCAGCAGCTGCCTTCCTTGCATCCGCTTAATTCCCAGGTTCCTGCTGGAGGTATGCGCGCAAAAACGTGCTCTGGCGCAGCATGTGGTTCTCATACGACCGATGAAGCTCGTGTGGAGCGAGAGCGATCGAGAGGAGCCATACCCATTCCAGCTGCTTTTTCTGACCATGACCAGGTGTAAACCACTTTCACAGGCGAGAAGCGCACCGCACGAGCAGGTCGTGCTCGGTTCCGATGCTATGTATGGCTACTTCGGCTCCAGACATTGACATGTCAGACGTGAAGTAACGTCTACATCGCTTTCTTCGGACGGCGAAGGCGGCTTTTGGTTTTCTGAGGCGTCTCAAATCGCGAAGGGAGTTGCATCCGACGGTGGCGAGCGATGAATTGTGGTCGTGCTATGCGCGAGCTTATATTGCCTTTTTGAGACGGGTGAAGCCAGATGCCTTTGAACGGTGGTCGGCGTGCTTTTGCTCGCACCCGGTCGCGTGGGGAAAGCGCTCGGCACGAGTGTGGAACGGGTTCGTGATATGGCGTGGATATGTAGGATTCCTTGGTTGGGTGGCATGTTGCTATGCATTCTAAGGAGTGTGTGGACCTAGCAGTGTGAGCAAGCTTGATAGATGAGGGTATAGAGAGAGGGTACGTACTTGATCTAAATCTCTGATATCAATATTGGCACTCTACTAGAGTAGCTTTTTAGATGGTCTCTGAGACGCTATTAGGTTAAATCCAGAGGTCACGGCTGTGAGGAGAGACAGAATTTGGGAGAACTACCAATCGTTAAAGATTGATGTAGTTCGACGGGCATTTGCTAAGTTCATGTAAACTGCCAGCCATCGATGGTAGAAAATAGGCGCGATTCGCCATGAACGACGCGTAGACCACAGGCATCGCGAGTCAAGGCTGCATGTTGTGTTGGTACATACAAGGCTAGGGAAGATCGACGGCACGTTGGTGCTCACGTGAGGACGCATCGTGCGGCGTAATTAGGCTGCAGTGATCGCGATGACTGCGTGATATTGGGCAATTGTGAAAGACCAGCACCAAGGCCCTCAACTCTATGCTCCTAAATGAAGATGGAAAACAACAAGTTCTATGCTTTTGTGGATAATACTGAGAAGGCTGACCATAGGGCTGTGTGACTGCTCCTGATGCGAATACTAGTCGCGTCAGATGCGCGTTGTGTTGATGCATTCACCCAGGCCACCATGCCAACCACCTCACTTACAGCCATTGAGCGACGACATGCATGTAAACTCGTCGCATCGTCATCTTGAAAAAGGCGGAGATTGGATGATGACAGCCCAACGGTTCCTGCCGAGCGCCACGTTGACCGCGCCCCCGGCCCCAATGTCTCAGATGGGATGAGGCGGCAAGGCCGCTCCCAAGACCAGCCATTGCCCACGACCCTCCTTGGTATTTTTTTACCACAGTCTGCACGTCGTCTCCTTACATTCACAAATTGGATTTTATCTTCTCAGTTCTCTCCCATCCGCACACGATGCCTTAACTTCGAGAACACTGCGCTCCATCGCACGCGTGATGGCGACAAAGCCTCTTTTCTAAAGAGACTTTTTCAGCACTCGATGCGCGCAACTGTACACGAAATATTTCGTGGCTTGCGAAGCACTTTTTTGAGTTGTCAGTGTCGCGTCTGCTTCAATTGACAGCCGTACTGACGGTGTGTAGACCTCGACAGGCACCTAATGCCACCACAGGCAGCTAATTTATAAGACGCCCGCTAGGCGCGACGCCGTTGGACCGATTCGTGGTCGTCCACACCGAATCCTGCCCATGGATCGATGCGCTGTTCCACTCCCACCCCACGCGCGATTCGCTTCTTCTTGTTTGTCACTCGCTGGATTACAGGAGGAATCGATACCTGGCTTTCACAAGTCCTACCTATATTACTACGAGGAACCTTATTCCAACTACAGTTGACTGTTCGCATAACCTCGTTCATCAATTGTCGAGTCGCTGCGCTTGATTCGTAGATGCTGCGTTTTATGACATCCTTTAGGAACACAAATTCGTGGTCGACTGCACCCGGCGACGGGTGCAACGGACCTGCTGTCGAGATAAATCAGATGTCTTCGGTCGCAGACGATTCGAAGGCGGAACGTTGAATTTCAAGACCATCATCCAGTGTAGAACATACCAACAAGGCATGACTGCAGTGCCGGTGGCCAAAGTTGGGATCTGGCCGAGGCACTCCCAAGATGCGATAATATTGCTCTGGTTGATCAGTTTGGGCTGTAAGGGTAACGAGCGAGGGCGGACATAGCACTGGCGTGGATTGCGAGAATGTATATACATCAAGGGGAGAATGTATCGATGGCTGGTTCACTGTGTCGCGGAGACATGGATAGGAATCTCGACTAGTCAGTTGGCTATTGGCGAACCTAGCCCTACTGCTTCAGCACCACGCGCGAATTATTAGTGACAGTTTCATGCTTGATATCAAACGACTGGTCACAATAATATAAACGCGTTCTGGAAGATGAAAGTGCAAGACTGTGTTGACGAACGGCTGCGGCTGCGAACGTCCTAGCTCGTCATATTCTAGCAAGAGAATGAAGCTAAAGCTCGGGCGAATGCTCATGATGTACATGCGCATTGTGATATGAGACTGATAAATTGGGGAAGACCATAGTATCATGGTAAGCTTTGGATAGCCCGCAGTGTACGTGTTTTAGAGTAGCCAGCTTTGCATTCGGTCCGATTATCGTCATTAGCGACGAAAATGGGCCACCTCTAATAACATTCAGGTAGCTTTGGTCATATGTATACAAGCTTTTTCGACAGGCTGATTGGCTGCGAAGCGCTGAGGTGGCCTTCTTAGTGGTAGTTCCCGCCAGAAATAAGTGTCAAGCATGGAGCCTCATCAACTAAATAGTCGATTAATCATGAATATTCGGCCTCGAAGCTCCCCCAGTATCACGGGAGGTGGCACATTCTTTCCGCAAAGCAACGATGGCGCTCTGGGCGCGCACTCCTGCTTGATTGTCCCTCGACACAACACAGGCAAGTTAAGCTTTAGTTCCTCCGCGTCTGACGACATCCGTTTCAGCCTTGCGATGATCGATATCAACTAAACCCCTAAGGTTGACATGTGCATAAGGCGAGTTCTCGACGCTGACGCGACGGAGGAAATTCTTCATCACGGCTGTGCACGAATCTCCACCTTCTGCAGCTAAAAACATGATCTCCCGTGGCATCCGAATGCGGTTCACCGGTTGAGGCCCGTAATAGTCGTCGTAGGATTCGATAGCTTCCGACGAGCCGCGCTCGCGCCAACATGTGTACCGTTACGAAGCAGGGCGCGTTATGCACGGAGTCTCTTATAGCAAGGCTTAGTGTCTGTCCGCGAGTAGCGGCATATCATGGATCTTCATGGGGCTCCACACAGCTCGTGTTGGACAAATCCTTGTAATTAGCATGTAATCCTTGCATGGAGCCACTTCCAGAAGAAAGAGGCAGACAGCGCGCAAGTGGTGCGTAAAGGCTGTTCATGAGTGCTGTGTCTTGAAATAAGCGATGAGATACGCATGAACCCGCTCGGCTTTGCCCTGCGTGAAAGTTAAGTTTTGAACAATTCTTGTTGAACGGACAAGGAAGTCTATCGTCGCAGTTGGTATCGCTCCAGCTTTTGTGGCTCACGCAATCGCTTGTAGTATCCAATTGTCGCACTTATGCGTGACATTCGCTGTTAGTTAGCATGGAACAATTTCTTACTTGAACGATCTCAGAGTGTGAGGTACCCATCGTGCAATCGTATCCCCGGCTACCCAGGAGACCAAAATCATTGACCGATGAGCAGGGCACACACAGAAGACCATGAAGCATGGACCTGTCGATCTTAATTCTGGCTCGTGATCACCAAATTAATGTGGTGCATTTGTTATCTGACATTACTCGCTTCTTGACGTGTACGGGGGTAGGCCACTATGGTAGCGTCATAACCAACACGATTTTGAAGGCTACGCACTACTGTCGTGTTCACCGGCGGGGCTGTGCGGACATGCCAGGTGTAGCAACCTTGTAGATTTTGCGTTCGGGTATGGAAGACTGCTTTCGTGTTATTTAAACTTCCCGGAGCAATCAAGCGAGAGCCTCTCAGGCAACAGGTCTCCCAATTGACGATCTTCGTTTGACTCATAGGCAAACGATTACCTAGATAGCTCCAGATGCTACAGAAGAAACGCGGAAGCAAGGGCGATTTTTCGAGACAAAGGTTCACTATAAAGACAGGATCGTTACTGTCTATTCAACACATTTGGATTTACCTTGTCGAGAAGCCTTTGTTTCGGCCCCGGAGGAATAAGATACTAGGGTAGAAGGGTATAGAAGGCCACTGATTCATGTTACCGATGAGATTGACGGGATGACTTTCCTTTTCATGCGTGTTTGTTAACGTTTGTTGTGGTTTTCCCAGCCACGAATGCACGCACCCTGCCGCTCCGGCCCTGCCATCAAGCCACTCGAAGTACGCCGGGCCAATGATCATGAATTTACCATGCCAAACCTATGTTCAATCAGGCTAGACGAACGTATCAAATAGGGCGGATAGGAGATATCCCCCTTGGCTGCTTACTTTAGCGTGAACCTGAGACACGCCCTTGTGTGCCCTACTCAACGGGCGTGCACAGACTTCGGACGCGTCTGGTAGCTGAACGCTCATCAAGGACGGAAGTGTATTGCTGTCCAAGGTTCTCGTTTCTTCAACATCATTTTGGTTACCTCGATCAAATCGATGCTTCGTTCCAGAAACTCTTTAACGAATTCGTTCTTCCCATAGTCGATGTGGTATTAATCCGGTCAACT